GGGCTCATCCTAAGGCCTCATGTACACATGAACTCCCCTAGACGTTTAGCTCTCCTGGCAGCAGAAAACAATAGACCAGGGGCGGACTGACCATTTGGAAAGTTGGGCACTGCCCGAGGGCCCAGAGTCAGTAGGGGGCCCCATGAGATGCCCCTGGTACCTTTTTCATAGGCTTGTTTGGGTTTGGGCAAGGACACAGGGGCCCCATGATCCCCTATTGCCCGGGGACCCCATGAGTTGTCAGCCCGCCCCTGCAATAGGCACCACAGTTACAATAGATCCCCCAGCAGCCAACAACAATAGACCCTCCACCACACCTCATCACTCCTTGCCATTACATACATTGATTGCTGGAGATGCTGGAGGTGCTGGAACTGTGTTCCCCCGTGTTCCCCTGATCCCATGGTTCCCTTGAAAAAAAAAAGGACACGTTACATGTAACTTGACAATGTGCTGAACCACATAGAAATATATAGCAGTTTTTTCGAAAAGGGGAAAAAAGCACGCACTGCAATGCATTTTAACAACACATTGCAGCACGTGGCAGTGCACGCTTACATCACACAGTGGTGAACACGTGTTATGTACACAATAATGCACGCTATATGGTGTAAACAAAATACAAACAAGTTTTTTTTTTTCCGTTTTTTTTTTTAATTTTTCATTGTGATGTAGACAATTGAAGCTAAATGATGTCTTAATGTCTCTGCAGTTATCATGGCAGAGGCAGTGTAAATGAAGTGAAGAGACCAGGGGCGGACTGACCATTTGGAAACTCGGGCACTGCCCAAGGGCCCGGGGTCAGTAGAGGGCCCCATGAGATGCCCCTGGTACCTTTTTCATAGGCTTTTTTGAGTTTGGGCAAGGACACAGGGGCCCCATGATCCCCTCTTGCCCGGGGGCCCCATGAGTTGCCAGTCCGCCCCTGGAAGAGACAACAAAACTTATGTGCAGAAACAATGGTGTCATGTAGGAAAGTGAAGTAAAACAACAAGAAGAGCACCAACCTTGCGCATTACCTCAGTAACCAAAATGTATTTAGTAAAAGAATGGTACTCACAATTAATTAATTAATTTTTTAATCTTTCTAATTTCTATTCTTGCATTTATAAGCTGCATCTATTAATGAATTATTTAGTATTATTTGATTCTACACATGTATATACATTGTATTTTTATTAAAGTTTTTTATTTTTACTATTTATATGGTTCTATGTATACCTTGATGATTAGTTATTGCACTTTGTTGACACCCGGGCCCCTCCTCCCTGCCCAGGACAGCTCAACCCATCGGGGAGGGCCTTATTTCAGTCTGGAGGCATAAATGGGAACATACACTCTCAGTCCAGTCAGCTCTGAGGAAGAAGGCATGACCTTCGAAACGCGTCAGCTGTACTGAGTGGCTACCCCCATGATGGGATTCGCACTGGCCTCTTGCCTTTAAAGTCCCTTGGAGGACTTACATGCCTGTTTTTATTCGCTGTTTGTGAGTACCATTCTTTTACTAAATAAATTTTGGTTACTGAGGTAATACGCAAGGTTGGTGCGCTTCTTGTTGTTTTACTTCACAGTTCTGTTTGGGCTTCCCCAGCCTTGGTGTGGAGCTGCACGACCTTGTTTATTCCGGTGGTTGCTTTTTCGGAGTTTGATTTCATCTACTTACCACCGGCCTGGGTCCCGGAGCGCAGGAGAAATCGCATTTGGTTCATTGTCATGTAGGAAAGTACATATACAGCACTTTTACAGATCATATATTCCATCAGACAGACACAGCTGACAAGAAAATGACTCTAGTAGGCGTTCTCGAAGACATCCTCCCAGAAACAAAATTGCAGACGCTTTCCATATGCTCTTACATTGTTTTAGCTTTACTGTACACCTAATATGACCTCCAGCTTTTAGCACTTTAATTTCTTATATAATTCTGTATATACATGTGTGCATATTTTACATGAAATGGACAGGTCATACCTTTAACAAATGGTCTTTAGACTTCCCTGAATGCATTGCTCCTGTCCTGCAGCTGCTGTTAGCTGCACTGTTCAGTGGCACCAAATGCATCCAGGTTAGGCGGTACAACAGCCATACAACAGCCATTGCTGCACACAGAGAAGTTATTACATATCTGAATTATCATATCCTAATTATCAATACAATATATTAAAAAAAAAAGTCAAAGGAGCCAAAAGTGCTGTCATGAAAATCTAAAGAACATAAATATATTGAAGTGAGATTTAGAGCATGAATATTATGTGATAAAGCAGATATTTTGTCATTGGAAAATATAAATAATTATAATTGGGCTCAGCTTTGGACTGGTGTACATAAACTTATTCATGTGTGTTAAATCCTGACTGAACTTTCAGTTACAGCCTGAATAGAAAAGCCTGTTGCCCTGTGGAAGCAGTGGTGTCTCTGCGGAGATCTGATACCCCCTACTAAATCAGAGCTAGAGCTCTCCAACAAAGCTCATGTTTCCCACTGATTGGCAAGATACTGGTGTCACAGAACATTATAGATTTTATAAAGAGAAAATACAGCCAAAGCCATTTGCTTTTAGACTGTCTTTCTGTAATTCACACACTGTGTCTAGGCCAGTGGTCTCCAAACTGCAGCTCGGGGGCCAGATGCTGCCCCTTGCTTGCTTTTACCAGGCCCTTGGTGCGCTATTTCATTCACTGATACCAACAACGGGGCATAATTCCCCCCATTGACACCAATGAAGGGGCACAATTCCTCCAAATGACACCAACAATGGGGCACAATTTCTCCCAATTACACCAATAGTGGAATCCATTGACACCAATTGTGGGGCACAATTCCTCCCACTGGCAACAACAATGGGGCACAATTCTTCCCACTGGCAATAAGGATGGGGTACAATTCTTTCCACTGGCAACAATGATAGGGCACAATTTCTTCCCACTGGCAATAACGATGGGGCACAATTCTTCCCACTGGCAATAAGGATGGGGCACAATTCCTCCCACTGGCAACAATGATGGGGCACAATTCTTCCCACTGGCAACAACGATGGGGCACAATTCCTCCCACTGGCAACAATAATGGGGCACAATTCCTCCCACTGGCAACAATAATGGGGCACAATTCCTCCCACTGGCAACAATAATGGGGCACAATTCCTCCCACTGGCAACAATAATGGGGCACAATTCCTCCCACTGGCAATAAGGATGGGGCACAATTCTTCCCACTGGCTACAATTATAGGGCACAATTCTTCCCACTGGCAACAACGATGGGGGCACAATTCTTCCCACTGGCAACAACGATGGGGCACAATTCTTCCCACTGGCAACAACGATGGGGCACAATTCTTCCCACTGGCAACAACGATGGGGCACAATTCTTCCCACTGGCAACAACGATGGGGGACAATTCTTCCCACTGGCAACAACGATGGGGCACAGTTCCTCCCACTGGCAACAATGATGGGGCACAATTCCTCCCACCGGCAACAATGATGGGGCACAATTCCTCCCACTGGCAACAATGATGGGGCACAATTCCTCCCACTGACACCAACAATGGGGCATTGCTAGTTCCCCACTGATAACGGGAGCTTTTCTACTCCCAAAGGCCACCATTGGGCCTGAGTCTGAAGAACAGTAAACTGACCCTTTGTTTAGAAAGTATGGAGACCCTGGTGTAGGGCTATGTAGAGAAGAGAGATAAGGGGGTAGCAAAGGAAGTCAGCCACTCCCATGTCTCATTTAGCTGTGTGTGTAAATATGTAAACTATTCCGTATTTCTGTAAAGAAAAGCAAACGGTTAAGATTAATTAATGTGTTAAAAAGAAGCTTTTCACAAGGCATGCATTGATAGATTTATGCACCATGTACATGGTTGTTTATTGTATCTTTGTGGAAATTATTGGATATCTTTGTTATATTACCATGCTTTTTGTCTCTTTATTTAATGAGGCATAATTTATGTCACCATATTCCTGTCCGTATTTTCTCATCTAAAAATTAAAAAAAAAAAAAAGAAGCTAATTAACATGGCATTTTTCTGAATAGTTTAGGTATTAAACACAATTTTAAAAAACGGTATATAGTTCCTTTAAATATTAATACATTCCAGGTGCATTGAAAAGGTGTGTTTGATTTAGAAAGCAGCCACAGCCTGAGTAGAAAAGCCTGTCAATTCCAGCGTATTGCAGAGAAGAACCTTTGTATTCAGTGCGGAAGCAGTGGTCTCTCTGCAGAAGTCTAACAGATCATTTGCTGAGTCAAAGCTAGAGTTGACCAATCATCAGGGAGCATGAGATGAGGAAGCATGGGCAGGGATGGACTGACCATTTGGAAGCTCAGGCACTGCCCGAGGGCCCGGGATCAGTAGGGGGCCCCATGAGATGCCCCTAGTACCTTTTTCATAGGCTTTTTTGAGTTTGGGCAGGGACACAGGGGCCCCATGATCCCCTATTTCCCAGGGGCCCCATGAGTTGTCAGTCCACCCCTGAGCATGGGCATTCTGTTAAATGAAAGCTCTAGCTCTAAGTCAGAATGGCATGTACGGGCCTCTCAGAGAAAGCACTGCTTCCACACAGAGAACAAAGTTTTTTCTCTGTATCAATCTAGCAAGGGCAGGGTTTTTTACACCGGTTTTGGCTGCTTCCTAAAACTGAAAAAAAAAAACAACAAAAAAAATGTAAATAAGCTTTAAAGTTTTGATGTACATTTCCAGATATATACAGTATGTACCTGAGGGTATCCATATTTGTTCATTACATACACAGACTCTGCTACCTACTGTGTGGTGCTGCAAAATTGTCCTCCTGACAAAGCATGTCGATGTGTCATCTGACCCATTAAAAGCAATGTAGTCTTTGTACAACCAAGGCGCAATTAATACCTAGAAGGACTGTGCATAAAGTGCTGATGTCTAGAGTAGAGCTTTGGAGCTGTTATTGTAAAACCTCCACTGTCATCACAGTTGTGAATACGTGTTTATTAAATTGATTAACATTGTATTTCTCCAGAAACCTGCTGCTCCCAGATGGGGTACCTCCAGAACGCCAGTGGGCTCGCTTCTACGTTAAGATCTACCGCGCTGAGGGTCTACCCAGGATGAACACTAGTATCATGGCCAACGTTAAGAAGGCTCTTATCGGGGAAAACAAGGACTTGGTTGATCCCTATGTCCAAGTCACATTTGCTGGGCAAAAGGTAATTGATGTGAAACTACTTAAAAGGTCAGAACTCATATTTCAGCATTGAGTAGATGCTGTAGAGTCAAACCTTATGATAGTTCCTCTCTCTTGTTGTCTCTGCTGAGTTTTCAGGTCTACACACCTGTTGTTTCCCATTATAAGGGGCTCCCACCATCCTTGCCCTGAGTTTATGGCTTTCTACACCAGATGTACCCATTTTCAGGGACTTCCATCATCCTTCCTGGGTTTTTCATTTATATGGAAATGTAGTAGGAAGAGCTGGAACACACTAGGGTACTGTCAGGGCTCCCGGTAAGACCAGAGATGTGTGAACTGACACAGGGAAACGCAGGCTCAAGTATGGTGTAACAATATAATTTATTAAAGGTTATACACAAATATAAACACACAATATAACAAAACCAAACCTCCAACTGATAACGGAATGTACACAGACAAGAGCAGTCAGGGCTGGTGAGGTGGAGTGGTCAGGCAGGGTGGGTCAGGAACCATCGGGCAGACAAGACACAAAGGAGCAGGCAGAGTGTAGTCAGATGGGCCGGGTCAGGAACAATCAGGCAGACAAGGTACCAAAGGAGCAGGCTGGAGAGTGGTCAGGAATAGCCGGGATCAGGACAGGCGGAGTTCATTCAGAGTCAGGATCAAAGCAGAATCAGGAATCAGGCAGGAAGTAGACAGGATGCAGGTACAGGGGCTCATGGGAAACATACACCAAGGCACTGACTGCAGGTCTGGCCATTCCTTAAATACACCTCCTGCAATCAGCCTCAGGTGATGGCTGACTGCAGGAGTGAGCTTCTGGTTGCTGAGAGCACCCGCTGGCCAGCCCTGGTACTGCAGCCCACACGGCAGATGAGTCCCACCACTAATGGTGAGTCCATTCCTGACAGGTACGGTGAACACCCCAAACTCCCAGGTGGACAGGAACAGAGTCAGGAATAATAGCATGGAGATCTCATTATTGGAGCATCCAAGGCTCACCAGACTCTACTAAAACTAATATCACTTCAGTTGAGACTGGCACTTGAAAGGAGAGTACTGAAATCACATTCCTCTGTACTCATAACCTAAGATCCAGGTTCCATAAAGAGGAACTGAACTCTGGCAGTTGTGCCAAAAAATGCATGCAGAAGTACTAGTCAACAGTATTGTCTGTAGGCTCCATGCATCTTATCTTTTCCCCATCACTAACTTTCCATGCCCTGTTTTGCACTGTTTCCAAAGTGATAAACTCAAGAGGGTCTAGGACTTCAATTCCGATAAAATCTTTATTTTAAACTCCAACGGAGCAGGGCAGACAGTTACAAAAGAGTCAACATCGTAGTAGGTCATCAATTATACAACATCCATTAGACATGCATAGTAGGTAACAATGGGCCCTATAGACATTCAAAAATAGAAAGGCACAAACTAAAATTTTTTGTATAGGTAATTGCTGCTCCATCTTACATTTTTCATTTTCTGGTGGGAAAAAGAGGAAAAGAGAAGAAAAGGAATGTGGAACTAGAATAAAGAGGGGTAGGGAAAAAAAGGGGAGGGGGGATAGGAAGTGGGAAAGGAGGGCAGAAGGTGAACTGTTTCTATGGCCTACCCACTGGGGTCAATCTATGTGTCGGCTCCCAGGACTGCAAAGTCTCTATAGACGAACCAGGGAATCCAGATCTTAAAATGTTTTTCTGTTTGTTCCGTCATATAGGTTGTTAACTGCTCCATCAACTGTATGTCAGCTACTCAATCTAGCCATTACTTAACAGTAGGTGGAGAGGATTTCCTAAAGCTCTTCACTTACATTGGGGGTAACATGCCACAGGCAGGCTGCTGGATCATTCGCAAGAGACACACCTATCACCCTATGGATCATAGTATTTACTGCAGTCTAGAAGGTCTGTAGAGAGGGACATTCCCAGAATAAGTGGAATAGTGTACCTTCTGCTTGGTGGCATCTTCAACATTGAGACAATACTCGTGGGTCATTTTTCATGTAGGACCGGTGGTGTGTTACCAATGTGTCATTATTTTGTAGCCATTCTCTTGGTGAAAGTTAGCTATGGAGGCTTTGTGGGTGAAGAGAAGTGTGCCATCTTTTTTGGGGTTGTGCGAAGGATCATTGTAGGTCCCTTTCCCATTTCCGCAAGAAAGAGCGGTCTTGGGGTTGAAAATCTGAAGTTAGGAGTTCAATTCCTATTCATACAGAGCAGAGAAGGAAAGACACTCATTTGAAGAGTGGTCTTGGGGTTGCAAATCTGAATTCAGCATAGAATAGGACAAGGACAAAGTATGTCTCAAAGGGTTAGGAGTTCAATTCCTATTCATACAGAGCAGAGAAGGAAAGATACTCATTTGAAGAGCTCACAGGCTTCAGTTAGGTAGCTTGCATGCACATGGGGCTACCATTCACATGATACCTAGAAAGTCATTGAAAGCATAAACCAATGGAAGTAGCACCAGGAAACCTAAGAATGTAAAAAGTTTTGTTAGTTCACAACAAGACATCCAATGCATTTCGGGAGCTACAGGCCTTTGTCCCTCATCGGGGCTTAAGATCTAGTAGGAACTTTAGTTGGACTCTCCTTGTTGGATTCTCTTTAGTTCCCAGTAGATCTTAAGCCCTGATGAAGGGGGGTGGCCCCTGAATTATACAGTATTGGCTGTCTTATTGTGAACCATTAAAATAATTTGGATTCTTTCATGTTTTTGCTCTGTCTCTTCTTCTGCTGGTTTATGCTTTATTTTGCACTGTGTCTCTGTGTAAAGGGGACAATCTTGGTAGAGGCAAAGCCTTACTTTCTCATGTTAGAGCCTCCAGCAAGGTTAACAGTGAACAGCACATTAGCGACTTTGCGAAATCATTCTCCAAATCTCTTGAAGCTGGCAGTCAGAAGCAGCAGTGTCTTAGATGATCTCACACTGCAGATATTACAACTAGGAGTGTCTAGGTACACTCACGTACCAGGAACTACACTGCTATTTTTTAGGAGGAATGCCAGACAAAAAACATTTTCAGGGTACTCTTAGGCACAAGCAGCAATTATACATGTTCCTTCTAATATTCCAAATTTTACATTTTAAGCTCAGGCCTACTTTAAGACAAAATGGACTCCGGCAAGTTCAAAGACCAAGTTAGCCTGCCATTCAGCTGAATAGGATGAATGCCAAGATCTAACCACTCAGAATTGAAACTGCTCCCCTAAGTCACTTTCTCTGAAAAATGTCCATACCTGCCTGCCGTACATCTATACAAATAGCAGCTCAACATAAGAACCTCAAATTTCTCACTTGTTAAAGTTTTAGAGGAATGCGTACAATTCTCAGGATGTATCTCCTTTCTTCCACAGTTATCATCCCTTAATGTCAGAGAACAGGAAGACTAAGACAGACTGAAAGCTTTAATAACCCCAAATCCTGACAGAAGCAATTATTTTATATCCCCACGGCTCAGTGCTGGCAGTTAAGGGCAGGAAACAGCACAAATTTAATAATGTCACAACCTACCACCAGTTTTTAATTCAACCAATAAAGCATATTTCACTAGAACAAGCCTACTGCTCGACTCTTTTCCATAAATTAACTCCGGCACAAGAAGCGTTTTAGCAATTCATGAAACAGCCCCGTATTCCTGTGAGGATTTAATGATTATATTTTACGCTGTCAGAGAGACAAAACTACCCAGAGTTAAATTTGTCCAAGTTTAAAAGCTGCCATCAATTATGGAGGACTGGAGCAGGACTGGAGGGGGGTGGGTAAGGCAGGACTGCCATCTACTGGACTAATAGTAGTATAGCACATCAACTTCTTCCTATACTTATTTCCTAATGCATTGGACACCATAAATTAAAAGTCAGGGATAGGCAACCTTTCAAAGGTTGAGATCTACCTGGGCAACATGGAGGAAATTCTGGGGGAGGGTGACAGATCCAATAAAAAAAAAATTAAAGACGGTATGAAGAAAACATAGCGTTTCACAGTGCTGTCCTCTACCCCCCTTCACATCATTTCACATCACCCCCCACAGAAGTGTCCTCTGCCGACCTTCACATCATCTTTCTCTCCACAATAGTATCCTCTGCCTCCCCAACCATAGCAGTGTCCTCTGAACCCTTCACATCACCCCTACGCACACTGTAGTTTCCTCTGCCCTCCTCCACTATGGCGCCCTGTGTCCTCTACCCCCCCCCCACCCCCCCACAGTAGTGTCCTCTACCCCCCTTCCCTGTAGTGTCCTCTGTCCTATGCCCCCCCACCTCCAACAGTAGTGTCCTCCACCTCCTTCACATCTTCACATTATCTCTCCCCCTGCCCTCCCCCCTCCCCCATATCAGTATCCTATGCTTCCCTTCACATCACCCCCCCAACTGTAGTGTTTCTGAGCCCCTTCATATCACCCCCCCAACTGTAGTGTTCTCTGAGCCCCTTCATATCACCCCCCCAACTGTAGTGTTCTCTGAGCCCCTTCATATCACCCCCCCAGTGTCCTCTGCCCCCTTCACATCACCCTACGCACATTGTAGTTTCCTCTACCCTCCTCCCCTATGGTGCCATGTCCTCTACACCCCTTCACATCACTTCATATCACCCCACACAGAAGTGTCCTCTGCCCACCTTCACATCATCTCTCTCTCCACAGTAGTGTCCCCTGCCCCCCCACACAGTAGTGTCCCCTGCCCCCCCACACAGTAGTGTCCTCTGCCTCCCCACCCATAGAAGTGTCCTCTGCCCCATTCACATCACCCCTACGCACACTGCAGTTTCCTCTATCCTCCACCCCTATGGCACCCTGTGTCCTCTACCCCCCACAGTAGTGTGCTCTGCTCCCATTCACACCTTCACATTATCTCTCCACAAAGTAATGTTCTCTGTCCCCCCACATCACCCCCCCCCCACACTCCACCTCACCGTAGTGTCCCCTACCCCCCCCTTTCCATGTAGTGTCCTGTGTCCTATGCCCCCCCCCCCCCCAGCAGTGGTGTCCTCCACCCCCCTTCACGCCTTCACATTATCTCTCCCCCCGCCCCCACCCACCCCCAATGCAGTGTCCCCTGCCCCACTTCACATCACCCCCCCCCCAACTGTAGTGTCCTCTGACCCCTTTGATAGCAGTGTCCTCTGCCCCCTTCATATCACCCCCCTTCCAGTGTCCTCTGCCCCCTTCATATCACCCCCCCCCCCCCCCAGTGTCCTCTGCCCCCTTCATGTCACCCACCCCCCCAGTGTCCTCTGCCCCCTTCACATCACCCCTACGCACACTGTAGTTTCCTCTACCCTCCTCCCCTATGGCACCCTGTGTCCTCTACCCCCCACAGTAGTGACCTCTGCCCCCCTTCATACCTTCACATTATCTCTCCCCAAAGTAGTGTCCTCTGTCCCCCCACATCACCCCCTCCACCTCATTGTAGTGTCCTCTACCCCCCCCCCCTCCCTGTAGTGTCCTGTGTCCTATGCCCCCACCCCCAACAGTAGTGTCCTCCACTCCCCTTCACGCCTTCACATTATCTCTTCCCTCCTCTGCCCCCCTTCACATCAACCCCCCCCCCAATGTAGTTTCCTCTGACTCCCCTTGATGGCAGTGTCCTCTGCCCCCCAAAGCATTCCAGACCCCCCCACAGTAATGTCCTCTGTTGTGGGGTGGTTGCAATGTGGCCCCATTCACTTGAATGGCATCAGGGGGTATAATTCCTGCTGTGGCCATGAAGACAAGCATTGTGGCTGTAGTATGTGTACAGGGGGTAAAGAGGATATGGCTGGGGGGGGGTAGTAAAAATGAGGCTCTACTCTGTGAGTTCACCGCCTTTCAACCCCATGTGTACAATATAATTTGGTAGAAGAGGAGACTGAGCAGGGCCCTCTGTTTCCTCTTGTACCAAATTGTATGGTAACTGTAATGTCTGCCTTCATTTTGTAAAGCGCTGAGCAAACTGTTGGCGCTATATAAATCCTGTATATAATAATAATAATAATGTGTAAACGAGTCCTAAAAGCTGCATTTTTTCTCCCGTGTGCATGAAGCCTAGAGATCCCATTCACACGGAATGCTGTGCGACAGTGCGAGGTGTGAGCAACCATTGCATTGTGTTGCAGAGTGGTGAAAAAAAGTATAGCAAGCTGCATTTTCTTGCAGCACAAACACATAAATGTGTATAAAGGCAACGCTCAAACAATGTGGCTCTGGGAGCAAAAAAACAAGTTGGGCTCTTTGGACGACCTGTCCTTCCCCAGAACATGACATCATCACACTTGTCATCATGGTGCACCTACCACTCCTCGATCATTTTCTACCCCAATCATATTTTGGGCATGCTCTTTGTGTTTCAGGGAAAGACGTCAGTACAGAAGAGTAGCTATGAACCCATGTGGAACGAGCAGATTATATTCACTGAGATGTTCCCACCGCTGTGTAAGAGGATGAAGATACAGATCCGAGATTCTGACAAAGTCAACGATGTCGCCATCGGGACCCACTTCATAGACCTGCGCAAAATCTCCAATGAAGGCGACAAAGGTAAAGCTGATTTCCCCAGGAACGATTAAGTGGATTTAAGACATCGGGCTAAAACTGGAGAGTGCAAAATCTGCTCGCATAGAAACCAATCGGCTTCCATTTTTTTTTCTGTCGAAGTTGAATTGAACAAGCTGGAGTTAGAATCTGATTGGCTACCATGTACATCTGCACCTGGTGTTGCACTCTCTGGTTTTAGTAAATCAACCCCATTGTGCTGTACTGTTGCTTCCCACAATGCCTATAATTAGACCAACTCAATAAAAACAATGCACTCCCTGTGTGGCTGATATCTTATCTGAACAGTCCTTAAAGCTGGCCCTATATTATACAATTTTCTTGTTCAATTTCCTTTAGATTTACCTTCACCTATATTGTGCAAGGGCCTGCCTGGTTGCATACAAATCATAAGTGCTTAGGTTTGACCTCATATGATATGGTTTTTGTAAATCTAAGGCAGGGAAATGGCCGTAGATAATGTGATTTTCTTCCCAGCAACCACGGGTTGCAGGAAAAATTTGACATGTTGATTGTACCCAAAACGGTTGATGGATCGACTTGAATATAATCACCCTTCCCATAGATGGCTCGAATATCAGCCGGTTCTTGCTGAACTGGCTGAGATTCGATCCACCTGTATGGCAGGTCTAAAGTAGTATTAAAGGTCTGGCTTTTAAAAAAAAACAAAAAACAAACATGTCATACTTACCTACTCTGTGCAGCGGTTTTTTGCACAGAGCAGCCTCAAACCTTTTCTTCTTGCCAGCACTCCTGGCTCCTCTCCCTTGACCATTGCCCACAATAGCAAGCGGCTTTGAGGGCACTGGTGTGTGCTCGCTCCCGAGCCCTGCTGTATGTATTCATATGAGACATAAAGCTGTCGCTTGCCCCCTCCCCTCCAAATCTCTCCTCATAGGTTCACTGGCTGTGATTGACAGCAGTGGGAGCCAATGGTTCTCAGCCAGTGAGGAGAGGGAGTCTCAGGACAGCCAAGGCTCCCATGCACATCACTGATTTGAGAGGGGACTAAGGTAAGCATCGGGAGGGTGGGTTGGGGGCTGCTACACACAGAAGGTTTTTTTTAAACCTACTCTCCTCATTGGCCCACTGGCTGTGATTGACAGCAGTGGGAGCCAATGGTTCTCACGGCTGTCTCAGCCAGTGAGGAGAGGGAGTCCCAGGACAGCCACGGCTCCCATGCACATCACTGATTTGAGAGGGGGCTAAGGTAAGCATCAGGAGGGTGGGTTGGGGGCTGCTACACACAGAAGATTTTTTTTAAACCTTCTCTCCTCATTGGCTCACTGGCTGTGATTGACAGCAGTGGGAGCCAATGGTTCTCACGCTGTCTCAGCCAATGAGGAGAGGGAGTCCTAGGACAGTCAAGGCTCCCATGCACATCACTAGATTGAGAGGGGGGGCTAAAGTAAGCATCGGGGAAGGTGAGTTGGGGGCTGCTACACACAATATATTTTTTTTAAACCTTCTCTCCTCATTGGTTCACTGGCTGTGATTGACAGCAGTGGGAGCCAATGGTTCTCACGGCTATCTCAGCCAATGAGAAGAGGGAGTCCCAGGACAGCCAAGGCTCCCATGCACATCACTGGATTGAGAGGGGGCTAAGGTAAGCATCGGGAGGGTGGGTTGGGGGCTGCTACACACAGAATATTTTTGTTATACCTCCAGACTTTAAAACCACCTTAAAGGAAAATTGTACAAGAAAAATGTATGACCAGCCTTAGTAGGTAGATTCATTATATAAAAAAATTCTACTCCTTCTGAGGCCCCATTCACACCTGAGTGTTTTGTAGTGCGAAGCTCGAAGCTCCTAATCGCTCAGGGAGAAAAAAAAAAAAATCAATGCTACTCTATGGAGATGGTTCGCAACTCCACTCCAAGCCGCCTGAAGCTCAGAAAAGTTTGGGAGCTACTTTTGTAGCTCCATTTAGGCAGATTGATGCGTTTTTGGCACGTTTTCATTCCATAGAAATACATGGAAATGCACAAATCCCGCATTTTCATGCGCTTTCACGTGTTTTTCTGGCTTGGTAAAAACAGGCAACAATTGATGTCACAGAAGAAATTTTTCTCTAAACAAATTGCGCACAAATGTTTGCAAACACGCGTAAAAAAGCACAACAAAACACGCAAAAAAATGCACAAAAACTCTATGCTCAGATGGGAATGAAGTGTAAAAGGTCGCAGAGCTCTCATTTGCAGGTCTTTATATTTTCTCTTTCAATTTGGCATTTCTTTAACTGGATAAAAGGTGCCTGCTGTATGGGGAGCACATAATTCTGTATATCGGGGAATATGGAATTAGCGGTGATAAATAGGCCTCGTGTACACATGAATTTGCCTAGTCACTAACCTCTCCTGGCAGCAGAAAAATGCTAAATGCGGCAAAAACTTGTAAACGCAGTACCGCGTTTAGCTGTGCTGAGCCGCGTTTAGCGCTTGGACATTGATTCATTTGATTGGCCAGAGTATTGTCCATTGACTTGAATAAACACTCAAGCGCTAAACGCGTGTAGCATTTAGCCGCGTTTAGACGCATTTACACTCCTTTTTGCCATGTTTAGTGTTTTTTTGGCTAAACATTCCTCTCCTGAATGCAATTATTCTGCATTAAGAAGAGGAACATGTATTTGCCCCTAAACTCTGCTGCTCCTAAACTCTGGTAAATGCCTACGTGTGTATGGACACATAGGCCTTTATTGAGTTGAGTTCAGGGGCTTTGGCAAAAAAAACGCCAAAACCTCAGAAGTGTACATGAGGCCTTAAGATAGAGTAGATAAAGTAGGGTGCAGGGTTAAGCAAGACACATGTGGATCGAAAATCAGCCAGTTCAGCAGTGGGCGGCAAACTTCGATCCATTTATGGGCAAACTGGTGGAACACAAGTCAATCAATTAATCAACTTGTGTACAACCAGACTGTTGGTAAATTTTCTTCTCGATCAACGCCGACTGCAATAGCCGATGTATTCTGATAGCAGGGAAATCTCCCCATAGCTAAGCGGGAGGGATTCCCCCATCCTAGCATCCTTAGCAACATCCTAGCAACAAGGCAGGACGTGATGATGCCATCTCTAGGAGTTTTCTGGCCAGGCTTCAGGAGGTACATTAATGGTCTACACCAGGGGTCTCCAAACTTTCTTAACAAAGGGCCGGTTTACTATCCCTAAGACCTTAGAGGGGCCAGACTGTGGCCAGTGGGAGTAGAAAACTCCCCGGGTATCAGTGGGAGTAGACAATGTCTCAGGCTTGGTGGTCAGTGCAAATTAACTTACATAGTGCCTGTGGTTAGAAGGAAGAGATCAATGCCCCATCATCTGCGTCAGTGGGGGAGGAATAGTGCCCCCTCATTGTGTCAGTGGGAGAAATAGTGCCCCATTGTTGGTGTTAGTGAGAGGAATAGTGCCCCATCATTGGTGTCAGTGGGAGAAATAGCGCCCCATTGTTGGTGTCAGTGGGAGGAATAGTGCCCCATCATTGGTGTCAGTGGGAGAAATAGTACCCCATTGTTGGTGTCAGTGGGAGGAATAGTGCCCCATCATTGGTGTCAGTGGAAGGAATAGTACCCCATTGTTGGTGTCAGTGGAAGGAATCGTGCCCCATCATTGGTGTCAGTGGGAGGAATAGTACCCCGTTGTTGGTGTCAGTGGGAGGAATAGTGCTCCATCATTGGTGTCAGTGGGAGGAATAGTGCCCCATCATTGGTGTCAGTGGGAGGAACAGTACCCTATTTTTGGTGTCAATGGGAGGAATAGTGCCCCATTGTTGGTGTCAGTGGGAGGAATCGTGCCCCATCATTGGTGTCAGTGGGAGGAATAGTGCCCCTTCATTGGTGTCAGTGGGAGGAATAGTATCCCATTGTTGGTGTCAGTAGGAGAAATAGTGCTCCATCATTGGTGTCAGTGGGAGGAATAGTATTGCACAGTTGGTGTCTGTGGGAGGAATGGTAAGTTATTGTTGCTGTCAGTGGGAAGAATACTGCCTCAAATCAATGGGAAGAACAGTGCCCCAAGGGCCTCATGCAGGCAAGCAAAGGGCTGCATTCTGGCCATGGGCTGCAGTTTGGAGACCACTGATCTACATCTATAACAAGGGCATTGTTCTGCTTTATTCAAACCACAGTCTCCCCCCACCTTCATAGACAGTTTTTTTTTGGTAACCATTTAAACGAGATTTTAGTTTGATAACTTCTTCTCTGCCTTCTGCAGGTTTTCTCCCAACTCTGGGTCCAGCTTGGGTCAACATGTATGGCTCCACACGGAACTACACCCTGATGGACGAGCACCAGGATCTCAACGAGGGGCTCGGAGAGGGGGGTGTCATTTCGGGCCCGGCTTCTCTTGAGTCTTGCCGTGGAGATTTTAGACACAAGTTCTCCTGAGCTCACCAGCTCCACCGAGGTGCAGGTGGAAGGAGCGGCCCCGGTAGCTGATGTAAGTTCTGATCCTTTTTGTGCTCATACATTGTACAATTCAGGCGTTATATTTGTACAACACACCTCCTGTGCACAGCTAGGGTCACACACTTTACAATCTTTATACAATAAACTTTAGATTTACCAAAACAATGTAATATGAGGGTCTATCCGCACACAAAATATAGTTGCTAATGGAAACTAACCTGAACTAAGCAGGCAATGACCACGAATTGCTTTTATTATCTTAAATAAGCAGCACAGTGGATAAATGGTTTGTACCTTTGCCTGGCAGAACTAAGGTTGTTGGTTCAAATCCCAACCATGACACTAAGGTTGTTGGTTCAAATCCAAACCATGGCACTAAGGTTGTTGGTTCAAATCCCAACCATGGCACTAAGGTTGTTGGTTCAAATCCCAACCATGGCACTAAGGTTGTTGGTTCAAATCCCAACCATGACACTAAGGTTGTTGGTTCAAATCCAAACCATGGGACCACCTGCCTGGACCTTTAGTAAAATGAAAATAATAAGCTAATACACACCCAAATCACAACATTAGTGCATAAAGAGTTAATTACCCAAATAAGGTTGATGAAACCATAGATTATCTTTCATCAGGAAAAATACACTGTAAATAAATTGATATATATTTATGAAGGGAAATGTCATAGTTACATGGTTAGTCTGGCTGAAAAAAGACAAATGTCCATCCAGTTCAACCATAAAAAAAAAAAAAAAAAGTTATAATCCTATACCCACAGTTGATTCAGAGGAAGGCAAAAAAAACCAGCAAAGCATGATCCAATTTGCTCCTGCTGGGAAAAAAATTCCTTCCTGATCCCCTGAGAGGCAATCGGATATTCCCTGGATCAACTTTACCTATAAATGTTAGTATCCAGTTATATTCTGTGTATCTAAGAAAGAATCCAGGACTTTTTTAAAGCAATCCACTGAGCTGGCCAGAACCAACTCTTGAGGGAGTCTATTCCACATTTTCACAGCTCTCACTGTGAAGAAACCTTTCTGTGTTTGGAGATTAATTTTTTTTTTCTCCAGACATAAAGAGTGCCCCCTTGTCCTCTGTGATGACCTCAGGATGAATAACTCTACACCTAGAGACTATATGAACACTATTTTATACATGAACATATCCCCTGATGTATTTATACATGTTGATCATATCCCCCCTTAATCTCCTCTTCTCAAGAGAGAATAAATTCAGTTCCTCTAATCTTTCCTCATATAGCTGAGCTCCTCCATGCCTCTTATCAATTTGGTTGCCCTTCTCTGTACTTTCTCCAGTTTCCCAATGTTCTTTTTGTGAATTGGTGCCCAAAACTGAACTGCATATTCCAGATGAGGTCTTACTAATGATTTGTACCGGGGTAATATGATATCTCTCTCTCTGGAGTCTATACCTCTTTTGATACAAGAGAGGATTTTGCTCGCTTTAGAACCCGCAGCTTGGCATTGCATGCCATTATTAATCTTGTGATCTACCAGAACCCCCAGATCCTTCTCCACCATTGATTCCCCCAGTTGTACCCCCCTAGTATGTATGATGCATGCATATTCTTAGCCCCCAAGTGCAGAACCTTACATTTATCAACATTACACCTCATTTGCCACATAGTTGCCCAATTACACAGAGCATTGAGGTCGGCTTGTAAATTGGAAGACATCCTGTAAGGACGTTATTCCACTGCACAGCTTGGTGTCATCTGCAAAGACTGAAATTATATTTTTAATCCCAGACTCTATATCGTTTATAAATATATTAAAAAGTAAGGATCTCAACACTGAACCTTGGGGTACACCACTGACAACCACAGAGCTGAAGAAGGCATTTAATAAATTTGCTGATTGGCCCTGTGCTGATCACAAAGAAAAAAAAAAAAAAAAGCTCTAGCCATACACAGTAAAGTGAGCATGTGCAGAGTGACTCCTAGAGCACTGTACTATCAGCCGATGGATTGGGACATTAGAAGAAGGGGAGGATCAGAGTTGACAGGATCAGACAACCATATTACACAGTGCAGCGGATTAACCCCCTTAGATTCCACAGTGAGTATAACAGGCATGCTTTACTGCATATACAGACTGATTTTACTGTTGTGAGTTTAGTAACACTTTAAACTTGCACATGCTCCTGGAAAGGCACGCTCGAGCACAGTGGGATGGGGGCATTTAAAAAAAAAAATGTTATTATTTATTTTGTTTGAATTTTTTTTTACACTGTAACTTTAATTTTTTTATCACTTTTATTGCTATCACAAGGAATGTTATTCATCCCTTGTGATAGCTGGAGCAGTGACAGGTCCTCTTTATGGAGAGATCTGGGGTATATTAGACCCTAGATCTCTCCTTGGTCCTGAAAAGCATAAGATCAAGATTGATTTGATCAGATGCTTTCACAAGCCAGTAATGGCTTGTTTACATCTGAGCGAAACCGGAAGTGACAAAATACTTTTCACTTCCAGTATCTTAGACTATAGAGATGATTGGTCGTTCCTGTCCTTGGCCATCTTTATGGTCACCTGGCTGCAGTCCCGCGTTCCCCTTTGGGACATGGAACACTGCTTTCCACCACCTGTAAAAGCAATCTAGCAGCTAATTAACTGCTGGGATCACTTTTACATTAAAGCCCAATGCCAGCAGAAAAAAAAGATACAGGGATAATGTCTGTAGCTGAAGGCGGCATCATCCCAGTATAACCACTTCAACCTGGTGATGTATGGGTGCATCGCGGAGGCTGATGTGGTTCATTAAAAAAATAAAAATAACTTTGGACAAGCAGGAGTTTTAATGCAGAAGAGGCATACCATGTCTCTTCTGCATTAAACTTCCTTACTGGTTTGCCTGCCCTATACACTGAGCTGTGCATGCGCAGCGCAGTGTAGAAAAATTCTGCAATGCCAAACAACTGAACTCTCACGCATGCGCAAGAGTGAAGTCATCTCAAACTGGCCAATTAAAAGGCACTGGGTTAAAACCTGGAAGCCGTTGGGCTGAAGATGTCAGTGGCCAGCTTGGAACTCCAGGGGATCACAGCACTGGAGAACAAGTGAGTTTAGTTCTACTTTAACATTCAGATTTGAAACTAATGTAATTTCCTGAATAAAAACCACATTTCCTGTTTGAGAAAAATGCTCCATCCTGCTCTTCTGAATTTTCTTGTCACTATTGTCAAACATTAATGTTGATTTGACTCCACTAACAATTAGGAAATCAAACGAATGTTCTTAAAATGAAAAAGTTTGAATGCAATTTTCAGTTAGTGCTTGCCCAGCTTTACATTGACTGATTAATATGTATGGCCCTTTGTTGGTGTTAGGGGCCACACTTGAGGCATGCCATATGAAAAACGTTGACCATCATTGTTTTAGAGCAGGGGTCTCCAGGAGACAGATGTGGCCCTTTGCTTTCCTTCCTACTGACTCTTGGGGCACTTTCATTGATACGAGGCACTATTCCTTTCACAGACACCAAAGACAGAGCACTCTTCCTCCCAATGACACCGACAATGGGGTACTATTCCTCCCACTGACACCAGAGTAGGGAAACTCATTTTCCCAAGGACACCAATGATGGGGAACTATTACTCCCACTAACACCAATAATGTAATTTTTTTATTCCCACTTACCACCAAGTCTATGGCATTGACTACTCCCACTGGCCACAGTCCAGCCCCCCCTAAAGTTTGAGTGACAGTAAACAGCCCTTTGTTTTGAAAGTTTGGACATGCCTGTTCTCGAGGCTAATTCATAAATCTCTACAGCCCTGGCTAAAAATGTTGAGAATGACACAAAGATTCATTTTCACAAAGTCTGCTGCTTCAGTGTTTTTATTTTTTTTGTCAGATATTACTATGGTAGACTGAAGTATAATTACAAGCATTTCGTAAGTGTCAAAGGCTTTTATTGACAATGACATTAAGTTCATACAAAGAGCCAATAATTGCAGTGCCGACCCTTCTTTTTCTGCAAGACCTCTGCAATTTGCAATCAATCAATGCTTTGAGTTTATCAGAATTTGTGGGGTTTTCTTTGTTCACCTGCCTCTTGAGAATTGATCACAAGTTCTCGATGGGATTAAGGTCTGGGGAGTTTCCTAGCCATGGACCCAAAATTTCGATGTTTTGTTCCCTAAGCCACTTAGTTATCACTTTTACCCTATGGCAAGGTGCTCCATCGTGCTGGAAAAGGCATTGTTCATCACAAAACTGTTCTGGGATGGTTGGGAGAAGATGGTCTCAGAGGATGTTTTTTGTACCATTCTTTATGGAAGTGAGCCCACTTCCCTGGTTGAGAAGCAACCCCACATATGAATGGTCCGGGGATGCTTTACTGTTGGCATGACACAGGACTGATGGTAGCGCTCACCTTTTCTTCTCCGGACAAGGTTTTTTCCAGATGCCCCAAACAATCAGAAAGGGGATTCATCAGAGAAAATGACTTTACCCCAGCCCTCAGTAGTCCAATCCTTGTACCTTTTGCAGAATATCAGTCAGTCCCTGATGTTTTTCCTGAAGAGAAGTGGCTTATTTGCTGCCCTTCTGGACACCAGGCCATCTTCCAAAAGTCTTCTCCTCACGGTGCGTGCAGATGCACTCACACCTGCCTGCTTCCATTCCTGGCCATGCTCTGCACTTGGTGGTGCCCCGAACCCGCAGCTGAATAAACTTTAGGAGCGGTGCTTGCTGGACTTTCTTGGGCGCAATGAAGCCTTCTTCACAACAATTTGACCTCTTTCCTTCAAGTTCTTGATGATCCAATAAATGGTTGATTTAGGTACAATCCTAGTAGCAGCAATGTCCTTACCTGTGAATCCCTTTTTGTGCAAATCCATGATGACTGCACGTGTTTCCTTGCAGGTAACCATGGTTAGCAGAGATAGAACAATGATTTCAAGCACCACCCTCCTCTTAAAGCTTCCAGTCTGTTATTCTAAATCAATCAGCTTGACAGAGTGATTCCCAGCCTTGTCCTCGTCAACATTGACACCTATGTTAACGAGAGAATCACTAACATGATGTCAGCTGGTCCTTTTGTGGCAGGGCTGAAATGCAGAGGAAATTTGTCGGGGGGGATTAAGTTAATTTTCATGGCAAAGAGGGACTTTGCAAATAATTGCAATCCATGTGATCACTCTTCATAACATTCTGGAGTATATGTAAATTGCCATCATAAAAAACTGAGGCAGCAGACTTTGTGAAAATTAATATTTGTGTCATTGTCAAAACGTTTAGCCACAGCTATATAGTTAAGGTGTATAACCTAACATTTTATTTTGCCTCTGATTATGATCATTTTGCTGCTTTATGTATTCTCAGAACTGTACCGGTAAGATGGAGGAATTCTTCCTCTTCGGAGCTTTCCTGGAAGCCACCATGATAGATCGCAAGAGCGGAGATAAGCCCATCAGCTTCGAGGTTACAATAGGTGAATGTTTTACCCTTTTCTGTGTATCTAATGAATTAAAAAGCACACGTCACCCGTGCACAGACGAAGCAGGTATTTCATCAGCTGTATTTCATAAAAATAATCTCAGATGTCTGAAAAGTTTCCAAAATTTTGGTAAAATGTTTTAATCCTTTGGAGTGAGATTAGTGCAGGCCACTGACTGCATTTGTTTTAAGTGTGGACCTCTCAGAGAGACCACTGCTTCCACAATGAGATCAAGGGTCATTCTTTGCAGAGTATTGACAGGGTCAGGCTTTTCTCCTCAGGCTGTGGCTGCTTTCTGGAGAAAATTTACATTTTTAATACATTTATGTCATTAGCACAGCACACGGATATACACTTCCCATTCAAAACTCAGCACGGTGTGTGCCAGACTTCTGCAGAGAGACCACTGCTTCCACATTGAGAACAAAGGTCCATCTCTGCAGCATGGTGATGGGGGACAGACTTTACTACCCAGGCTGTGGTTGCTTTTTAAAGAAAATTGTAAAACTTTGCACATCCTTTCAATATACCTGGAATGTATTTAACTGATAGTTAATGACCAACTTCAGCAAGATAAAAAAAAGGATCCCTTGCTGTGCCTGCACTGCGAGGGTTAATTGCTCATTTTGTCTAGGGAAGAGGAGAGAAATAGAATTATTTACCTGATTCTCCATTCCCCCTGAAGATAGCGCTCTCCTCATGTGCCCTCTTTGGTGTCCTCACGCTCAATGCAGGGCTATGGACACTGTTCTGGTCTTGGTGACAGGATCGTAGATTGATGATGGAGGGTACAGATATTTCAGGGACTTGCGTAGCTGTGTGGAGGAATGGAGGATCAGGAAAGTAAATCTCCTTTTATTGTTCCACAGTCCCACTGCAAGGGGTACTTTTATATTTGCTCGGAGTTTGGCTTTTGGTAACAGTTTAAAGGAAGTATATACCGTTTTTACTTTTGTTTTCACTATGTTTAGAACTTAAAGTGATTCTAAAGGCTTATTTTTTTTAACAAAAAATAACAAACATGCCTATACCTGCTGTGTGTAGTGGTTTTTCACAGAGCAGCCCGGATCCTCCTCTTCTCGGGTCCCCTGCAGGGTCTCCTGGCTCCTGCCTCCTGTCAGTGCCCCCACAGCAAGCAGCTTGCTATGGGGGCACCTGCTGCTCTGTGTACCCATTCACATATGGAGCTGTGGATTGGCCCTGCCCCCTCCCTCTTCTCATTGGGCTGTGATTGACAGCAGTGGGAGACAATGGCTTCCGCTTCTGTCTCAGCCAATTAGCAGAGGGAGTCCCGGGATAGCCGAGACTCAGGTGTACATCTCTGGATTGAGAGGGGGCTTAGACCAGTATTAAGGGGCGGGCTGCACAGAGAAGGTTTTTTACCTTCATGCATAGAATACATGAAGGCAAAAAAACCTTCAGCCTTTACAACCACTTTAAACTATTTTAGAATTTTTTTGTTAGCTATGTTAATACTTTTTTTAACATATCGATTTCCTAATCTTAAAGCAGAACTTCACCTTAAAACCCCTCTCCTCCCCCTCCTCTCTCCCTACTGTAAATATTTTTTTTTGGGGGGAACGGGTACCTAGCTTTGACAGGTCCCCACTTCTGCTTTGATTGCCTAGATGATCAGAGCAGAAGTTCCCCCGCCCCCCCTTCCTCTGCCCGCAACTTCCCAAGATACATCACGGGTGTCAGGAGGCTGTGGGTTCAGTTAGTGTAGCACCGCTCACGCATGCGCAGTGGGGAGCCGGCTGTGAAGACCAGCAAAGAACCAGCCTGGGTGAAGACGGATCCCTGGGATAGTGTTTGTTTATGAAAAGTCTGACTTTTAATTGTTTTAATTATTTTAAACCTGAGTGAAGCTCCTCTTTCTGCCCGGGTTCACACTATGCAGTGCGGGATACTGCATGTAATTCACACAGGAATCGCACCACATTCCTGTGCGAATTACATGCAAATGTCTGTGCAGTGTGATTTGAGCCATGCATTTTGTGTGGCTCAAATCACATTGTATCGGCACCAAAAAGGTTACATAGTTACAAAGTTAGTCTGGCTGAAAAAAGACAAAAGTCCATCCAGTTCAACCATAGAAAAAAAAAAAAAGTTATAATCTTATACGCACAGTTGATCCAGAGGAAGGCAAAAAACCCAGCAAAGCATGATCCAATTTGCTCCTGCAGGGAAAAAAATTCCTTCCTGATCCCCCGAGAGGCGATCAGATATTCCCTGGATCAACTTTACCTATAAATGTTAGTATCCAGTTATATTCTGTGTATCTAGGAAAGAATCCAGGACTTTTTTGAAGCAATCCACTGAGCTGGCCAGAACCAACTCTTGAGGGAGTATATTCCACATTTTCACAGCTCTCACTGTGAAGAAACCTTTCCATGTTTGGAGATTACATTTCTTTTCCTCCATATGTAAAGAGTGCCCCTTTGTCCTCTGTGATGACCTCAGGGGGAATAACTCTACACCGAGTTCACTATATGAACCACTGATGTATTTATACATGGAGATCATATCCCCCCATTATCTCCTCTTCACAAGGTGCAGGACCCTTTTTATAAATCCGCACCTGAATTGCATCTCATGGGTGTTCTCACCCATGCCATGTGATTTCTAGCAATGGCATCACGTTTTGTGATGTCATTAATTTATCATTGACACCTGCACCAGATCGCATGAATGGGATGTGATTGCAATTCAGTGCTGGAAACGCACAGGATTCGCAGCGTTTCCCGCACCACATTGGTGTGAACCTGGGATAACCCTGTGCTTTACTGAGCACAATAGTTTAACACAGGGCTTAAAAAACCCGCTCGCCCGCTCGCCAAATGCGAGAAGAAATTCCTCTGTGGCGAGCGAGCACACATGAAGCTTGGAGCGACTGCACCTGCGCTCCAAGCCTCATTGTGAAGCCGAGTTCTGGTTTACAACTTCCGGTTTCCAGCTTCTGCGGCACCGCCGCCGAGGGAACAAGTGCAGCAGAGGTCCGCTCTCCTCCGCTGAGAGGAGACACCCTCTCCACCGCTGCGGGGGACTCGGAGGGACTAGGAGTAAGTACCGTATACATGTCATATCACTATAATGGAGTACAGGGGATCTGGGATTACATTACTCAGTAATGTATATCTTCTTGGGCCGGGGGTGGGGTTGGGGGCGGACCTGGGCAAGGTTGGGTGGGGCAACTGGTGGAGAGTAAGTTTTGTGACCGGCTAGTAGGTCTGGGTTCGAAATTTTAACCCCTGGATTAACACATTATACTCATGTCTGAATGAGGAAGAGCAGAGACTGATCCCCTTTGCCACCCACCATGTCTCTCTTTTTGCACAACTCTGCACAGAGTGTCAGTTAGAGAGAGACAGTCTGAAAGCAATCTGCTTCTGCTGTATTTTCTCTTTATAAAATCTATGATGCTTTGTGATGCCCTTGTCATAGGTGCTCTTTATATTAAATGGTTAAAATATGTTTGTAAATAGTACATAAAAATAACATTTAAAAAAACCTCCCAAACCATCATAGTTTGCTGTTAAAGATCAGGCTATTTGCAATGTTCTTGATGGCGCTGTATCTTGTAGGAAATTATGGGAACCAAGTTGATGGGACGACACGGCCAAGTCTTCGGAAAAAAAAGGAAGGCGGTGCGGTGATGGGGTAGAAGAAGAGACGGAACTCTTGCAGAACTCCAGTGAGGATGAAGCAGACGATGACGGGGAAATGCAGTCTGTCTCCTGTACTCCATCCATGAAACCCTTTATTACAGACAGGTGAGACAGACACACAAGATCTGATCATCGAACACCAGCTGTACCAAAAAGTCATGTTTCAATGACTCTTAGAGTTCATTCACACCAGCCTCTGCTATGCAACGCAGCAGCTGATGTGCGGGGCAGTTCAGCCAAGATTAGTGCCGTGGTGATGCATTGATCTCAGCGCATTGCACTGTTTCCATTTTTTTTTATTTAAACAAACTTTATTGAAATGTCACACAAACATTTCATATAGTTCAATAGCCAGCTGTGTGGTGCGTGACAGTTGATTGCCTTGCAAGCTGGACCAATGTAACGATGTAAAAATGCCATACCTGGAATTCTTTTTTAAACCCCGGTTCACATATATGTGGCCGTGCGGGCTGCGTTTTGCGTGGACACGAGAGCCCATTCATTTGAATGGACTTCCATGCTCCGTGATACAGAGAGAAGAAGTCCCTGCACTTCTTCTGAAGACGCAGTCCACATGGGAATCTCGGTTCCCAGTACGGTTGTGTTTTCCAGTGAGGGCGGCGTGCCATTAATTTCTCCATGCAGGTGGTGCGGCTGCACGGATTTTCATGTGAATCCGCAGCGGCACCACCCACACAGATGTAAACCTAGCCTAAAGGGGTGTCCCCATTATGACACATAGTAACACCTTCTAATTTCAAGGGGCACCTACAACCACATCACATGTCAATGCCCTTATCATAACACACACAGCACCTCTTCCGTAACAAAATTCAGAATTATTGCTATGAGTTGCATACTTGAGATTTTATATGGTGTGTCTCACAGTGAGATGAGAGTCCAGTATGAAATGTCCTCTACATAGCCCCTATTGCAGTGGTGGAGAACCTTTGGCCACAGTGGGCACGCGAGCCAAGTCACCCCAGCATCGCCCCAGCAGCCGAGCATTGCCCCCTTGTGCTTGTGGTCAGTGGAACTTTGCCCCCTTGTGCTGGTGGTCAGTGGAACTTTGCCCCCTTGTGCTTGTGGTCATTGGAACTTTTCCCCCTTGTGCTGGTGATTAGTGGAACTTTTCTCCCTTGTGCTGGTGGTCAGTGGAACTTTGCCCCCTTGTGTGTGTTGGTGGTCAATGGAATTTAGCCCCCTTGTGCTGGTGGTCAGTGGAACTTTGCCCCCTTGTGCTGATGGTCAGTGGAACTTTGCCCCCTTGTGCTGGTGATCAATGGAACTTTGCCCCCTTGTGCTGGTGGTCAGTAGAACCTTGCCTCCTCGTGTGTGCTGGTGGTCAGTGAAGCTTTGCCCCCTTGTGTGTGTTGGTGGTCAGTGGAATTTAGCCCCCTTGTGCTGGTGGTCAGTGGACCTTTTCCCCCTTGTGTTGGTGGTCAGTGGACCTTTGCCCCCTTGTGCTGGTGGTCAGTGGAACTTTTCCCCCTTGTGCTTGTGGTCAGTGGAACTTTGCCCCCCTTGTGCTGGTGGTCAGTGGAAATTTGCCCCTTTGTGCTGGTGGTCAATGGAACTTTGCTCCCTTGTGCTGGTGGTCAGTGGAACTTTGCCCCTTTGTGCTGGTGGCCATTGGAACTTTGCCCCCTTGTGCTGGTGATCACTGGAACATTTCCCTCTTGTGCTTGTGGTCAGTGGATCTTTGCCCCCTTGTGTGTGTTGGTGGTCAGTGGAATTTAGCCCCCTTGTGCTGGTGGTCATTGGAACTTTGCCCCCTTGTACTGGTGGTCAGTGGACCTTTGCCCCCTTGTGCTGGTGGTCAGTGGAGCTTTGCCCCCTTGTGCTTGTGGTCAGTGGAACTTTGCCCCCTTTGTGTTGGTGGTCATTGGAACTTTGCCCCCTTGTGCTGGTGATCAGTGTAACTTTGCTCCCATGTGCTGGGGTCAGTGTAACTTTGCCCCCTTATGCTGGTGATCAGTTGAACTTTGCCCCCTTGTGCTGGTGATCAGTGGAACGTTGCCCCCTTCTGTGTGCTGGTGTTCAGTGGAGCTTTGTCCCCTTGTGTGTGTTGGTGGTCAGTGTAATTTAACCCCCTTGTGCTGGTGATCATTGGAACTTTGCCCCCTTGTGCTGGTGGTCAGTGGACCTTTGCCCCCTTGTGCTGGTGGTCAGTGGAGCTTTGCCCCCCTTGTGCTTGTGGTCAGTGGATCTTTGCCCCCCTTGTGTGTGTTGGTGGTCAGTGGAATTTAGCCCCCTTGTGCTGGTGATCATTGGAACTTTGCCCCCTTGTGCTGGTGGTCAGTGGACCTCTGCCCCCTTGTGCTGGTGGTCAGTGGACCTTTGCCCCCTTGTGCTGGTGGTCAGTGGAGCTTTGCCCCCCTTGTGCTTGTGGTCAGTGGAACTTTGCCCCCTTTGTGTTGGTGGTCATTGGAACTTTGCCCCCTTGTGCTGGTGATCAGTTGAACTTTGCTCCCATGTGCTGGGGTCAGTGTAACTTTGCCCCCTTGTGCTGGTGATCAGTTGAACTTTGCCCTCTTGTGCTGGTGGTCATTGGAACCTTACCCCCTTGAGCTGGTGATCAGTGGAACTTTGCCCTCTTGTGCTGGTGGTCATTGGAACCTTACCCCCTTGAGCTGGTGATCAGTGGAACTTTGCCCCCTTGTGCTGGTGATCAGTGGAACTTTGTCCACTTGTGCTTGTGGTTAGTGGAACTTATCCCCCTTGTGCTGGTGGTCAGTGGAACGTTGCCCCCTTCTGTGTGCTGGTGGTCAGTGGAACTTTTCCCACTTGTGCTTGTGGTTAGTGGAACAAAAGATATTAATGTATGGGTTGTTTTATCTAAACTAAAACTTCAGTGTTCAGGTTTAATTGCAGTGTTGGCACTTTGTGATAAATAAGTGGGTTCTGGGTTGCAGATTGGGCACTCGGTCTCTAAAAGGTTCGCCATCATTGACCTATTGTGTCAGCCAGGGGCGTATCTAGGCGTTTGCCTAAGGCAGCAATTTTTAGGGGGTGGCACCGCACCCCCCCCACACCCCCCAGAAGAAGGTACCTGGTGAGCAGCGGTGGACAGAGCCATGCAGGGCTGTCATCTGAGGGATACCACCGGTACTCTTGTAGGTGGCCCGGACAGCAGGAGGATCATTGTAGTGAGGGAGAGCAGTTGCAGAAGGATGAACTGTGCATCTCTCCCTCCAGCAACTGAAAGCCAGTTTGAGGTTTTTCCCCCTCTCCCTCCCGTCGGCTTTCTGCTGCTGGTGGAAGAGACAGACCTGGCTGGATGGAGGGGGTGCCCTGGTGTTCCTGAGTGTCCGCTGTTCGCTGAGCTTCTTCCTGTGCCTGCACTCAGAGCGGGGACCAGGGTAATGCCTGGAGCAGGGAGAGGAGAAGTGGCGGAGATGAAAGAGCCTGGAGGAGGTGAGCTGTGATGTGTTCTCTGGGCTTTCCCTCCTGTCATCCATCCAGCACATGATACACTGATAGATCATATGGGATTGCACACACACAGTATGATTACCACCCCCTGCCCACATTTCCTGCTGCCCGGAGATCAGCAGCCCTTGGAGGAGGTGGTAATCATACTGTGTGTGTGTGTGTGTGTGTGTGTATACAGTCCCATACAATCTGAGAGAGGAAAGAGAGAGTGGGAAGAGGGAGAGGGAAGAGAGAGAGAGGGGGGGGGGAGAGAGGGGAGAGAGAGAGAGAGGGAGAGAGAGAGAGGAAATAGAGAGGAAAGAGAGAGGGGGGAAGAGAGAGAGAGAGGGAAGAGAGAGAGGGGGGAGAGAGAGGAGAGAGAGGGGAGAGAGGGGAGAGAGAGAAAAGAGAGAGCGAGGGAAGAGAGAGAGAGGGAAGAGAGAAAGAGAAGAGAGTGGGAAGAGAGAGAAAGAGAGAGATAAAGAAAGAGAATAAAGAGAGGAAAGAGAGAGAGGGAAGAGAGGGAAGAGCGAGAGAGGAAAGAGAGAGAGAAAGAGGGAAGAGAGAGGGGAGAGAGAGAGAAAGAGGGAGACTCGTTGAACTCTTTCTCTCAATGGGGGGGTGCAAAATTTCTGTGTTGCCTAGGGCAACACAAAACCTAAATGCACCACTGGTGTCAGCTGTCACTCATCTGTCTGTCGTACATGTGTATCTGCAGGAACTACTTTCACCTCCCATACTTTGACCGGAAGCCTTGCATCTATATTAAGAGCTGGTGGCAGGACCAGAGGAGGAGACTCTACAATGCCAACATCATGGACAAGATCGCAGACAAGCTGGTTAGTAATGGCAATGTTAATTTGGCCATTTCTGAAGTCATCTCACCCTAGAGGGAGGGCTTCCTCTTTACATTATGGAAAACCACTCTTAGAGTCCTTCGTTAAAGCCCAAATCTGGGAAATCTGCACTGCACCTGTGCCCACACTGCAAAAGTTAAATGCTTGTTTAGTCTAGGAGCTGCAAAAAGCACTTTAACTTACCTGATCCTCCACTCCCTGGCAAACGGTGCTCCCCCATGCTCTGGTAGTGGACTGTCCCTTGGCATGGTCAAGTCCAATGCAGTGCTTTGGACCCTGTAACAGTCATGTTGATGTCAGACATCATCTTAGACAGCTGGAGCATAGGAGAGAACATTCTGCAGGGATCAGTCTACTTGTGCAGAGGAGCAGACGACCTGGTAAGTAAATCTACTTTTCTATTGCCCCTAAACCGAAAAGAGTAGTTAACCCTTGCAAAGAGAGAAGAGCCCCACTGCAAAGGAGGATTTTAAAGCTTCCTGGAGTTCAGCTTTGATGTCTTCTATCATGATGACCCCTTACCTGGGGTGAAGTTAAAGCTGAATGAGACAACAGCAACCCGTGCAGTTAAATGCTTGTTTAGTCTAGAGGTGAAGGGAGAAGTTGTATTACGTACTCTAACCCTTGCTCCAGCAGGCTACTTCTCTTTCCTCAAGCTATGGGCAGTAGGCAGTTCCTGGGCATTATTATGTACAGTGCAGGGCTATGAACCCTGCATTGTACACAGGGAGGTGAGCATGTAACAGCAGCCCTAAACTCCTTAAAAAGGAGGCTTATGGGAGACCAGTTGCATGGATGGAGTAATACACCTTCTCCCTGCACCCCTGGACTGAATGAGAATTTAACTCTTGCAGTACGAGGGGGGGGGGGACGTCATGGGTAGATTTTTTTCCATTTAGCTTTAATATTCACATTGAGGAATGCAGCTGTTGTAGCCTCAGAAGTGCTGATATCGGCACTGTAAGAACTGCTAATTACAAGTACAGCCATGTCTGAAGGCAGCTCTCAAGAGGGACTTAATTGCACAGCAGCACAGGAGACCTTGTAGCAGGACTGAGCTGTATTAGGTAATTGTCAGAAGAGCCCAGGAGAGAAAAGGGATTATAATTACACTATTCAGACAGTGGAAACAGTCTCTGAAATACATGTGTAGTGCTACTCGTACCAGGGGCGGACTGACAACTCATGGGGCCCCCGGGCAATAGGGGATCATGGGGCCCCTGTGTCCTTGCCCAAACTCAAAAAAGCCTATGAAAAAGGTACCAGGGGCATCTCATGGGGCCCCCTGCTAACCCCGGGCCCCTCGGCAATGCCCGAGTTTCCAAATGGTCAGTCCACCCCTGACTCGTACTGATCTTCACCTGACCAACAGCCATAGCTCCCAACTGATAACAGAAAAAGAGAGGAAGGTGCCTCTAAGTGCAGTATTGACAATTTATTCAGTAAACAATGGAAAATTTGCACTTACAAGATAAACGGTTAAAAAGACTCATCGTGTGGTACTTAGATCCAGGTTGGACATCCAGCCGTCCAGCAGCAAACTCTGTCTATAGGATCAGGAAGTAGAGTCCAGGATGTGCCTGTGCATCAAAAATGATGCTTGGAGAGCAAAGTCAGATGTGGCAGGTGTCAGCAACACATCCAATATCATCCACTGATTGGAGTCAAGGTTGGCTCACTCCTGGCTCCAATTAGCTCTGGGAGAAGTCATTAAGCTAGGGCCTCACATACTTTTTCCTCCCTGCACTGTGAATGTTTACATGTTATGTGCAATTAAACCATGGCAACATCTAATGTTTGTGTAGTATTATGTTCAGCAGACTGTGTTCTTCTATTGTTGTGACTTAGATGATGTTCAGAGCACATTTTATGCCCAATTCACTGCAAGTGTAGCAGTGCCTGGAGAATAGGAAGGATGGTGTAGGGAGCACATCATATTTGAATCCTTCTGGATTCTTCTCTCATGGGGCTATGCTGGCTGGACATTTAATTTAGACTGTGGCTCCTTCATAATTGAGGTTCAAGGGGTGTCTCAGTCTTCATGTTTGAAGACAGGACAACATGGAAGGTTCCTATGTATACTTTCCAATTACTGCTTGCTTCCTCTAGGACAGGCCCAAACAGGACATTACTTTCAGCCAACATCTTCTGGGTTTCATACCTACATCAATCCAGTCCCTAGATCCTAGATCCAAAGGCCTGGGAGCAAAACAGTTCTCACAAGGGCGTCCTCAAAGAAGGGCATTCTTAAAAAAGACTAGCAGTCTACACAACTTTTCTGATCTTATTTAGTCATGACTGGCAATTGAATTATGCTATGGTAATAGAATTTATAAAGAGCCTCTCTGGTGTGCATTGAGTTTGGGATTGGGGTATGTGAATTTTATCTACTTTGCTTGTGCCACGTGATTTATCTAATGTGTATTTTATCAGTAAAGTGAAATGATCATCGTGTTTATAACACCGAATTTAACCTCCTTGGTCTGCTCCTGCAGGAGGAAGGGCTGAATGATGTCCATGAGATGATAAAGACAGAAAAGCCATATCCAGAGAGAAGACTTCGGGGGGTGCTGGAGGAGCTGAGCAGTGCCTGCTTGTAAGTACACTATACATCCAGGGAATATCCGATTGCCTCTCGGGGGATCAGGAAGGACATTTTTTCCCAGCAGGAGCAAATTGGATCGTGTTTTGATGGGTTTTTTTGCCTTCCTCTGGATCAACTGTGGGTATAGGATTATAACTTTTATTTTTAATGGTTGAACTGCATGGACTTTTGTCTTTTTTCAGCCAGACTAACTATGTAACATCAATTTATACACCTTTGGAATAATACCTGGAATCAAGGCCACTGATGAGGCAGTACAGTCAGCCTTTCTGTACCGCCCCCGGGGTTCCATCAGTTCAAAAGGGGAAACCATGGACCTACCGAGCAAGAGGGAAGCTGTACTGTCTTACTTCTGACACTTGTGACTCTTTTGGATCCCCCTCCAGCTCTAGCAGCTTCTATTCCTCTTCCCCCCTCTGACTGCACTGCAGGGGTATCAGTTCTATGATCTGCACTCTTTTACACTTGCTGTCAGGCCCCCTGTGTGTCCCCCTCCCCCACAGCACGTCCCTCCTCCTTTTCCTCTCCACTCCCTTTTCTCCTCTGCCGGCTTCCCTCCTCTCCCGCCTGCTGCTGTGGGCGCACAGAGCAATTATTTCAGGATAGAGCGTGGGAGGAGGCCAGTAAATATTTCATATTTATCGACCCCTTCCTTTCCTGAATGAACACAGCAAGCAATCGAAATCGATTGCTCCTGTGTCCATTCATTACTGAAGCATTGTAAACTGTGTTTACTATGCTTCAGTTTGTGAATGAATAGGAAGCCACAGAACGCTTCACATTCATTCACTATTCTGTGCAGCTGAGGCTAAAGAGGAAAGGACTGATGGATCTATGTCCTTGCATTCCCTGTCTCAAATGTGAGACATTAGGGATCTGTTTAGACCCCTGTTATTTTACCAAATCCCCCCCCCCCCCAACAGGGCAGTTAAAAAAAATGTATAAAAATAAATTAAAAATACAATTCTAAAAAATTTGAACATTTTAAATTTAAAAAAATAATTAAAATAAATTAAGGACTCGTCAAATGTGCTTTGCTCTGAAGAGCGGTCAGCATTTGGATCACTCTTCAGAGAGCATTTGACAGGAGGCAAGGTGGCAAAATGCCTGCTTTAACCCTGCACTAGCACATGCACCTGTGGTTGCGGGGCCCTTGCAGAACAGCGCTGTGGTTGGATTAGAGCATCTACTGCCCCCTTTTGGATACAGTATGATAGGAGTGTCTGTTGCCCACTGCAATGCGGTAGGATTGTAGCATCTACTGCCCCCTATTGGATACAGTATGATAGGAGTGTCTGTTGCCCACTGCAATGCGGTAGGATTGTAGCATCTACTGCCCCCTTTTGGATACAGTATGATAGGAGTGTCTGTTGCCCACTGCAATGCGGTAGGATTGTAGCATCTACTGCCCCCTTTTGGATACAGTATGATAGGAGTGTCTGTTGCCCCCTGCATTGCGGTAAAGGATTGAAGCATCTACTGCTCCCTTTTGGATACAGTATGATAGGAGTGTCTGTTGCCCACTGCAATGTGGTAGGATTGGAGCATCTACTGCCCCCTTTTGGATAAAGTATGATAGGAGTGTCTGTTGCCCCCTGCAATGTGCTATGATTGTAGCATTTACTGCCCCCTTTTGGATACAGTATGATAGGAGTGTCTGTTGCCCCCTGCAATGCGGTAGGATTGTAGTATCTACTGCCCCCTATTGGATATAGTATGATAGGAGTGTCTGTTGCCCCCTGCAATGCGGTAGGATTGTAGCATCTACTGCCCCCTTTTGGATACAGTATGATAGGAGTGTCTGTTGCCCCCTGCAATGTGGTAGGATTGTAGCATCTACTGCCCCCTTTTGGAATACAGTATGATAGGAGTGTCTGTTGCCCCCTGCAATGTGGTAGGATTGTAGCATCTACTGCCCCTTTTGGATACAGTATGATAGGAGTGTCTGTTGCCCCCTGGAATGTGCCATTTACTGCCCCCTTTTGAATACAGTATGATGGAGTGTCTGTTGCCCCCTGTAATGCGGTAGGATTGTAGCATCTACTGCTCCCTTTTGGATACAGTATGATAGGAGTGTCTGTTGCCCCCTGGAATGTGGTAGGATTGGAGCATCTACTGCCCCCTTTTGGATAAAGTATGATAGGAGTGTCTGTTGCCCCCTGCAATGCTAAAGGATTGGAGCATCTACTGCCCCCTTTTGGATACAGTATGATTGGAGTGTCTGTTGCCCCCTGCAATGTGGTAAGATTGGAGCATCTACTGCCCCCTATTGGATACAGTATGATAGGAGTGTCTGTTGCCCCCTGCAATGTGCTATGATTGTAGCATTTACTGCCCCCTTTTGAATACAGTATGATAGGAGTGTCTGTTGCCCCCTGCAATGCGGTAGGATTGTAGCATTTACTGCCCCCTATTGGATATAGTATGATAGGCGTGTCTGTTGCCCCCTGCAAATGCGCTATGATTGTAGCCCTCTGCAATGCGTAGGATAGGAGTGTCTGTTGCTAATGCGGTGCTCCCCTTTTGGATATAGTATGATAGGAGTGTCTGTTGCCCCCTGCAATGCGGTAGGATTGTAGCATTTGCTGCCCCTTTTGGATATAGTATGATAGGATGTCTGTTGCCCCCTGCAATGCGGTAGGATTGGAGCATCTACTGGCCCCTTTTGGATATAGTATGATAGGAGTGTCTGTTGCCCCCTGCAATGCGGTAGGATTGGAGCATCTACTGCCCCTTTTTGGATATAGTATGATAGGAGTGTCTGTTGCCCCCTGCAATGCGGTAGGATTGGAGCATCTACTGCCCCTTTTTGGATATACAGTATGATAGGAGTGTCTGTTGCCCCCTGCAATGCGGTAGGATTGGAGCATCTACTGCCCCCTATTGGATATAGTATGATAGGAGTGTCTGTTGCCCCCTGCAATGCGGTAGGATTGGAGCATCTACTGCCCCCTTTTGGATATAGTATGATAGGAGTGTCTGTTGCCCCCTGCAATGCGGTAGGATTGGAGCATCTACTGCCCCTTTTTGGATACAGTATGATAGGAGTGTCTGTTGCCCCCTGCAATGCGGTAGGATTGGAGCATCTACTGCCCCCTATTGGATATAGTATGATAGGAGTGTCTGTTGCCCCCTGCAATGCAGTAGGATTGGAGCATCTACTGCCCCTTTTTGGATACAGTATGATAGGAGTGTCTGTTGCCCCCTGCAATGCGCTATGATTGTAGCATCTACTGCCCCCTATTGGATATAGTATGATAGGAGTGTCTGTTGCCCCCTGCAATGCGGTTGGATTGGAGCATCTGCTGCCCCCTTTTGGATACAGTATGATAGGAGTGTCTGTTGCCCCCTGCAATGCGGTAGGATTGTAGCATCTACTGCCCCCTCCAGTGCATACTGCCCCTGATATATTATGACTGGTTTGTTATATTGCCCCTGCTGAATCCATTATTGCTTTGATAGTATGTAAAGTTTTTACTGCCGTCTGCTGGGTGATGTTAAGAAAATATGCTTGTGCTAGAGTCCACACGACCTGATAAATACAAGCAAGAGAAACAATTTGATCATTGTTGGTAGGAACAAGGTATACGAGCTGTAAGGACTGCGTTCCATTGGCGGCAGGCAATGTTATCACGCACAATTCCATACACTTTGGGGTGGATTTACTAAAGGCAAATAGACTTCAGTTGCTCCAGAGCTTAGTAAATGAGGCAATGCTTCACTTTGCAAAGAATCCCCATAACATGCAAGGAAAGATTTTTTTTTGTTTTTTAAAAAAAGCTTTTTTGCTTGCATATGATTGGATGATGGAAGTCAGCAGAACTGCCCCTCATTTGCTAAGCTCTGTAGCAACAGCACTTTGCAAATTGCACAATCATTTTGCCTTTGTTAAATCAACCCCTTTGATTAGTGGCTGCAGCCTATGTGTACACTGTGACATTTTGGACCTTGTTTATAAGCGTCAGCTATTTGCTCCATTGTTTGCTTCATTTTGCCGCTACATTTTTCTAGCTAATTAAGGACGGCTGAATCAGCAGATTTGTGGATTGGAACTGTATATATACTATATTGCCCAAAGTATTGGGACAGCCCTCCAAATCATTGTGATTCAGGTGTTCCTCCAATCACCTCCATGGCCACAAGTGTATAAAATCAAGCACCTAGGCGTGCAGACTGCTTCTACAAACATTTGTGAAAGAATGGGTCACTCTCAGGAGCTCACTGACTCCAGGCGTGGTCCCGTGATAGGTTGTCACCTGTGCAATAAGTCCATCCGTGACATTTCCTGGCTATTAAATATTCCATATCAACTGTTAGTGGTGTTATAACAAAGTGGAAGCAACTGGGAACAACAGCAACTCAGCCACCAAGTGGTAGGCCACGTAAAATGACAGAGCGGGGTCAGCGCATGCTGAAGCACACAGTGCGCAGAAGTTGCCAACTGTCTGCAGAGTCAATAGCTAAAGACCTCCAAACTTCATGTGGCCTTCAGATTAGCACAACAACAGTGTGTAGAGAGCTTCATGGAATGGGTTTCCATGGCCAAGCAGCTGCATCCAAGACTTACATCACCAAGTGCAATACAAAGCGTCAGATGCAGTGGTGTAAAGCACGCTGCCACTGGACTACAGAGCAGTGGAGACGTGTTCTCTGGAGTGGCAAATCACGCTTCTCTGTTTGGCAATCCAATGGACGTGTCTAGGTTTGGCAGTTGCCTGGAGAATGGTGCTTGCCTGACTGCATTATGCCAAGTGTAAAGTTTGGTGAAGGGGGCATTATGGTGTGGGGTTGTTTTTCAGGAATTAGGTTTGGCCCCTAAGTTCCAGTGAAGGGAACTCTTAAGACATCAGCATACCAATACATTTTGGACAATTTCATGCTCCCAACTTTGTGGGAACAGTTTGGGGATGGCCCCTTCTTGTTCCAACATGACTGCACATGAGTGCACAAAGCAAGGTCCATAAAGACATGGATGAGCCAGTTTGGGGTGGAGGAACTTGATTGGCCCTGACCTCAACCCGATAGAACACCTTTGGGATGAATTAGAGTGGAGACTGCAAGCCAGGCCTTCTTGTCCAACATCAGTGCCTGATCTCACAAATGTGCTTCTGGAAGAATGGTCAAACCTTCCCATAGACACACTCCTAAACCTTGTGGACAGCCTTCCCAGAAGAGTTGAAGCTGTTATAGCTGCAAATTGTGGGCCAACTCAATACTGGACCCTACGGACTAAGACCGGGATGCCATTAAAGTTCATGTGTGTGTATAGGCGCCCCAATACTTTAGGCAGTATAGTGTATTTGCCTGCAGATTTGCCTGATCTGTTGAGAATTCTACCGTTTGGAATCAAGGCATAGTAACAGATTTCCCTAGCTTTCCAAGAAAGGGCAATTGGGAGTATGTCATCAGCACCTCCGGCTCAGCAAATTTTCTAGAAGGGGCAATTACAGATAGCACCCCCTGTTTCTGTGCCAATTAGGGTTGCCAGTTTTGGTGTTAAAAAATAAAAAAAGATCAGTTTACAGACTTTTAAAAAAATAAACTGACTCAAAAACAGTTTCAATTTAAGGGTGAATTTTAATTCAGGTTTTTCAATTGTTGTGCACAAGCCTGTCGGTCCAAAGTTCCTACGTAGCCAATGTCCAAAAGAAAAGGAGTACCACAAAGGACAAATCAATGAAGTGGTTTTCCATGCCCATGAGTCTTCAGGAGGGGGAGGGGTTTTTCTCAGCTAAGCACATCCTCATGCCTGCATGCCTTAGCTGAGGGCAGATGGATTCCAGGAAGTAAATGCTATGAATTATTTGCCCTTACTTAAGATGGCCATGGCCAGAAGTGCTAGGGGGAATTTATAGTGATTTCTCAGCAAATTAAAGCATGGAGACAGGGATGGATGGGGGAGTTTGCTTTGAATATTAAAAAAGAATTAAATAACACATTTTTGGTTTATGGATCTGAGTTGCAGTGTAGTTCTGCTTTATAGGCTAAGTTCACCTTTTTATTTTTATTTTTTTAATTCCATCTTCCCTGTATACCAATATACCATTAATGTACCTCTGTTGCCAAAAATATTTTTTTTTTCTCTATTCTAGGTCAGGCTTTACCTCTCAGCCTCTGCTTTCTTCTATAAAAAAAAAACTCCTCCATGACTTCCTGGTATACATCCTATAGGACAGGAAAACTGTTATCCCTGGTTCACACCAGATCGACTTTGAAATGGTGTGGCTGCAGTTGAAATCGCATGATTTCAAAGTTGGATTACCGTGCAACTTCATAGGCAGATGTCTATGCAAATTGCACCCCAAATCGGGAAAAGTTCTGCAAGAACTACTTTTTCTAATCGGTGTGACTCCGACATAGTCGAAGTTCAGAAGAAGTTGGAGTCGCATCGATTAGAACAGTTCCATTGCCGATCATTGCATGAGATTCGTCATGGAATTTGAATGGTCAAATTCAAACGACAATTTGCATCAGTGTGAACCAGGGCTTAGTGGTGTGAGAACGTACTTCAGCAGCTGACCTTATTAAAACACACCCTGCACCTGCCCTCCCCCTCCAGGAGATTGCTCCCCCCACCTCTGTAGTTACATGCTTCTCCAAAACAGGAAATGTCAGTGAGCACTGTTCTCACTGAATACATAGCCAGTGTCTTCTGATCATGTCTCTGCATCTCAATCATTTTGTACCTTACCTTCTTCTTACATAGATCATTCATTTGGCAGGGTGTGCAGGAGCTGAGTGATCACATAATAGCCTATGTGAAGCAGAGCTAAATTTTGTAAACAGGAGTAGTGTGTTCTTGGAAGCCTGTAAAGCTCGTCATACACTATACAATCTGATTGTACGATCTCTTTTAGATCTACCACCAGTTCTGCAGTGCAAGAGCCTGTCTGATTGCATACAGAGGGACTTGATAGATAGGTGTGTTTCTCATATTATATCTAGTTTTGTTTTGGTAAATCTAAAGCAGTGGTTCTCAACCTGTGGGTCGTGACCCCTTTGGGGGTCAAACAACCCTTTCAGAGGGGTCGCCTAAGACCATGGGGGGGGGGGGGGAACACATATTTCTGATGTGTAAAGAGCAGCTACTGTGAAGAACGCAGCTACTGGTGTAGAAGAACGCAGCTACTGTGTAGCAGCTACTGTGTAGAAAGCAGGTACTGTGAAGAAAGCAGCTACTGTGTTGAAAGCAGCTGCTGTGTTAAAAACAACTACTGTGTATAAAGCAGCTACTGTGTAGAAAGCAGCAGTATTGGAGGTAAACGACACTTGATGAATTATAATTACTGGGTAAATAATTTTATGATTGGGGGGGGTCACCACAACATGAGGAACTGTAATAAAGGAAGGTTGAGAACCACTGATCTAAAGGATCAGATTGTATAGTGTATGGCCACCTTAGCAGGACTTTAACTTTACATTGTAAGGACCTTAAAAGTATCTCAGATTTCGGGTGCTCTTCCCTCATACCAGAAGGCACTACGTTCCTCTTCAGGCTTGAGCTGTGGATTGTACCAGAAGAGGAAGATTACTAAATGCTCCTTGTGCCACCATACCTTTACCCAGCTTGGGCAAACTACAGGTTAACCATAGTTGTTAAAGCATTTGTGTGATTTTTATTTTTTAACTAGAACTATGGCCTCACATTTAAATAATAATATGCATCTGCACTTATAGTTCTTTCTTAGTCCCCCTGCAAAGCCCCAGAAATACCTGTTGATTCTGCCATTGCCTAATGCAGCTTCCTGCGATGGGGTGGCAATGATACTGCACTGCTCCTGAATTCAGAGCAGAGTTGCCACTCTCATGCATTCTGTGCCTGCTTGCACTACAGTGGGGTGTAAAAATATTGCAGGGGGCGTGGCTGTCAGCATTATCACTGCTGCCTGTAGCTTGTCAATCAATACCTAGCTCCGCCCACTAACTTCTGGATTGACAGCATTGCCTATTGTGGCTGAAAACCCTCCCACTGTGGGCAGCAGTGTCTGGGAGGGGGAGCATATGTGAGACACAAATTAAGGAAGGATTTGGCTCAGGCAGGGAAAGTAAAGAAAGATTTTTGTGCTTCACATGGATTTGGTACTTTTTTTCATATTATCATGCAGGAACATTCAGTTGTTTCTTTAACTTTCTTTGCAGTCGCTTTGTCACATTGGCCAACAAGGATCAGAATCAGAATGGACGGACTAAACTGGACCGCGAGCGATTAAAATCCTGCATGCGAGAGCTAGTAAGTTCTGACATATATCGTTCATTTCAAATTTAAAGTGGTTGTAAACCTCTGACGTGAAATAACAAAGCCTATCCCTAGCAGGGTTTCTCAACCAGGGTTCCATGGCATCCTAGGGTTCTTCTAGAGGTTGCTAGGGGTTCTTTGAGCAATGAGCAATTTCTGCCTCTCAGATAAATTCCCACTGACACCATTGATCTTTTCAGCTATCTGTAAAGAGGTGATATTTTCCAATGACCACAAGCGTAAGAAACATTATTCCCACCGACCATCACACTAATGTATCATGAGTTGTAGATATAGTCATTTTTAGCAGGGGTTCCCTTTTTTTTAGCAGGGGTTCCCTGAGACCGGAAAGTTATTTTCCTCTTTGTTGAAAAGGTTGAGAAAGTCTGCTCTATAGTGTGGACTTGTGTCAATCCAAAGTGCTAAGTGTCATTTCTGTCTGCTGCCTTGTTCCTCTGCTATAAGCAGTAGTCACTTCTGATGCATTTTCCTGACACAAAGAGAACAGTGGTGACAGGAGAGGGACCTCCTGATTGACAGCCTCAGCTCTATTCTTGTGTGCTGTGTGAAGGGGTGGGGGGTGTCCCTTCCCTCCAATCAGCTCTCAGAACTCTCCTCACTGATGTAACTTTAGCTTCCCACCCCCTGCTTTTCAGAGCTGAGAGATCCTGTGTAAATTCTGCACTTTGAATGGATGTAGGGGACAGACAGCTGCAGATAAACAGGTACAAGTTATGGAGGAGGATTTTTTTCATCAATGTGTATCACCTAAGACCAGTCATTTCACTGGGTATATGTGAGGGTTTACAATCACTTTAGTAAGACAGGACAAAGAAGAACATTGACATACAAAGTGTGCTGACATCTAGCAGCCAATCACAGAAGCAGGGGCGGACTGACAACTCATGGGGCCCCCGGGCAATAGGGGATCATGGGGCCCCTGTGTCCTTGCCCAAACTCAAAAAAGCCTATGAAAAAGGTACCAGGGGCATCTCAAGGGGCCCCCTACTGACCCCAGGCCCACGGGCAGTGCCCGAGTTTCCAAATGGTCAGTCCACCCCTGCTCAGAAGTCAGATCGGCAGAGGAGGTTTTTGACTGATATGCTGTAGTCCTCTGCTCTTTTCACATTGTCTTTACATTACTGAATCAAATTCTTTCTGTGTCAATGCTGCCTATGCAATGTGTATCCTCACTGTGCCTCCATCTGTACAGGAGAACATGGGGACCCAGGCCAAGACAATGAGGTCTCAGGTGAAGAAGAACACTGTAAGGGATAAATTGAAGTTGGTCCAGAACTTCCTACACAAACTGCGATTCCTGGCTGATGAGGTGAGCTGCGTCATACATCACTTTGCTACACACATAGGGGTCTGGTAATAAAACATTTGTTGCGCAAATGTCAGAAACATTTGTATACGCTGATCAAAATGTGACCGTAATTTTTGTAAGAGAGTAATGCCTGTCTCTCCAGCGCCATCTAATGGCCACAATGTGCTGTAGTTTACTCACTGAGGTGCTTCAGAAAAGTATACTGGATTTTGGCCACTAGAAGGCGCTGAAGATCCAAGCATTATTCTCTTACAAAAATTACAGTAAATGTTCACTCAGCATGCATGAACGCTTGAAATGCAAACAAATGTTTCAGAAATAGACAGCATAGGTACATGGTTGTGGGTGAATAGCAAGCATCAGCTTCATATTTAAAGAATGTCTACACCCAAAAAATATTTATCCTATCTTTTTAGGGCTGCAAACATGAAAAAATAATTGCTGATCCTCACAGAAATCCAGTGACCTTATACTGAAGTGAAACCTCAAAAAATGTTATCAGATTTCCTATCTATCCTCTGTAAACTACAAAACACCTCCTTCATGTAGAGGAGAGGGAGAGATGTTTATAACCAAATAATGAGGTCAGCCTGGGGCGACAATGCTGCTCCTCTATAAATATAGTAGGTCATCCTGGGGCGACAATGCCATAGGTATAGTAGGTCAGCCTGGGGCGACAATGCTGCCCTCTATAAATATAGTAGGTCATCCTGGGGCGACAATGCTGCTCCTCTATAAATATAGTAGGTCATCCTGGGGCGACAATGCCATAGGTATAGTAGGTCAGCCTGGGGCGACAATGCTGCTCCTCTATAGATATAGTAGGTCATCCTGGGGCGACAATGCCATAGGTATAGTAGGTCAGCCTGGGGCAACAATGCTGCTCCTCTGTAGATATAGTAGGTCATCCTGGGGTGACAATGCTGCTCCTCTATAGATATAGTAGGTCAGGCTGGGGTGACAATGCTGCTCCTCTATAGATATAGTAGGTCATCCTGGGGCGACAATGCCATAGGTATAGTAGGTCAGCCTGGGGCGACAATGCTGCTCCTCTATAGATATAGTAGGTCATCCTGGGGCGACAATGCTGCTCCTCTATAAATATAGTAGGTCATCCTGGGGCAACAATGCCATAGGTATAGTAGGTCAGCCTGGGGCGACAATGCTGCTCCTCTATAGATATAGTAGGTCATCCTGGGGCGACAATGCTGCTCCTCTATAAATATAGTAGGTCATCCTGGGGCAACAATGCCTTAGGTATAGTAGGTCAGCCTGGAGCGACAATGCTGCTCTCTATAGATATAGTAGGTCAGCCTGGAGTGACAATGGTGCTCCTCTATAGATATAGTAGGTCAGCCTGGGGTGACAATGCTGATCCTTTATAGATAGAGTAGGTCAGCCTGGGGTGACAATGCTGATCCTTTATAGATAGAGTAGGTCAACCTGGGGTGACAAAGCTGCTCTCCATAGATATAGCAGGTCAACCTCAGCAAACAATGTTGCTCCTCCATACATACAGTAGGTCAACCTGGGGTGACCTCATGCTCTTCAATAGATATAATAGGTCAGCCTAGGTAGTATCATGTGAAGTCCTTGCCCTTATCTGAAATGAACCATCTAAAGAGTGACTATTGGTCACTGGTGTAGCTACAGACCAATGGGCCGCAGAACAAATTCTGAATCAGCCCCACCACCCTTCACTTCCACCAATACTTTGGGAACTATTTTAAAAAATATTTTTCTGGATGAAAGTGACAGACATTTGCGCAGCCTTCACAAATTCTAACCATATTTTACCTAAGTTTATTTCCTATGATCATCAGCTCCATCTAGTGGCCATAATGCAGTATTTTTCCTGAATGCCTCCATCAGGAAAAATACTGCATTACGGCCACTAGATGGAGCCGTTGATCATAGCCAGGGGTGAGCACTTTTTTCCAGCGAAGTTTTTATAAATAGGCCCCCGTTGTGGGTTTCAGTCTAACACATGCAGTATACATAGAAATTACTTTCTATAATTTCTTCATAGACACAGTTGTGAGTTCTTTTTGGATTCTCCGCACTGAATTCATCCTTTATTCCTATATGATGTTCCCCCAGCCCCAGCACAGTATCCCGGATGTCTTCATCTGGATGATGTGTAATAATAAGCGTATCGCCTATGCCCGCATACCATCCAAGGACATCTTGTACTCCATTGTGGATGAGGAGACTGGAAAGGATTGTGGGAAAGTCAAGGCTGTCTTCCTTAAGGTAAGTGAGGCCATGATGGTGGAATTATTTCCTGACGTGAAAATACACAGTGACAGTATGGTTGAATGATGTCATCAGTCTGCTGCAGGCAAAAAGCATTTCCTCAGTCCCCTTTTCCCCACTGATCACTGAGACTATACATTGTAGCTTTGCTGAAAAGCTGCAGCAGGGAAGAACTTTACGTGTAATACATTACTTCCTATGTATGCGCTTAACATGAAAGCTTCTATTTGTTGCTAGGTCCACTTTATCCTTACTCAGTAAACATACCGAGGCATTATTAAGGAAAGTGTCTTAAATGAAAATTGTCAGCATTAGTCCTCATGCACACGGGACGTTCTGATAACGCTGGTAACGTTAGCTGTGTAACGTTTTTCAGCTTTTTTTTTTAGCGTTTTTGCATTAGCATTTATTTGCATTTTTTCCACGTGTACCTGCGTTTTCTCACGTTTTTCCTTGGTTGCAGTTTTTAGCGTTTTTTTTTCCCAAAAAAAATTTTTTTGGGTCAAAAAAGACCACAAACACCGGTTTGCAGCGTTTTACCACATTTTACTGTGTTTTGCCGCATTTTTCAGCATTGGAGAGTTTTTACAACTAAAAAAAGTCCTCTAGTAACCCACACTAATCCTGGGTTTTGTTTCCAGCCAAAAAAACATCCCAGCCAAAAAAACATTGATTCCAGTCTATGTGTGTATGGACACATAGGATAACATGCTGGGGGGTTTACTAGTTGTAGAAAAAACATCAAAAACCAAAAACAGCCGCTGTAAAAATGTCCAGTGTGCATGAAGACAACAGGGAGACATCCCCCGCCATCAGAATACACTGTCCAGCGCTGCCAGCTATAGCTGGCGGCACTGATTGAATGGCAATTTTCCAACAAGGCGGTTGTACAAGAAGTTGATTGGTAGATCGACTTGTATACAACCACCCTGCATTTTTTTTTTGGAGGGGGGGAGAGAACGTGTCGGGTACTTGTCAAAGGCCGATCCGAACCTAAGCTCAGCCCCCCCTCTCTGCCCATCGTCTCTTGGGACACATCACAATGATAAATTATATCCTTTTGAAGACATTTCCTTTTTGTTAACATTTGAAAATCAGAATTTTTTGCTAGAAATTTACTTAGAACCCCCAGACATTTTATATATATATATATATATATATATATATATATATATATATACATACTGTATAGAGAGAGTGTATATATATATATATATATTTTTTTTTTAGCAGAAGCCCTAGAGAATAAAATAGTGGGTTTTGCAATGTTTTTTTGGGGAAAGAAATACACTTTTGTGGATTATAATTTACACAATCACAATATAGTACCCAATTTTTTGGTAAAATATAAAATATGATGTTATGCCGAGTAAATAGATACCAAGCATGTCCTGCTTTAAAATTGCGCACACTCTTGTGGAATGGCGCTAAATGACGGTATTTAAAGTTCTCTATAAGCAATGCTTTCTAAGCCTTTACAGGTTACCAGTTTAGAGTTACAGAGGAGGTCTGGTGCTAGAATTATTGCTATGATGCATGTGTGGTGCGATCTCCGTTTACGTATGCATGCTGGAGCCACGCGTGCATTTACCTTTGCATGCGAGTATGGGGGGATGGGGCTTTACATTTTTTAAATTTTATTATTTAGGTTTTTTTGTTTACACTTTCTTTAATTTTTTTCCGCACTTTTATTGCTTTTAAAAGGAATGCAAACATCACTTGTCTCTTTATGGAGACATATGGGGTCTGCTAGACCCCAGATCTCTCTTCTTCTCTAAAAAGCATCCGATCGCACCAAGATCGGTGTGATCAAATGCTTTCAAGATTTAAATATGGCGCTGTTTACTACTGGGGAAACTGGAAGTGACAATAGTATTCGTTGCTTCCAGTTTACTGTATCATTCGTGGCTGCGGATGTCAGTCACCTGGTCCCGGCCGATAATTACCCGCCAGCGCCCAGTGATTACTGAGCATCTCTGACGGGGAAGAAAATTGTTTTGTTTACAAACAATCTTCCTCCCTGTCAGCTCGAGCACACTGCACAATACAGCCATCCCGATCAGTGTGCTTACAGTGTAGCACACCCCCTAGTAAAACACTCCCAGCACACAGTTAACCCTTTGATCGCCCCTCACATTAACCCCGTCCTGCCCAGTGCCATTAGTACAGTGTCAGTGCTTTTTTTTAGCACTGATCACTGTATTGGTGTAAGTGGGGTGTCAGTGACAACAAGTTAGTTCAACCAATGTCAGAATGTCCGCTGCACTCCCACTAAAATTTGCTGATCGCCACCATTACTAGTAGAAAACAAAATCCCATTATCTATTCCGCCATTTGTAAACACTATAACTTTCACATAAACCAATTAATTTACACGTATTGGGATTTTTTTTTAGCAAAAGACATGTCGCAGAATACATTTTCGCCTAAATTTATGATGAAATTTGATTTTTTTAAATTTTTACTGGACATGTTTAATAGCAAAAAGTCCAAAATATATATATATATATATTTTTTTTTTTCAAAATTGTTGGTCTTTTTTTGCTTATAGCACAAAAAATAAAAACGCACAAGTGATCAAAAAGCACAGACAGAAAGCTCAATTAGTGGAAAAAAAGGGGACGTACATTTCATTTGAGTGAAGCGTTGTATGACCGCGCAATTGTCAGTTAAAGCAACGCAGAGCCGTAACGTAAAAAATGGCCTGGTCAGGAAGGGGGGGGGGGGGGGGGATCCTCAGGAGGGCAAGTGGTTAAACCATTAATGCGACTCTGCTGATTGTGTAGAGCTGATCTACCCTGCCTCATATGTATAGCACTGTAACCAGTAGACATGTAAGATTCTCCCACACACATAGCAGTGTAGGTTTCGGTATTTGAGTGCACTGAGCCCTGATATATGCCCTCTATTAGAGCGGGCAATGGAGCGGGTTATTACTATATGTATGCCCTGATGCAGCTTCTCATTTACTTTCTTTGTAACACAATTACTCTGTTATACCCATATTAGATATTATGACAGAATGAATTCCTCTTATGATGACAAGACATTTCTCAGGACAGCTACAAGTGTCATCCGGCTCTCATTACAATGCAGTGCTGAATCTCCCAGGAGCGGGGTGACAAGGGGGCTAATTACAAAGATCAGCAAAGTCTTTTCTTTTTGTTATAGCGCACGTTTCTTGGTGTCACCGCCAATATTTATTTCAGTATATGTCAAGTTGAAATGTAAAAGTTGTAATGTTAAAAGTGAAGTAAGAAAATTAGTGAAGCACATGAAAAAAAAAACAACAGTAACAACAAAATAAATGAATTACACTACTCTTTTTTTTCTTTTTTTTTTTTTTTTTTTTAATAAAGCAAACCTGTTAAGGGCATTTATATAGTGGCAATAATTTATCCAGCGCTTTAAATATTGTACATTCAACATCATTCCCTGCTTTCAAGAAGCACACAGCCTAAAGCTGGGCATACACTAGTAAAATTTTGTTTGACATTTTTCAGTTTTATAAGTATAGCCCTACTCCCTTAGGAGTCACTGAGTTTTGGGTCCCTCTGCAGTTCTGCACTGCCAGACAACACGCATTTTCTTCAGACCTTGCACAGTAAACAGTCCTTGAGCTGGCTTTTTTTTTTTGGTTTTATTAATGGGTATTGAACTTAGGTTTGAGAGGTGTATGGGATGCCCAAGGAAACTACAACTTAAGAACAACTGCCTAGCAACAGACAAAGATCCTTGGAGAGCTCTCCAGCCCTCCTGGCGTACCACCTCATCCCCCAGATGAATTCTCCTCTTCACCAAGCAGCCAGGAGAGAATTCCTGAGCAAGAGGGCCAATGCCACTTTAGCAGAGCAACTCCAGATGATGAGCTAGTTGGGTTGACCACCTGACTGCCCTCTCCTATCCAGCCCAGGGGTGTGGGATTATTCACTCAGTCCTCTCCTGCAATTTTGTGGGTTGGTGGTTGCCTTCAGGCCTTATGCTGGGTTAGCTCTCTCAGAGGATGGATGAAGCTGAGAAATCCTCCTTCCCAGCTCCTGCCTGCAAGTAGACTCCTCTCCTGGGCCCTCTCCCTGGCTCCACACTCCAGCCTCCATTCCATCTTCCACCCAACACTACTTCCTGCTGCTCAGACTCTCCCATACTTAAGGGCTGTCTTGGCCAAATGCCAGGCCTCCTGCTTGGGGATTGGCCAAGATCCCCTAAGTATGCAGATCAGCCCCTCCTCTCCCTCACCCACTGCCTTCTAGAAACTTCCCAAGTGGCTCATGTAAGACAACCAAAGACCTTCTATGACCTGGAGACATTTTACTAAGATGAATGGGCAGCTATACCACCTGCTATACCACCTGCTAGACAACTATTACAAAGGACTGCAAGCTGTCAATGATGTAAAAGGGGCAATACACAGTATTAGGAACTAAGGGGAGGTAGACCTTTGAACAGGGGTCATTTGTTTACTTATTGCCATGTTTTGTTTTATGATTGTGCCATTCTGTTATGACCTATAGTTGAAAGTATGCAAACTTTTGAGCACAACTGTGTGTATATATCTATATATATATATACTGTATAGAGAGAGTGTGAGTCTCTGTGTATATAAAATTAATCTTTCTCCTTATGTTTCTTCCCCAGCTACCTGGAAAGCGAGGTTTTGGCCCTGCTGGTTGGACTGTTCAGGCCAAGATGGAGGTCTACATGTGGCTGGGCCTGAACAAGCAGAGGAAGGACTTTCTGAATGGTCTGCCCTGTGGGTTTGAGGAAATTAAAGCTGCAAAGGGCCCAGGTCTGCAGTGCTTCCCTCCTATTAGCCTCAGCTATACAAGTAAGTGGAAGCCAGTAGGACTATTTCAGATTTATATCTCTTCAGATACTGTACAGTTAAAGAATGCCTGTTTGTGGAGGTGACACTGGGGACTCATGTGGAATTTTCATAGATTACCCTTTCCCACACACTTTAAAGTTCACCTCCTGACAACATTTTTTTTTTGGGTTGACCTTATTGTAGACATTCTCTTCATTTGATGTCGGGACAGGAAGTGATTAAAAATCTCTCCAGCTGAAACACAAACTGCAGCCAAACACTTCTTTTTTAGTAAAACCGGGAAGGCTTTTGGGTTGCTATAATTATTGTCTGTATCTTCCTGTCCTGGTGAAACTTCTCCTGTCATTTATTCCCCTGGGTCAAAATGGGTCACTATATGTGATTTTGTCATTCTTATCATGTCTGCTTTTCCTTTGTCTCTTCCAGAGAAACAAGTATTCCAGTTGCGTGCACACATGTACCAAGCACGCAGCCTGTTTGCGGCAGATAGCAGCGGTCTTTCTGATCCCTTTGCCCGAGTTTTCTTCAATACCCAGAGTCAGTGCACAGAGGTGGGTTGGAGAATCTGATCTGCTTGGGTCAGTCCAATACACTTGACACACCAAATTATTTCCTTTTTTTTTTCACAAAGAAGAGAACAAATGTCTCATAATCCCACTACCTCTTTGGCATGGTTAAATTATTAAGACCCATTCATTCCAGGGCTATTTAAATCACGGGCAGAATCGCTGCGATTCTGCCTGCACTCTCAAAATGATCTGTTAAGCTGCATTTTAATTGCAGCAAAGCACATGACACATATGGCCCAAAAGAAGTACAGGATTCAAAACGCCCTAGTGTGAATGCGGCCATTCATGTGTCTCATGGATGATGATATTGAAATCCCTGCTCTTAAGTTCCCCATTTTGAATTGCCTCCTTTTCCTTGTTTTCTGGTATTTTGATTGGTTTAAAAATAGAGCGGTGTAAAAAAGCATAGAAGTATAAGTAAGGCTACTACCTCCATGGCCATGTGAGATAGCCTTCAAGTAATAGATGTGCACTTCAAATGCCCCAGTCCACTTACTCCAATGTAGCATTGCACATCTTCCACTTAAGGCTGGATCTTTGGCATGTAATGGGTCCAAACAAGAGGCCCCAGTCACTTTAGTACATTTTAATAATTTAATGTACTGAAGCACTAAACAGGATAAATAATGAAAAAAACAGGATAGTGAATACAGCCATAGCTTAATGGCAACATCTGTGTTTTACGACATTATAGCCCCTTTATGCAGGTCCCGTGCACACATAGGGTGGCTGGACAGAACAGAATCTGCTTGATGTACAACATGTGTTGATGTATGGTTGAAACTGGATGGACTTTTGTCTTTTTTCAGCCAGACTAACTATGTAACTCTGTCTGCTTGAATATTCTGGCTGCAATTGTGGGTCACATATTCTCCCTGTCAGCCAGTTCAATTTCATTTTTTCTATATGGGCAGCTGCAGATTCTTCACTCTTATGCCTAGTACACATGATCAGAAAATCGGATGGGAAAAAATTGGTTTTGAAGGGATCATACAATAATCTGTTTGTTAGTACACAGCTTTCGACAGTCGATCACAACCAGGAGTGGACTGACCGTTTGGAAACTCGGGCACTGCCCAAGGGCCCGGGGTCAGTAGGGGGCCCCATGAGATGTACCTGGTACCTTTTTAATAGGCTTTTTTGAGTTTGGGCAAGGACACAGGGCCCCATGATCCTCTATTGCCCGGGGGCCCCATGAGTTGTCAGTCCGCCCCTAATCACAACAGTTAATCTGACAATATCTGAAAGGACAAGAATTAAAATTTTTTTAGTACGATAACAAGGCGAACAATTTTTGTTTAATCAGTACAATATTTGTCTGACCAAGACCACCCATGCTTGGAAATGAAAGAATACATTGCAATATATTACATCACTTCCGAAGTTGTATTGTAGTACAAGAATTTTTGCAACTTTAGTAGCCTCTGCATTTTTCGATATGAGACTAGCATAAAAAAAACCTTCATCCGATATTTTCATTTTGTCTACGGGGCATTAGTTGAAGTGGTCACAGTATCTCAATTTCTGCAGACTCCAGTGCAGCTATGCCAGTTGGGGAGGGCTTCCAGACAAAACTCTGGATAAAGACCTAGGCAGCATCAGTATAGTTCCATCTGAACAGAAGCCAAGGGGGGGAAAGAACAGACATCCAACTGGGCAGGGTCCCAGAGGAAAAGAGAACTCTCTAAAGGGTTGTTCCATTTATTAATCGACTTCCCCAGCTTACATAACTGGGCTAACTGTTGAATAATTGGCTGAAAGAAAAAATATTCATGACATTAGCAAATAACCCTTTTCACATAGACTACTGAAGTCTACTCAATAGTATTCAACTATAGTATATATAGTATATCACCAGTATCCACCAAACACTGAAACATCAGTTTTGCTTGTAATGACCCTTTAAAGTGACATTCCAATCTCCTAAATTCTAGGCTTTCCATCTAGAAGAAATCATATTTCTCAATATGTGTTAATTTAACATTTCAGGTCCTGAATGAGACTCTGTGCCCGACATGGGACCAGTTGTTGGTGTTTGACAATGTGGAGCTTTACGGTGAGGCCTGTGAAATGCGTGATGACCCTCCCATCATCGTCATTGAGATCTATGACCAAGATACTGTGGTAAGACCATCCATCCATTATAAATGATCTTACAGCAATATATACAGGTTCAAGCTTCTAATCTAGGGCAGCAGATAAAAACTTTGATGATCTAATAAAAACTAAAGAAAAAGATGGGCCAGAAGAGATGTAATGAAGAGATATAATAGTGCCCATACACTAGATGATCAATTGTTAGAAAATCTGTCATTTGAACAGTGTGTTCATTTTTTGTCCAGTTAATGGGCAAAATTAGAAACTGGTTTTGACATTTTTGAGCCAAAAAATTGAAGGAAAAGTTTGGAAAACTTCTGCCGAATGGACAACAAAGTGAAAGGTAATGTGTTTCTCACCTGTTTATGTTCATTGAATGATTTATTGTTCGAAATTCAGTCATTTACATGATGACAATGTTGTTTGCTCTCACGACCAAGTGTTCTTTATTTAAAAATTAGTTAAAATGATTTTTTGACTAGTGTATGGCCAGCATTAGTTGCATCCTTTGTAGCCAAAGATCAGTTTTGGCTGGCAATCTCACACAGTGATACATTATATGGCCAGATGTTCGTGATAGCTGATCATTACACTGTATGAGCTTTCTGGACATGTCAAAACTACAGCCATTAAAATGCAGTTTCTCTCCCTTTGTGAGTAAACAGGTTTCAATCTTTTGTGGGATTTTGTTCCCATTTGGCCAAAAGATAATTTCTGAGATTAGGTACTGATGTGTGATGAGAAGACCTGGTTCACAGTCAGTGCTGCAATGCATTCCAAAGTTGTTCAGTAGGGTTGAAGTCAAGGTTCTATGCAAGCCAGTTGGGTTCCTACATCAAACTCATACAACTATATGTTTATGGTCTTGCCTTTGTCCACTGGGGCACTGTCATACTGGAACTGCAAGGTTTGAATCAGGATTTTCCAAGATGTCTTTGTATTCTGTACAATTTCCAGTACACTTGAACTCAATAATTTAAAGGCGTGTCCACATACATTTGGACATACATGGTCATGTGCCCACAGTCTTCTATCATTAAAGTGTATATGTGACTTGACTTCAATGATGTCAGAATAAATGGTAGCAGCTTTAGTGAAATATTTTAGAGTTCAATATCAAAGCAAACCGTGAATAACAAATTAGACTTACATGTCCATTTGTTGAAAAAAAAAATGATTCTAAAGATAAATAACATTACTGGATGGGGAAGGGATCCATATTGTTCAGGCCTTGTGTTTTAAACTTTGAAGAGTTGGGCAAGTGGATATCTGTGTCTACCCAAGTTTATGTGGCTAAACTAGGAGCTTTCATCAACAGTGAGATATTTTTAAGTGGCTTAGATTTTCAAACCCTACTTTTAATATATCTGAAGTCAAAGCATTTTTATTTTAGGTTTGGATTGAGAAGAGATCGTCATTTGTTCTGTCCGAATCCTATTGCAGAGATTTTCTTAGCAAATTGTCACTGAAACAAATGTCGTCAGTGGATATTTCCACTTTGCTACTGTTTGGTGACACGACAACATTTTGAAATTCCCATCACTTTCTGTCCTGGTGATAATGGTCAACAGCAAAAATAGACTGAATCTCCCCAGTGGGGAACACATCAACAAAGAGGTTCTTCAACACTCTTTCCACAATAATAAAAATGTTCAACATGAAGTTGTACTTTATCCATTTAGGTTTGTTTAATAGCATCCCACCCTCACACCTTTACCGAATCTAGATACTTCTGTTTGCTCTTCCATCAGCCTTTTGACTAACTAGAGCCAAATGTGATACCCAGTATTCCCTGGTATGGTGGAGAATGGGGCTCTCTCACAATGTTGGGTGCCTAAGCAGGAAGTTTCCAAGCCCCAATGCTGTCCCAGGAAGGGGGAATCTTTGGTGCTGTGTATTTTCCAACCATACCAGCTTAGAAATGTTTTTTCAATTTGACTCTACTGGATGAACGGGAAAGTAAATAGAAGACAGTTATCAGCGGTGATAGAGAGTAGGGTATTGTGTAAAGTATGTGTGGGTTTACTCTATCGCACCCTTCTTCAAAAATTCCAGTGACAGCTCACACATTTGCATGTGAAATAATGTTGTCATGGAGAGCAGGGTTAGCACCTCTGTCATGATTCTAATGCTATATATGTTATGCAGGTTTCGCCCTGCCTTGCGGTTGTCACCAGCCAGTTGTCCCCAGTGGAATATTGCCCTCCAACGTTTAACAACAGTGACAATTGACACATTTCAGATTCATTTCACTATGATAGGAAGGGGAAGGGGACTCAATTTCAATTAAAAAAAAAAATCTTATCAAGGTTCTAACCTGCCCAACTCTATCCCAACAAAGAAAAATAAGATATTTTCTCTAATCAGACTTTACAGGTACAGTATATATGAAGGCAACAACAATAATTGAAAACCATAGAATTGTATTTCCACGTATTTCCTAAAACACTCAGGATTATTGAGGATTTAGGATTTTCAATTATTCTGCTGGTTTTAACAGATTTGTGAAAATAAAATTCTATGTTTTTAAATTATTGTTGTTGCCTCCATATATACTGTACCTGTAAAGTCCATATTAGAAAAAACATTGCTTATTTTTTATTGTGTATTTCCGGAATGTGATACTAGTGTTGCCCTTGTTAAAATATTTCCCTTCCCAACTCTTTTAAAACTAATAAAGGAAAGTTTGGTACCAACCTAAAGAATAATCAACTTATTTCGTAGAGCTTTTTTTGTGTTTTGATGTTTTTAAGCAAACAGAAAGAACACATTGACAAAAACAGGAAACGTAATACTTTTTTTTCCACAACAAACTTTATTGAGAGAAAATAGAGCATAAACATTATACATGCAGAGATCAATCATTGGGTTACAAATAAACAGACGTTCCTTCAGTCATGGGCAATAGAACTGGTGAACAAATACAACAATATTCTCATCTCATAGGGCGAAGTAGCAAAGCAGTCCGTTTAGAAATTAGCATTTAGGACCTCAATGTTAAGGGGATATCAGACAGAAGCGTACCCAGCATTAAAGAAAGGGGGAGACTGGTAAGCCATGAGGTTAAGCTGAGGGTGGCATTGGGAGAGCCGATTCCACATGTAGTCCTGTCAACTCTAGCCCCGGAACTAATACTAGTATAAATAATTTATGTCTAATGAAATGTGTGAAGAGCTGCATAACAAAACATATATAATAATAGGATTAAGAACGAAGGCTCAGCCTTCTGGTCCCAATAGGTTTTTCCCTTTTTATATCTTGGCCTATGTGACCTGCCCACTTATACTGGTCCTATTTCAATATCACTGTGTTTCAGGGAAAGGCGGACTTCATGGGCCGGACATTTGCCAAGCCAGTGGTGAAAATGGCTGATGAGGGATACTGTACACCTAGGTTCCCACCGCAGCTTGAATATTACCAGATATACCGTGGAAACTCTACCGCTGGGGACCTTCTGTCAGCCTTTGAGCTCCTCCAGGTATGAGTCAATCTCTCACTGAAGTCTAGTCTAGACTTTAGACTGTAGACTAGTCTATTACTGAACTATGAGAGTGTTTCTGTTACTGTGTCACGTCACAAATGCATATTAACATGAAGATAAACTTAATGCTATGTTAAAAATAAGAAATGTCACAAGCAAATATTTAAAAGTTGATGGTCATCTAAAAATGTAAATAACTTAAAAGAAAGTAGTATCACAAGAAGCGACATTCACTTGCTCTCAACTGTCTCCCTATCCACTAATTGCTAGTCAAGGTAATATGAACATCTTTCAATGATAAGCTTCCTGTTACCTAAAATCAATATTAGATGATGTGCCCAAACCAGGCTGTCAAGTCAGATCCTGGAGATGGGTCCTGGCTGGACCAGACATTGTTGCTGACCTGCAATGAAGTCTCCATGGAGGTCTAGGATCTTACTGTGCTCTTTGGAAGAAGTGCCTGGATTACAAAACTGGCTAAACAGAATTACAAATCATTTGGTATTTTATATCATTTGCATATATGCATTTTAACTGTGTATTTGCAGCATTCGGGTGCTATGGCTATGCAATCTTAGAGCATAGCCAAACTGGATGATTGCCAAGAGTATTAGAATATTTAAACATGTATTTGTCAGATAGCTGTACTACTATTTGTTAATCACTTAGGAGAAAAAAAATAGTATGAGAATAAATTACATGGTCAGGATGACTTTTAAAGATGGTAAAGAGCATGGATAATGTTCAAACTAACTTTATCTGCCCTAGATAAATAAAACCTATCAAATGTTAGCTGATGGCCAGAGTAAATGGAGGAAAAAAACTGATTTAGCTACTGCACCTGAATAAATCTAGTTCCAAACATTGTAAAATAAAATATTGGTTTGCTTTGGATTAGAAAAATGCCTCTGAATACATTTAGTGAATCTCTACGATAGCCTTCTGATGATTAAGAAGATGTAGACTAACTGTGGAGAGCCTGTGGAGCCCCCACAAACCAAAGATCCACAAGACCTCCAATTACCTGATAAAATATAACCGATAAATCACATATTATGACTCGCAGTTACTTAAAAGTAGCCTAGCCCAAAAAAGGAACCTACAGCATAGTTAATAAGGAGGAAGAAATAAAAGAGCTGCAATATTTACTAGTCTTTACAAACTTCTGCCCTAAGTCCCACAGCAGCTGTTCCCCAGACTAACCTCTATCATTTGGTAGTGATCTCATCACATTACAAGAGGCCTGAAGCATGACCAGGGGCGGATTGACCATTTGGAAACTTGGGCACTGCCCGAGGGCCTGGGGTCAGTAGGGGGCCCCATGAAATGCCCCTGGTACCTTTTTCATAGGCTTTTTTGAGTTTGGGCAAGGACACAGGGGCCCCATGATCCCCTATTGCCCAGGGGCCCCATGAGTTGTCAGTCCGCCCTTGAGCATGACTGCTTTGCCTCAGCGTCATTCCAAACTCTCAGACCTGAGTATTGTTACATGGGGGGGGGGGGGGGGGGGGGTTTAAACCTAATCAAATACCAACTTTCACATCATCAGCATTTGTATAGTAACTTCTGCAAGGTTCAGTGGAGCTTTGTTGATGGACTCGGTTAACTAAAGGTATGACAGCTAGTGTTGTCTGATATGCAGAACAGCTAACTATAGCTTTGTATACTTTGATAACTTATGAAAAGTTTTTTACTCTTGTAGATTGGCCCATCTGGAAAATCTGATCTTCCACCTATTGATGGACCAACAGACATGGAGAGAGGACCCATCCTTCCAGTCCCAATGGGTATCCGTCCCGTTCTCAGTAAATATAGAGTTGAGGTATGAACTGCATATTGCATGATTATATAGGATGTACTGTATGTTGTTAAGATTTCCATCAATGAAATAATTATATTCATTTCACTTCTCCCAAAAGGCTTCCCCCATTTTAACAGCTTCTGCCTTCCCCTCTGGTCAGCACTTCTCAATGATGTCACCAGGGTTGGTATTTTAAACAAGGCAAACCACAATAGAATAAAAACGTGATTGGCTGAACCTCTGAATGCCAACTTCCACGGTTTTAAAAAAGTTTGTCCACTCACAGATGGTATACAGTCTTTGGTGCAAATGTGTAGATAAGAACAATCAATAAAATTCCAAATATGAGACATAAATATGAATTAAGAACAAAGAATAAGTATAAAGTTCATGCAGGATAAACGTGACTTCTGTGATGCGTCAAAAGATGATACAGCAGAATAATCGTGACTCTTGTGGTAGTGAGACTGGGTGTAGATTGCACTAACCGGATGCATAAGGAGATTATGCATGGAGTATTTAAGACCTACTCCTGGTGCTCTGGATGTGAGACACTGGAAGGGTGGTCATCATCTTAAATCTCGCCACTAGATGTCATGTATTCCAAATCAATGGAAAGGCTCAATGGATATCAGCATCAGCCACCAGGGGGATCATCCCAATCATCAAACGGCAATAAGCAGGAAACGATGAGAACCTTCAAAAGGCCGTAGCTCCCATAATAAAAAGAGCCCCAGGCCAGAAGCTATGATAGTGTAGTAACTTTTTTATTGAATCACACTTAAAGCATTGACAAGATAACCGCCGACCGTCCTAAACAGGCCATGCGGTATGTAGTAGTAGTTGGGGGGCACCTATCTGACGCGTTTTGTGTAATTTACACATTATTATTATTTTGATAACGTGTAAATTACACGAAACGTGTCAGGGAGGTGCCCCCCAACTAATACTACATACCGCATGGCCTGTTTAGGATGGCCAGCGGTTATCTTGTCAATGCTGTAAGTGTGATTTTGTTTTTTTCTTGCTTTATTCATCAATAAATAAGTTACTACACTATCATAGCTTCTGGCCTGGGGCTCTTTTTATTATATAGGAGCCCCGACCTTTTGAAGGTTCTCATCGTTTCCTGCTTATTGCCATTTGATGATTGGGATGATCCCCCTGGTGGCTGATGCTGATATCCATTGAGCCTTTCCATTGATTTGGAATACATGACATCTAGTGGCGAGATTTAAGATGATGACTACCCTTCCAGTGTCTCACATCCAGAGCACCAGGAGTAGGTCTTAAATACTCCATGCATAATCTCCTTATGCATCCGGTTAGTGCAATCTACACCCAGTCTCACTACCACAAGAGTCATGATTATTCTGCTGTATCATCTTTTGACGCATCACAGAAGTCACGTTTATCCTGCATGAACTTTATACATATTCTTTGTTCTTAATTCATATTTATGTCTCATATTTAGAATTTTATTCTGGCAATTAGCACTGCATTTTATTGATTGTTCTTAGTTTTGAAGTTCTAGAGGTTCACTTCTCATGCCAGCGACTAGCCTTTTCTTCCTATTGACATCTATTGCTTGTTTTTATCGTTCTTTTTATAAATGTGTAGATAAGTTCACCCACCAATCTGTTATTCTATAATTGCTGGCATTTATGTTAGCATTGACCCACACAGTGGTTAGCACTTCTGCCTTGCAGCAATTGCAATTCCCAACCATGGCGCCTCCTGCATGGAGTTTGCATGTTCTCCTGTGTTTGCGTGGGTTTCCTCCGGTTTCCTCCCACACTCCAAAGACATGCTGGTTGGTTAATTGGCTCCTGTCCAAATTGTTCTAGTTTTTATCCCTGGCCATGTGGGATCTCCTGCATGGTAGGGGTTTGGGAAAGACCCGGCAACCTACCCTGTAAAATAATTGCTAAGAGAATTCATGGAAAAAGTCGCTTACGAGTGACGGTCCATGCAATCGCCAAGGGTCGGCTATGACTGAAATGGATAAATAAATGTTATCATTGGATTGAAATCTTCTCTTACAGCATTATAATCTGAAACATCAGCTACACTATGACATTGACAGTATAAAATCTGCTGGCAAGATTTCCTTGTCTTTCATTAGATTGTATGCTCTTGTGGTCAGAATTCTAATTGTTATTGTTTCATGTATGTTTAATGTTATTTTTATGTTCCCTGTATGTCCCTTCTTGCATTGCTGCAGAAGATGGCCACGCTATAGAAATATATAAATAAAAAATAATTGTAGTTTCATCTACTGTATAACTACACTGATTATAACATGTCTCTTTCCAGATCCTCTTCTGGGGATTGAGAGACCTAAAGAGAGTGAATCTTGCTCAGGTGGACAGGCCAAGGGTGGACATTGAGTGTGCAGGAAAAGGAGTGCAGTCTGCCCTCATTCAGAACTACAAGAAGAATCCGAACTTCAGCACTTTGGTGAAATGGTTTGAAGTGGTATGTGGGACAATACATAAAGGAACAAGTCTATACCTTTTAAGACTAAGGCCTTCCAGGGGTAAATATTGGGCCTTTTGGAAGCAAACGCATTTTGTTGATGCCTGTACCTGTTTGCTAGATAGAAACATTTCCAACCTAGAAAATTGACTGCATAGAGTTTTAAAAAATTTTTTCTCCTTGCATTGACAGGGATGTTCTTCCTTGATCCAGACATCTACTGGCTTCCACCCAAGTTGAACCAAGTGCATAAATCTGACTAAACGCAGTAGGGGCATTGGGCTCCTTTGGGGGTAGAGACTGATGTAGATGGTTTAGTGTCCTGTACAAGGCACCCTGGTGTATACTGATGTACAGATGAGATAACAAAAATCTTGAAGCTTTCCTAAAATGTTTTGGGTGATGTTCTTGATCATAATAATAACCCAAAGTCCAATGGCCAAACTATGCTTTTAGTAGCCAGTCCAATTCTCTTCAAATTGAGGCCGATCCCCTTTAAGACAGCAATTCACCAGGATGAATATAGAGGTAGTGAATCTCCCTAGAAAAGACACAGACAGAAAAAATAACCTGAAAGAAGCTTTATCCCTTCTAAAGCTGTGTCTGGAAAAAAAAAAAGTAAAAAAATAAACAAATTACTTTAGACACACGTTAATGTTAATTTTGCAACTATTACAGAATAGGTATTGATGTTGTGGCTATAAAATGTGCTTATCATTGGGCAATATTTGTCATTTTACAGGATCTCCCAGAAAATGAACTGCTACATCCACCTTTGAATATTCGTGTAGTGGATTGCCGTGCATTTGGCAGATACACCCTGGTGGGCTCCCATGCTGTCAGCTCACTGCGTAAATTTATCTACCGTCCCCCAGACAAGAAGTCTCAGCAGTGGAATACCACCGGTATGGCTAGTTCAATGTCTCACTCACTTTATACTCTAACCTAATGATCCTAAATGGCCAAACCCTGATAGTACAGATTTAAAGGCTGCACAAACATATACTTGGCAAAAGGAAATGTTTTTTACAGCTGTTGTACTGAGGCATATTGTAAGTAACCATCCCTCCCCTGCTGCACTAACTTTCAGTGCTGTAAGCATTTGGGTTGTATGAGTAAAAAAGAAAATTGTCTTTTCTAGAGGATGAAACATACAAGAGCATTAGAAAAAAAACACTTGAATTAAACCACCTTAGAGGTTCTTTTATCTCTCTGGGGCTCTATTGAGCTCTGAAATGAGATCCTGGGTCTGAACACCTGCTGTGCCTATTATGCAGGGTTCCCACTATTCCTGCTAGGTTTATTTTATATATTGGAGAATGTAACAGCGGGCAATGATGGTAGGAAACCTAAAACTCCAGGGAGGCCAGGACCAGGGATATTTATTATAGCCAAGAGATGGCATCTCTGGAGTCCTCGGGAAGCCAGTAAGTGATTTGGCTCATCAGACTCCAGCTGAATTATGACATTTGAGTAGAATATCCACTGCTTTTAGCACACTATGATTAATCTTAGAGTATTTTTTTCCATAATTGCCAGATACCTTTAAGTCACATTCAGCTTTCATTTCTGCCTCATTTCCAGTCTACGCATTCTTTTTCTTTGACTTCTCACTGTTGTGCATACTGTGACTTCTCTCTACATAATCTCTCTTCTTGAGTCTGTGCTGTGCTCTGTCCTTTTCTGTCCTTTGTCCAGCTAAATTGATGAGTGGCTATATGGCACTGGCCAACGGAGGGCCCTACTCTCGCCCCACAGGTGAAATTGTTGTCAATATGGAGCCTGAGGTGCCCATTAAGAAGATGGAGACCATGGTCAAACTAGAGGCGGTGAGTAACCAGATGCATGTGAAAGAAAAATAAAGTACCTTCTTTTTTTTTATATATAGGGGTTTTCTGCTTTATCTGTGCATTTATCCAATCCTTGATCGTGACATCCTCATAGAATCAGCCTTTTCACTGATGACGCGATCCTGATGGCCTCTGACTATCTTTCCATCTTACATAAACTCCAAAGAGTCTTGGCATCATTTAGCAATGTTTTATAGTACAAGCTCAAGAAGCAAAAATCCCAAAAACCTGACGCTAAACCTATCCCCACTCATTCAATTGCATCTTCAACATAACTATCCACATATCTGGGCTCCAACCTCCATACAATATTTATGGATTTGAAATTCTGTAACCTCTTAAAACTCTATAAGCCTAATTATAAAACCCTTCCTCGTATCCCTAAACCACAATCTTAAGCACCTATTATGAACTCTCTTTAACAGGTCAAAAAGCGTAATTTAAAATATTGATCTTTCCTAAACGTGTTTATTTATTCTGCAAAATAGCTATCCCTCTGCCAACACAATATCTAAATTCAGTTAAATCCAGTTACTTATTTTACATGGGGGCATAAGAAACCTAGATACTCACGCTCTATCATGGTAAAGCATAAGATCTCAGGAGCAGGGGCGGACTGACAACTCATGGGGCCCTGGGCAATAGGGGATCATGGGGCCCCTGTGTCCTCGCCCACACTCAAACCACACACAAAAAAGCCTAAAAAAGGTACCAGGGGCATCTCATGAGGCCCCTTACTGACCCCGGACCCTCGGGCAGTGCCCGAGTTTCCAAATGGTCAGTCCGCCCCTACTCAGGAGGGATGGGTCTCTCCCACAGCCATCATTATTATACCGCAACTCTGCTAGATCAGGCTCAACACTGGTGGAAAACCTCCCCACACAAAATCTAGTTGCTAATGGAAGCCAACCTGAACTAACCAGGCAATGACCATAGATTGCTTTTGTTATTTTAAATAAGCAGCACAGTGGCTAAATGATTAGCACCTTTGCCTGGCAGCCCTAAGGTTGTTGGTTCAAATCCCAACCATGGCACTAAGGTTGTTGGTTCAAATCCCAACTATGGCACCACCTGCCTGGGCCTTTAATAAAATGAAAAAAATAAGCTGATACACGCCCAAATCACAACATTAGTGCATAAAGAGTTAATTACCCAAATAAGGGTGATGAAACCATAGATTAGCTTTCATCAGGAAAAATACACTGTAAATACATTTATATATTTATGAAGGGAAGTGTCATAGTTACGTAGTTAGTCTGGCTGAAAAAAGACTAAAGTCCATCCAGTTCAACCACTGAAAAAAAAAAAGAGTTATAATCCTATACCCGCAGTTGATCCAGAGGAAGGCAAAAAAAACGCCAGCAAAGCATGATCCAATTTGCTCCTGCAGGGAAAAAAATTCCTTCTTGATCCCCCTAGAGACAATCTGATATTCGCTGGATCAACTTTACCTATAAATGTTAGTATCCAGTTATATTCTGTGTATCTAAGAAATAATCCAGACCTTTTTTAAAGCAATCCACTAAACTGGCCAGAACCAACTCTTGAGGGAGTCTATTCCACATTTTCCCAGCCCATACTGTGAAGAAACCTTTCCATGTTTGGAGATTAAATTTCTTTTCCTCCAGATGTAAAGAGTGCCCCCTTGTCCTCTGTGATGACCTCAGGGTGAATAGCTCTACACCGAGTTCACTATATGAACCACTGATGTGTTTATACATGGAGATCATATCCTCCCTTATGTATTTATACATGTTGATCATACCCCCCCTTAATCTCCTCTTCTCAAGAGAGAATAAATTCAGTTCCTCTAATCTTTCCTCATAGCTGATCTCCTCCATGCCTCTTATCAGTTTGGTTGCCCTTCTCTGTACTTTCTCCAGTTCCCCAATGTTCTTTTTGTGAATTGGTGCCCAAAACTGAACTGCATATTCCAGATGAGGTGTTACTAATGATTTGTACCGGGGTAATATGATATCTCTCTCTCTGGAGTCTATACCTCTTTTAATACAAGAGAGGATTTTGCATATAAAGAGAAAAAAGTGAATTGTAGTTCATGCACAAGATCTCCCCTCAGTTTCACTGTCTAGAGAAAGACAAACTCTCAGCTACAAGCATCACATACATTTTCATTAGAAAAATAAAAATACAGCATTTAACAAACATCAATACACATTTTGGAGTAAAATCCCCTTTTTCAAGTGGATTCGAATTTTGAGATCCCTGACTTTCTTACGCTGCATTTTATTATGCTAACCAGAGAATAACTCAAAGAGGTTATATCAAAGTTTCAACATCCCTTAAGATCTCCCCAATGCTATGTGGTAACATAGGCTCTCTTTTTTACATGTTTTGGCACTGTAATTCTATATGCTCATACTGGAACTGGATTTTAAAAAAGGCATTTCTGGAATATCTACAGTTTTCATAACTCCATCTCCTGCATTAACCTCTTTACATATAGCACTCGAGGAATTCTTTCCATGAACTAAGGTCACTATCGTACATTTACTTGTACTGGCCGGATGATCACCAGACTCTGAAACTCCACAACTTCTCCCAATATCCTAAACACCATACATGCTTTAAACCATTTTTGCTCCATGGGAAACATTATAGCATTTCAACCTTACTCCATCGCAACTTATTCTAATGTCGGTTGAGTGGTCCCAGTGGTTATCAAACCCTATGTGCTAAATTTTAGTTTGACTAACTACCCATCTTTCAGTGAACCCAGACTGGTATGTTTTTGTTTCTTTTTCTTTTTTTGCTGTTAAATAACCTCAACACCTATTCCCTCCCCATCCACCCTTTTCATAGTCTCCTCTGTGCTGTTCCTCTTTATGCTGTTTACCTGCAGGATGTGTCTTTTGTCTACCGGTGTCCAAATGGAACTCCCTGCTACTAACAAAGTAGCAAGGAGACGATACTTCAATTTTTTGTGTACGTTCTTGTTATAATTTGCTCACAGTATACCTTGTAATTGAAAATCTTCTGTATCACTGAATGTGTTGTACTGTACTAACAAAATAACAATACTAATGTATATTACCTGCTGCCCATATCAGACATTAATTGACCAATAAAGAAATAAAGAAAAAATTTAACTAAGAAAGTGGGTGTAAACAGAAACAGAGCCAGATATGTTGCTGTTGCATATATGCATTATTTGACCAAAAGATCATGGACATCTGACCATCACACCTACTGTAGGTAACAGTGGTCTCCAAACTGCAGCTCAGGAGCCAGATTTGGCCCTTTGTTTGCCTTTATCCAGCTTTTAGGGCACTATTCCTCCCACTGGCATTAACAGTGAGGCACTATTTTTTCCACTGACACCAATGATGGGACACTATTCCTCCTACTGCCACCAATGAAGAGGCATTGTTACAGAGGCCAAGACATTTTCTATTCTCATTGGCTATAGTCTGGACCCTCTAAATTCTGAAGGACAGTAAACTGGCCCATTGTTTAGAAAGTTTGGACACCCCTAGTATATGAGCTTGTTGGACATTCTGTTTGAAAACCAGTGGTTTTGTTATGAAGTTACACTGTTTGCAATTAAAGCAGCCTCCATTTCTCCAGGAAGGCTTTCCAAAAGTCATTGAAGTGTGTCTGCAAATTTGGTAAAATAGAGGTCATATATTGATGTTGGATGAGAATGACTCACAGTTGGCTTTTCAGTTCATCCCAAAGGTGTTCAGTAGGGTTTAGGTCACGGCTCTGTGTAAATCACTCGAGTTCCTCCACACCACACTCCTGAAACGTTGTCTTTATGGAGATAGCATTGTCTACAGGGGCAAAGTCATGCTGCAACAAAAAAAATTGTTAACACAAGATTGGAAGCATACAGTTGTCTAAAATATCCTTTGTATGCTGTAACATTAACATCACCCTTAGCTTGAGACACCTCAACTCAGTCATTTGGAGCTTTTGGTCTTCTAGTGTAAGTTGATAGCTGACACACTTTTCCTCTAGTGGCTTTGCCCACTCTAGAGTCATGGATGAATTTGGTAGTGTTTGCCATTATCTTGGATGTTTACAGAATTATGCTCACGGGTGAAATGTTTTTGAGACAAATTACCCAATGAAGAAACACAATCTGAAACACAAAAGATCTCTCTGGAGCTAAAAGGAAGATGAAGGTGTTCTTTGTTTTGCAATATAAATATGTTCATATTTTTAATGAATAGTCCATTTTGTATATCCTTCGTATTTTGTCTGCCATTGTCATTGTGAGTCTGTAAACATGGTTTGTTCTCTTTCCATTCCCCTCCATCTCTGTGTGACAGAATTCCGATGCAGTTGTTAAAGTAGATGTGGTAAGTTGTTATTGTTTTACATACCATTGCACACACCTTGCGGGTAACACAACTTGTTCACCACCATGATGTATTCTACTGAGTGTTTGAGAGTGTAAAACAAATGGCATGAAATTGGGATCACTGCCTGTGGTGTGTTTATTAAAATGACTCTGTTACTATAATAAAAAAATTAAATGAATGCCATTCCTGCAAAAGAATACATGCCTGTCCTGCTGCCTGGGCTTTGTTCCCCGGTCCAGGGAAAGATCTTCAGCATCTCACTTACTTCCAGGTGTTTTGGATGCCTGACCCCCCTGTTGTGCTTCGTGGTCCCTTTTGCCTACCCCTGTGTACTGTAATGTAACAAAATGGCTAGCAAAGGACACCCCGGGGCACAATGGCATGCGCAAACATTTGTCAGTCCTTGAAGTGTCGAATGCTGAACATTCTTCAGCAGAGCTTGGACTTTCATAGAAGCTTAGTTTGACAGAGAGGGCAGTGGAACAGGTATGTCATTTTTGTTTTTTGTGCAGAGATGGTATAAAGAGTCATTTTAAGGGTTGCATGACACCTAATTAAAGTAAAAATAACTGAAGTCTGAGCCTGATACGTTCACTGCGTATGGTTTGCGGAATTTTCTTTTTTTTTTTTTTTTTTTTGTTAATCTGATGCACAGTTCGAAATGCGGAATACATTAAATATAGAGTTTATTGTTTTAATGGACTTTTCTCACCAAAAATAAAGCCCTATATTGTATTTAGTGCCTTGTGCTTTCCAGCAGGGAAGTGAAGGAAGTGATAAATATGTGCTTCTTGTGGAGTCTGTATTAAAGCTAACCTGTTGCTTTGCCATTCATAAGTAAACCAGAAGTTAGCTTTTGAGTGTAAAGGGAAACCCAGAAATATCCCAACTGTGGTCCAATTCTGTTGAACTGAAAATTATATTACCTATGGAAACAGACACAGATCAAGGGGATCATGTTCTTGAAAGTACAACAGTCTGCAAGATTGTCATTTACATTCACTTGACATGTGCTGGTGACCACAAGGGTCAGAGCACTCAGTCACCCCACTAAAACACTATTCCATTACACTGCTAGCTACAAGACAGTCCACACTCCAGACCAAGGCATCAGTTCTGTTCTCTAACACCTCAAAGGATAAACTACAACTTTGGCCTCCAATTAAAAAAGTACCTGCTGATACCACTACTGAGGTCCAGCTTTTGTGATGATGTGGCAACAATGCTGCACTGGTCCTGAATTCAGTGCACAGTTGCCACTCTTATGTCGGCTGTGCCTGCTTGCACTACAGTGGAATAAAGAAATGATATTGTATATTACTATTGTCGCTTCTGATTTGCAAGCCTGTAGCTTATCAATCAGCACCTGGCCACACCTATTCCTGCCCACTGCTCTCTGGATTGAACTTCCACTGTTACTGAAACCCTCCCACTGGGAGCGGCAGTGTCTAGGAGGCGGAGTGTTTGAGACACAATGGAGGAGGATTTGACTCAGGGAAGGTAACAATAGTTTTCTGCTTACAAGGCTTGTGCATTGCATAGTAACTACTGTATATTGGGTACATGTTTAGACCATCATATAAAAGACTTTAGTTGTACTTTAAGTAATAAGGCACTCTAAGAACGCAGGGTTTAGTGCAGAATTAAGTTGATATTTTCACTGACCCTTTATTTGTCCTTCCTCAGAGTGAAGAGGAGAAAGAAAAGAAGAAGAAAAAGAAGAAAGGGGAAGAGATTGAAGAAGAGGAGCCAGATGAGAGCATGCTGGACTGGTGGTCCAAGTACTTTGCTTCCATTGAGACACTGAAAGAGGTGAGACATGGGAAGGCCTTCCAGGAGTATTATGTGTTGGTTTTGTTGGGTATCCTGGAAGATACTCTTTCAAATTAGGTCAGTCAGAAGACAATTAGGGATTGATTTACTAAAACTGGAGAGTGCAAAATCTGGTGCAGCTGTGCATGGTAGCCAATCAGCTTCTAACTTCAGCTTGTTCACTTAACCTTAGTGTGAAGTGAGAAGTATCAGTCATTGAGGTGAATCTCAACCAAGTACACCATGGAACTCAGGGGGTCCTTCTGAATAGTCACCCTGCCATGTCAGGTGACTTTCTGTTCCATTTTTCTTTTTTTTTTCTTTGCAATAATCTCTTCATCCCCCTTTGTGCTATCTTTATTAGTACTGATGCACACAAGGATCATACAACTGCTCTTGTGTGTAACCTTACTGAACCGGTAAATATAATATCTTGCCTTTTGACCAGGTGCAAGCTAGAAAGTGGTTAAACAAAGTGACATGACGTTCCAATAATAACATCTTCATCTGTCATAGGTTGTCAGTAGTGTCTAGTTGGTACAATTAGCAGGTAGCATCTCCTGCAGATCAAGTTTCTCATCATATTCTACCATCTCTCAGCTATCCCAGGGAAAATATGCTCCCTGATCTAAAAGAAAGACATTTCTCTGTCACATAATGGGCCTATTAAGATATCCCAGGTGGAACATACTCTCTGAGTTGAACATACTGCCTGACCTGTGTTTGCCCAGGACAAAGACACATCCTTTGGTCACATGCTGGACCTAGTAAGATATCCCATGTTGAACATGCTCCCTGATCTGTATTTGTCCAGGGAAAAAAAACACATCTTTTAGTCACATGCTGGACCTAGTAAGATATCCCAGGCTGAAGACAACACTCAACCACATGATGGGTATAGTAACATATCCTAGGGAGAACATGCTCCCTGATCCATGTTCATCTAGGAAAATGCAGGACACTTCTCAGTCGCATAATGGACCTAGTAAGATATCCAAAGCAGATTATGCTTAATGGTCCATGTTGGCCCAGGGAAGGGAGACACACCTCTCAATCATATGATGGGCATTGCAAGATATCTTAGAGGGGACATGCTCCCTGATCTGTGTTCATCTAGGAAAAGACAGCACACTTCCCAATCACATGATAGACCTAGTAAGATAGCAGAGATTGAACATGCTTCCTGGTCTGTGTTGGCTAACGGAAGGGAAACATACCTCTCAGTCACATGATGGGTGTAATCAGATATCTTAGGGGGAACGTGCTCCCTGATTTGTGTTCATCTAGGAAAAGGCAGCATGCTTCTTATTCAGATGATGGGCCTAGTATGATATCCCAGGTTGAACATGCTTCCTGGTTCATGTTGGCCCAGGGAAGGGAGACACGCCTCTCAGTCACATGATGGGCATAATAAGATATCTTAGGAGGAACATGCTCCCTGATCCATGTTCATCTAGGAAAATGCAGCACACTTCTCAGTCGCATAATGGACCTAGTAATATATCCAAAGCAGATCATGCTTAATGGTCCATGTTGGCCCAGGAAGGGAGACACACTTCCCAATCACATGATAGACCTAGTAAGATAGCAGAGGTTGAACATGCTTCCTGGTCTGTGTTGGCCAACGGGAGGGAAACATACCTCTCAGTCACATGATGGGTGTAATCAGATATCTTAGGGGGAACGTGCTTCCTGATTCATGTTCATCTAGGAAAAGGCAGCACGCTTCTTAATCAGATGATGGGCTTAGTATGATATCCCAGGTTGAGCATGCTTCCTGGTTCATGTTGGCCCAGGGAAGGGAGACACGCCTCTCAGTCACATGATGGGCATAATAAGATATCTTAGGAGGAACATGCTCCCTGATTTGTGTTCATCTAGGAAAAGGCAGCACGCTTTTTAATCACATGATGGGCTTAGTATGATATCCCAGGTTGAACATGCTTCCTGGTTCATGTTGGCCCAGGGAAAGGAGACACGCCTCTCAGTCACATGATGGGCATAATAAGATATCTTAGGAGGAACATGCTCCCCGATTCGTGTTCATCTAGGAAAAGGAAGCACGCTTTTTAATCACATGATGGGCTTAGTATGATATCCCAGGTTGAACATGCTTTCTGGTCCATGTTGGCCCAGGGAAAGGAGACACGCCCCTCTCAGTCACATGATGGGCATAATAAGATATCTTAGGAGGAACATGCTCCCTGATTCGTGTTCATCTAGGAAAAGGCAGCACACCTCCCAGTCACATGAAGGACCTAGTATGATATCCCAGGTAGAACCTGCACCCTGGTGCATGTTTGCTCAGGGAATGGGAAGACACTTCTTGGGTACATGATGGTCCTAGTTGCTTCACAGCTTTTAGAGAGCATGTTTTCTCTCTCTCTGAATACCTTTACAGAACACCTTCCCCCAACCAGCATCCTTTTACTTTACCGGATGAGGATTTCCTCCAGTCACAGAACAAAACCTCATTTACACACAGTGGAAAAAAGGTGCCAAAATGCTCCACAATATCTGATGATTTCCAACCCAGTGGCCATTTTGTTCTACCCCTAGGCTTTATGTAAGTTTCCAATGCCATGCCACCTTTGAGGATGAGATTTTTTTCTCCCAATGAGTTACATTGTTGCCCCCCCACTGATTTCACTTTAGATCTGCATATAACTTTGTACAACAGATGGCAAAATGACACTGGATCCAAATTGTCAACAAAGGATCTTCTTACTAAAAGTGTTAAATGATGCTTGGTATTAATTCCATGTATTGTGCTTTTGTAATATTTTTCTTTCTTTTTGCAATTAAATTCAGCAATTACGCCAGCAAGAAGCCGCAGCGGCAGAAGCTGAGGAGAAGGAGGAGATGGAAATCGCAGAGGGTAATTCTAGAAAAAGTGATGTGTTCTCTTTCCGTTATATGTTGAGCTAGATGTTCTCAGGCAGAGAGGATTCTGGGAAACAGTTTTAGTGATTTTTTTTCTGGAAGTGTTTAAATAGAGGAAAAATGTCTAAAATCGTGAGAATGAGCTGTTTTGCTTTGTCTACAACTGTACTCCATCTCCATGACTTAAAGCTATGAAAGTTGGCACAACCTGGCTTCAACATGCATACGAAAGTTTTAGATTTGATTCTTTCAAATGTTATGAACAATGTAGTTTCAGTTAGCGTATATCTTATATATTTACATTTATTTTATTGATTTTAATTATTGATGTCAAAGCATGCCAGGGCACCACCATAATAACTTTATCCTACAATAAGTCATAATTAAAAATGAAAGGCTAAGTCCAACCAAAATTGATTTTTCAGTTAAGGGTGGAGCCCAGTGGGTAAGATCATTCGCTGACTTTTTATATCTCTCTGGGATTTTCAGATACCCTTATGGTAAATCTGGCCCTGCACACTCCTTTAGGCATTACTGAGGCAGGCTAATATAGCATGATACCCTTTGCTTAAAGTAGAAGAAAATTAGAAAGTAACTGAAGAAATGACAGTGGTGATAGTGTGACATCCAAGCAAGGGGACGTGCGGAGCGATCCTTTCAGTCCTTTCAGTAGCTGCAAGAATAAATTCTTGATATGTCACAATATACAGCAAAAATACACTGCTCAAAAAAGGAACACTTTGAAAACACATCAGATCTCAATGGGGAAAAATCTCCTGCTGGATATCTATACTGATATGGACTGGGTAAGGTGTTAGGAACATAAGGATTCCCCATCAATTGATGGAAATGAAAATGATCAACCTACAGAGGACTGAATTCAAAGACACCCCAAAATCAAAGTGAAAAATGATGCAGCAGGCTAGTCCATTTTGCTGAAATTTAATTGCAGCAACTCAGAATGGTACTCAGTAGTTTGTATGGCCCCCATGTGCTTGTATGCATACCTGACAACGTCGGGGCATGCTCCTAATGAGACAACGGATGGTGTCCTGGGTTATTTGCTCCTAGATCTGGACCAGGACAATACTGAGCTCCTGGACAGTCTGAGATGCAACCTGGTGGCGTCGGCTGGAACAAAACATGATATCCCAGAGGTGTTCGATTGGATTTAGAGCAGGCAAGCGTGGGGGCCATTCAATTGTATCAATTCCTTCATCCTCCAGGAACTGCCTGCATACTCTCGCCACATAAGGCCGGCATTGTTGTGCACCAGGAGGAACCCAGGACCCACTGCACCAGCGTAGGGTCTGACAATGGGTCAAAGGATTTCATCCCAATACCTAATGGCAGTCAGGGCGCCATTGTCTAGTCTGTAGAGGTCTGTGCATTCCTCCATGGATATGCCTCCCCAGACCATCACTGACCCACCACCAAAACGGTTATGCTGAACAATGTTACAGGCAGCATAAAGTTCTCCATGGCTTCTCCAGACCCTTTCACGTCTGTCTCGTGCTCAGGGTGAACCTGCTCTCATCTGTGAAAAGCACAGGGTGCCAGTGGCGGACCTGCCAATTCTGGTGTTCAATGGCAAATGCCAATCAAGTTTTATGGTGCCGGGAAGTGAGCACAGGGCCCACTAGAAGACATCAGGACCTCAGGCCACCCTCATGAAGTCTGTTTCTGATTGTTTGGTCAGAGACATTCACACCAGTGGCCTGCTGGAGGTCATTTTGTAGGGCTCTGGCAGTGCTCATCCTGTTCCTCCTTGCATAAAGGACAGATACCGATACCGTCCTGCTGATGGATTAAGGACCTTCTATGGCCCTGTCCAGCTCTCCTAGAGTAACTGCCTGTCTCCTGGAATCTCCTCCATGCTCTTGAGACTGTGCTGGGAGACACAGGAAACCTTCTGGCAATGGCACATATTGATGTGCCATCCTGGAGGAGTTGGACTGCCTGTGCAACCTCTGTAGGGTCCAGGTATCGCCTCATCCTACCAGTAGTGACACTGACCCTAGCCAAATGCAAAATTAGTGAAAAACAGTCAGAAAAGATGAGTAGGGAAAAAAAAATGTGAGTGGCCTCCACCTGTAAAACCATTCCTGTTTTGGGGGTCGTCTCATTATTGCCCATATAGTGTACCTGTTGTTAATTTCAATAACACCAAAGCAGCTGAAACTGATTAACAACCCCCTCTGCTACTTCATGACCAGATCAATATCCCAGGAGTTTAACTGACTTGATGCTATACTTTGAATTAAAAGTGTTCCTTTAATTTTTTTGAGCAGTGTATATTTTTATAAAGATTTAAAAAAATCAGGACCATTTTTCATTGAAAAGGCACCCCTGGGTTAGTGGCTTTGTCTAGGCTGACGTGATGTTATAAGTCTGCTGCAGGCAGGAGGAAGCATGTCCTCAATCTACTAATCAGTGATCATTGTATAAATTGTAATTTTGTAGCAAATCACAAGGCTGCAGCAGGGGCTGATCTAACTCAGTCCTAATTTATATGGTCGGCCAGGGGATGGTAAAAATAGGTGGTTGAGCCACAGTTTTCCCATCCCCTTCCCTGACTGCCCAATAGCAAATAAACATGGCCACCAGCAATGTTTGTACACACTATACCACTGTCCAGCAGGCAGTTTTACCACCAAATGCAACCCATTCTTGTACATGGGTTCATGCTGCAACCGTCCTGCAACAGCTTGTAATGCAGGCGATTGTGGCTTTTAGGGGTTTATACAGGCATCCAGAAGATGACATATAACCGATATACTAATGACAGCTGTAGGCCTCAGGCACTTCATATAGGGAAAAGGATGCATGAAGGTTGGTCACCTCATTTTGCAACAACCAATACCCAACACAGCTTTAAATCTCACAGACATCGAGCAACATAATCATGCCCCCCTTATCGAAATGTAACAGTAGTGAAGGAGAGAAATAACAGGAATATTTTATATCAAATTATTAAATTGACAAATTGTGACAGTTGCCTTTTGAGTTGAAATTAAAAATTAAAGATATACCAGCATGTGATTGCACCTGCTAAAATCCACCCAAGAAATGTTGGTTTTGCGAGGATTTTGATCATAAAGCAGACTTGCCTTACCTATGCTCCATAATCTCTAAAATTGTTAATACTTTAGTACAGTATGTAGTCCCTAATGCTTGGCTGAACCAATGCCAACAAACCAAATCATTATTTCTGTATAGCACATGCCTTTTCTGATATGCCCACAAGCATGTACATAGAAAATGTGAGTGTAGGGAAGGAGAGAGCTACAGGAAATGGATTATGCTGATCTATATAAGAAGACATCCCTTTATATATACTGTAGAGCCATTAGATTAGCCTATGGAGCATGCATAGCTAGAGTTGATTACCGGTAATTAAGTTACAAAAAATTAATAGATGCTCAGATCATATGGTAAGTGAAATTTAGAATTGCTTCTAGAGTAAAGCTAGCCATAGTTGGATCACAATTTGGCCGGTTCAGCAGGGACAGGCCAAATTTAGTTCCATGTGTGGCCCCTCCACTTGTCAAAAGCCGATCTAACAATATTTCTGGTGAACCTGTTTGCTGGAAAACTTTTCTCGATCAGCAGCTGTAGCCAATGGGGAGAGCCCTGCTGTCAGAATACATTGTCTCAGTGAGGAGGATTCCTCTACCTCGATTGTGTGGATGGAAATATCCATTCATTAAAATGATCCATCTATGCCCAGCTTAAGAATCCTCTTAGTTATGATGATGAAGGGACAGATACCTAATGGCTAAATAAAAAAAGGCTAAATAAAAATGTACAGTACACTTTCAGACAGGGGCGGACTGACCATTTGGAAACTCGGGCTCTGCCCGAGGGCCCGGGGGTCAGTATGGGGCCCCATGAGATGCCCCTGGTACCTTTTTCATAGGCTTTTTTGAGTTTGGGCAAGGACACAGGGGGGCCCCATGATCCCCTATTGCCCGGGGGCCCCATGAGCTGTCAGTCCGCCCCTGCTTTCAGACATGCATAAATGTTATACATTGAGATAGCAAATAAGGCTGGTAAGTTGGTAAGTATTGTGGCTTCTACAATACATGTATTATTTCTGTTGAGGTTTGATGACCTCTTATCTTACCTCAGTGTGCCATTCACAGAGAAAAAAAGAAATATGCATGAATTTAGAAGGTGATAGCTGGAGAGGGAGGTCTTAGATCCATCCTCTACTCCAAACTATCTGTCAACTTTCATGCACATTGTGGTTTAGTGTCTTGTGTTGGTTCCTTCCATCTCCACTCCACCCAATCCTTGTGTGATGGCTCAGAGATCAAAATTGATGAATCTCCCATGAAAGGCGCCAAGGGTCAGGTGAAGAACAAAGAAAAAGTCAAAGTGCCCAAAGAGGACAAGAAAAAGAAGCAACAAGCCGAGCAAGCGGAGAAGAAGAACAAGCAGAAGATTGATGAGTTAAAGGTGCGTGGGGAGTGGATGGAATATGTACATCTTGTGTGATACCTGTGTCTTTTATTACACTGTGAGAGCTTCTTGGAAGACTTCATTGCACTTTTAAAAAGCATTTTTGACTGTACTTATGTTCCAAAAAAAAAAGGATGTTATGTGCCAACTCCTTTCAGTTAATACTGTTCTCACTTCCATTAAAGACATCCCTCCTAACAATCCTAAAGCAAATGCTACACCACTCCAGGTCAGTCCACCTCAATGCTAGCCCCCTCATCTTCTCCCAATAGAAGGTGCTGGTCTGGTTTGCAACCCTGAAAACTTGAAGAGGAATAAGTGTAAGATCACACATTACCACACAGGAGATCTAGAAGCTTTACTGTAGCAATTCAAAGATAAAAACATCACAGCCCCTAAAAGACAGGTGCAAACATTTAATAAATAATATAAATATGTGCCACGCTCCAATACATAAATAAATGAATAATCAATATGCTATATATCACATGATTCAACTCTAAATTAAAAATATGTAATCGTAAAAAACGATGATAATTATCTCAATGTGATAAAATATAAAAACTATCCAAATAATACACCACATAATTGATCATAAAAATTGCATATATAAAAAATATAAATTGTATAAAAAAAATTGTCCAATCTGTGTAATTAATCCAATAAGACCAGCATCATCAAATGGACTTGGTAATTTTCTTATGCGCTCACCTTAATTATAGCCTAACTGATAATTAGGCTAAAATAGCTTTTTCTCCTGAGTGGACAGATGGGATATAATCCTGTAGTGGATCTCCTTCCCAAGATGTAGGTTATACGTTGTAATATTCCTATAATTCCACCTGGGGTCTCTCAAAGCAGCTGGTTTATATATGGATGGATGGATTTCTCCCTTTTTTTCCTCCAGGGGTCTACTGTGTCCTCTTTTCTCCTCTTCAGAACTCCATGTTAGTATTTGTCAAAAAAGAAGAAATAACATAGTGCCTTATCCTTTTTTAAGCTTTTATTGGTGAACTATAAATAATTGCACTCACATTGATAAAGTATAAAAATCGCTTTTAGTAAAAGAATATCAGCCTCTGTGTGTGCTCTGCACACTTCCTTACTCGCTGTGTAATCCAGAAAGCACTGTGACGTCAGAGCCCCTACGCGTTGCGCCACCGGGTCACGTGGCTTCATCAGGGTGATTTGATCAAACAGGTGCAAACATTGACGCGTTTCACGCTAAAAAAAACCCTTAGTCGTAACTTTACAAAGCTTTTAGCTTACGTTCTAAAGCTTCTAGATCTCTTTTGTGGCAGTGTGCAGTCATCCACTTTTTTCTCTTCAGGACATCCTTCCTATGTGACATTTCTCTGTCATACAGTTAATTATTGCTTGATGTCAGGCAAGACAGTAGAGAAGCTGAGCAGCAAAACCTGTTAACATCTATAACCTGGCCACACGTTCACTATAATATTCTTAAAGTGGACCTTGTAAAGTCATCTTATCTTATAAGCCATCTGAAAACCCCATGGGAAAAAAGCATAGTTAAAAACAATTTAAAAATGTAGGCGATAGTGAGCCTTCTTTGGTCCTGGGAACAGTAAGGTGCCCAAGTCACTCCAGCATTGTGCATTTGTAAGATTAGGGGTCTCCAGCTTCCTAGAATTCCAGAACAATGCTCAATGATGTCACTCACCTAAGTGAGCTAACCAGAGCCTGGGGCAAACCCAGGGTAAGTATTTTTAATTTTTTTTATGTAACAATATTTTCTTACACAGAGTGGGCCTTCAATTAAAGAGAAGCTTGCATTTTCATAAAACGTCAGCTATAAGAGAAATATGATACACTGTTTAGAAAAATTAAAGGAACACTTTTCTTTTATCAGAGTCTAGCATCTCGTCAGTTAAACTCCTGGGATATTGATCTGGTCAGTTAAACAGCAGAGGGGGTTGTTAATCAGTTTCATCTGCTTTGGTGAAATTAACAACAGGTGCACTAGATGGGCAACAATGAGATGAACCCCAAAACAGAAATGGTTTTACAGGTGGAGGCCAATTACATTTTTTTCCCTACTCATCCTTTCTGACTGTTTTTCACTAGTTTTACATTTGGCTAGGGACAGTGTCACTACTGGTAGCATGAGGCCATACCTTGACCCTACAGAGGTTGCACAGGCAGTCCATCTCCTCCAGGATGGCACATCAATATGTGTCATTGCCAGAAGGTTTGCTGTGTCTCCCAGCACAGTTTCAAAAGCATGGAGGAGATTCCAGGAGACAGGTAGTTACTCTAGGAGAGCTGGACAGGGTCATAGAAGGTCCTTAACCCATAAGCAGGACTGGTATCTGCTCTTTTTGTGCAAGGAGGAACAGGATGAACACTGCTAGAGGCCTTCAAAATGACCTCCAGCAGGCCACTGGTGTGAATGTCTCTGACCAAACAATCAGAAACAGATTTCATGAGGGTGGCCTGAGATCCTCCAGTGGGCCCTGTGCTCACTGCCCAGCACCATAGAGCTCAATTGGCATTTGCCATTGAACACCAGAATTGGCAGGTCCACCACTGGCACCCTGAGCTTTTCACAGATGAGAGCAGGTTCACCCTGAGCACGTGACAGATGTGAAAGGATGTGGAGAAGCCATGGAGAACGTTATGCTGCCTGTAACATCGTTCAGCATGACCATTTTGGTAGTGGGTCAGTGATGGTCTGGGGAGGCATACCCATGAAGGGGCGCACAGACCTCTACAGGCTAGACAATGGCACCCTGACTGCCATTAGGTATTGGGATGAATTCCTTAGACCCATTGTCAGACCCTACCCTGGGGCAGTGGGTCCTGGGTTCCTCCTGGTGCACGACAATACCCGGCTTCATGTGGTGAGAGTATGTGTCAGGAATGGACTCAGCACTGGTGGTGGGACTCACCTGCCGTGTGGGCTGCAGTACCAGAGCTGACCAGCGGGTGCTCTCAGCAGCCAGAAGCTCACACCTGCAATCAGCCAAACCTGGGGCTGATTGCAGAAGGTGTATTTAAGGCATGACCAGGCCTGTGGTCTGGGCCTTGGTGTATGTTTTCCCATGAGCCCCTGTACCTGGTATCTTGTGTTCCTGCCTCGTTGCTGACCCTGCTTGATCCTGACCTCTGCTGATCGTCTCCTGTTGAACCCGGCTTGTGACCCTGACCATTCTCTGCCTGATCCTTTGTACCGCGCTGCCCGTGAGTTACTGAACCCAGCTTGTGACCCTGACCATTCTCTGTCTGCTCCTTTGGTACCTTGCTGCCTGCACGTTGCTGACCTGGCCCGTCTGACCACGCTAACTACTCTGCCATCCATCCATCCTGCACGGATCCAGCCGTCCCTGCTCACACCTTCTGCCTCTTCACATCAGGCTTTCTCCCTGCACATACCTCTGGCGGATCCCTCTACCACTAGCAGGTGTACTCAGGGGCCGCGACCTGGTTCCTGTCTGCTCCAAGTCCATCCCCACCATCAGGGGCCCTGGTGAATAAGCAGACTGGGACTTAGACTCCGCGCCCTGGGGAATCCTGCCGAGGACTTGCTAGAGGTACCACCATGCAGTTGTTACAGAACCCTACGGCCGGCCTGACCATTCCACCTCTCCAGCCCTGACTACGCCTGTGTTCCTGCACCTACTAAGATTAGTGGAAGGTTGGTTTGTTCACTGTGCGTTTATATATATTTATATATATCTGGGTGGCTAATAATAAACTGTATTATACTATACCTGAAACCTGCGTTTCCCTGTGTCAGTCCACACCTTTCTGGTCACTCCTAGATTCCTGACATCATGCAGGAAGTTCCTGGAGGATGAAGGAATTGATACCATTGAATGGCCCCCACGCTCGTCTGACCTAAATCCAATAGAACACCTCTGGGATATCATGTTTTGTTCCATCCGACGCCACCAGGTTGCACCTCAGACTGTCCAGGAGCTCAGTGATGCCCTGGTCCAAATCTGGGAGGAAATACCCCAGGACACCATCCGTCGTCTTATTAGGCACATGCCTGGACGTTGTCAGGCATGCATACAAGCACATGGGGGCCATACACACTACTGAGGACCATTTCAAGTTGCTGCAATGAACTTTCAGCAAAATGGACTCGCCTGCATAATTTTTTTCACTTTGATTTTCGGGGTGACTTTGAATTCAGTCCTCTGTAGGTTGATCATTTTCATTTCCCTCAAATGATGGGGCATCCTTACGTTCCTAACATTACCCAGTCCATATCAGTATAGATATCCAGCATGATATTTTTGCCCATTGAGATCTTAAGTGTTCCTTTAATTTTTTTGAGCAGTGTAGTTGCCATCACTGCCCTTCTGAAATTGTCAGTTGTCTGGCTGTTATGCTGATTTTTTGGCTTCAATAAAAACCCGGAACAATTATGTACATTAGGAAACTCATTGAAGATTTGAAGTCCTTGTCTTCACACTTGCTCCTGGTTAGTAATTCAAAGTACTTAAGCCAAAGGATCAGCTTAGCAGCCAATAAACAAGCATTTTTGTAAGAGAATCAGCAATGGCAGCCTCTATGATTAGTTATTCTATGACAAAATAAAAGAAAATGAGTTTCTAGGATGGATAAGACAGCTGAAGCCCTGCATTTCTCCTATTCATTAAACAGTTTTCCTACCATTAGACAATGATATTCAAAAATGATTTTATTCTATGCCAATGTAATTCTTTTACTGGAAGCCATGGCCAGATCTTAAAGTTCAATTGAAGCCATTTTTTATTTTTATTATGCAGTCAGGTTGCATAAAAAGTAAAGAATATGTGTTTATATTTGTTAAAAGTGCTCTCAAACTGTATTACTATACTTCAAACTATATTTTGACAGTGCCAAAAACTTGTTTTAGAACAAAACAGAGCATAGCGGTCTGGATCTACAGTGGTCCTACTTGTCCCCTGCTCGGTACTCTAGTCAACAATGCTGCCTAGGACACATGAAGGTTGTTGATAGGAGAATTATGCAGGGGGCATCAGACTGCTGGGTTTCATGCTTTCTACACATGCTCTTTATGAATCTTTGCAATCTCCTGATTTCAGTCCTTATATTTGGTCAAATCCAGGTCTTCAACAAAGAACTAGAAACTGAATTTGACAATTTTGAAGACTGGCTGCACACATTCAACTTACTAAGAGGGAAGATCGGGGATGATGATGACACAGTCAGCGAGGAGGAGCGTATAGTCGGGAGGTTTAAAGTGAGTATCAAACAGTGTCCAATAGGAGCTGCTGGACACAACACCACTGGGGGGGGGGGGGGGCACAATACCAATGGTGGACATAATAATATTTATTTTGTTTAGTGAGATAATGCATTTGTTAGGAATACCAAGATGCTTGGGATAAAACAAAATCTATATTATGGCACAATCGCAAAGCAATAAAAGAAATGATGGTTTTAAATGACCACAGGCAGACAAAAATCAAAATTGCCTGGTTGGAATGTGATGGGACAGTGGATTGCTTTTGACAAAATTACAAATATTTCCAGTTTAAATTCTATATGAATAAATTCTATTGAGGCTGTCAATTCATTTATCAGTTTTGACTTCTCCAACAACTGAACACTCGTGATTGATTAAACTCCTGGTTGTTCAATTGCTTAGTTGCTGATGAATAACTTACATTATATGTGCGATTCCCAGACCCTCAACACCCACCTTCCAATGGGCGTTAGAAGATTCCACCAAAACAAAGAGCATTTTCACAGTTTTTCTGATTCATGAATTCATATGAAAAATTTCCTCCATAGGGTTCTATGTGTGTGTACAAGGTTCCACTACCTGATGATATCACCAAAGAAGCTGGCTATGACCCCAACTTTGGCATGTTCCAAGGAATTCCCAGTAATGATCCAATGAATGTGCTAGTACGAGTCTACGTTGTCAGGGTGAGCAGCACTTCCAATATGTGTTTCGCATCATATTATGCCCCTGATGAATATTATAAAATCTGTGAAGGAGAAAAGTAGGAAAGGTGGACTGCAACCTTGGTTCTTCCAATAATGAATGTTTAAGGTTAATGAATAAGTAAACCCAACATTTCATATTCCCTATATGTGCCTGCTGTACCATATACTTGTATGAAGACCTATCCTGTTCTGTTTGTATTGCTTATTTTGGTGAAATCCCTGGTTTCCTGCCAGTCCCTCTGCTTTCTTATTAAAAACTGACCACACTAAGCAGGGGAACACACTGTGGTCAGTTTTCTAGCTGTGCTGGCAACTCTGATGAACATGAAATGACACACATAAAAATAATAATGACACCCTATTCTTCTGCAACCTAAATTAGTACAGCTGCTATATACAAAGAAGTTTGAGATTACTGGCTAAAGATGGTGCTTGGGGCTTGGTGTAACCTTTAATCAAAAAATGCTCCCATTCCTGCCATGCCTATTTCACAGGCACCCCCCAGCCTAATTCATTCCTATTCCTGCAGCTTTACAATATAGCTGTAGTTTTTCCAGGATAAAACTAGAATATTAATGCTGGAGAATCCTAACAACCCAAAGTAGTTTTATTGAAAAAAATTAACTTTCATTTACATTGTAGGCTACAGATTTACATCCTGCTGACATCAATGGGAAAGCTGATCCTTATGTTGTTATAAAACTGGGCAAAACTGATATCAAAGACAAAGAGAACTACATCTCCAAACAACTAAATCCTGTCTTTGGAAAGTGAGTTACCCATGTTATATTATTTGTCGGTGCTATCAAAGTTGTCTAATCTAATGAACCAAACATAAGCCATGTTATTCTTTCATAGAAGCCATTGAGTATAATATTTCCTGTGTTTACAGACACAACATACAATACATAACATTCACCAATCAGCCATATTATTATGACCACCCACCATAACCCTTTTAGGCATGGACTCCACTAGACCTCTGAAGGTATGCTGTGATATCTGGCACCAAACCATAAGTAGCAGATCCTTTAAGTCCTGTAAGTTGCGAGATGGGGCCTCCATGAACCAGAACTTTCCAGCACATCCCACAGATTCAATTCTGCAGGCCAAGTCAATACCTCAAACTTGTATTCACACCATTCTTGAATTCATCAGACCCCACCACCTTCTTCCATTGCTCTTTGGTTCAGTTCTGATGCTCACATGCCCATTGTAGGCACTTTTGACTGTGGACACGGGTCAACAAGAGTACCCTGAGTGGTTGGCGGATATGCAGCCCCATACACAATAAACTGTGATACACTGTATGTTCTGGTACCTATCAGAACCAGCCATATCTTTTTCAGCAATCTAGGCTACAGTAGCTTTTCTATTGGATCAGACTACATAGGCCAGACTTTGCTTCCCACGTGCATCAATAAGTCTTGGCTGCCCATGGTCCTGTCACCAATTTGCCAGATTTCCTTCTTTGGATCACTTTTTATACATCACAACCATTGCAGATCAGTAACATCCCACAAGAGCTGTAGTTTTGAAGATGCTTTGGCCCATTTATCCAGCCATTGCAATTTTACCCTTGTCAAAGTCACTCAAATCCTGGCACTTGCCCATTTCTTCTGCTTTCAACACATCAACTTCAGGGACAATTACTTGCTGCCTAATATATCCCACCAACTTTCAGATACCATTGTGATGAGATAACCAATGTGATTTGCTTTACCTGTCCGTGCTCATAATGGTATGGGTGATCGGTGTATAGTTCCAAGCTTGTTTTCCCTAGTACTTTCCAATGCTATTTCTTTCTATATTTAAATTGCTTTTACTAGGTCATTTGACATTGAGGCCACATTCCCCATGGAGTCTATGCTAACAGTGGCAGTTTATGATTGGGACTTGGTGGGGACTGATGACTTGATTGGAGAGACCAAGATCGATTTGGAGAACCGTTATTACAGCAAGCACAGAGCGACATGTGGGATTTCACAGACATACGCCATGTATGTATAATGAGTTATATTTCCTTACATGTTATCTATTATAAAAGTTTATTTATTAGTATACATCAATTGTCCTATTGTTTTAAATGTCTAAAGAAGCCATAATTTGTGTTTAGTTCTTATGTCAATTTTCTGAGAATAATTGCAGAAATTTTACACCCAATACAATATAATCAAAAAAAAACTTGAAGAAAAAGTCTTTAAATAGAAACTATAATTGTTTTGGAACAATTTTATTAACATATTTTAAAATAACCCTGTCAAGTACAAAAAATTAACTGTACAGCAGCTGTGGCCACATATATTTTGTTGGTGCTCAGCATTTGTCTTCATTCCCTGACCCTGGATGAGACATTTTTATAAGCCAAGAGTTATTCCTAATTGTCAAGAAACTGCTACACAATTACTTAGACTCTTCCCTCCAGAGGCGTCCCTAGGGTTGGTGTCACCAGGTGCGGTAACACTTGGTGACACCCCCTCCGATCCCCACAGAATGGATCGGATCTGCGGATTGAGCATAATGGATCGGACTCAGATCTATTATGCTCAATCCGCAGATCCGATCCATCCTGCGGGGATAATCAGCTTGCTTTACAACTTACCTTTTTGTGGAGCGGGTCCGTTGTCACCCTGTGCTGTCAGTGTCACCTCGTGCTGTCAGTGTCACCCCGTGCAGACCGCACCCCCTGCACCTGCCTCGGGACGCCACTGCTTCCCTCTTCACATGACATTTGCTGGTGAAAGCTCCTCTGAAACTTGTATGTCGTTGAAGGATTCTTTTATGACCATATTATTCCTTCACATCTCCCCTAGTTTTGTTCTCAAGTTTGCCAGTGTGGTGAGATAACTCAGAATTTGTTTCTTATTTCTTGTATTTATTTGTGCCTTACTACTCCTCCTATTGCAAATTCTAAAACATAGAAAATACATGAGGGGCTTACACCTCTATGCATACCTTGATTTCTTTGCAATATAATGGTTCACATCATAATTGTTGGTGTAACCTTATGTTATTCTTCATGTTTGTTTCTGTTAACCCTATTCATAACGTTCCCTATACAGGTGTAACAATTTACCTACAAGACATGTTTGGGAGATATACTGTTCATTCGTCTAGGGCAGTGGTCGGCAAGCCGCGGCTCTTTAGAAACTTAAATGCGGCTCTTCTGTGTGCCGGGTGCCCGCTCCCCTCCCTCCTCTCGGGCGGCCGCCCCCTCCCCTCCCTCCTCTCGGGCGGCCGCCCCCTCCCCTCCCTCCTCTCGGGCGGCCGCTCCCCTCCCTCCTCTCGGGCGGCCGCCCCAAAAGTCAGGACTCTGCAGCTGTCAGGATGTAGGCGGGGCAGCCAGGATGTAGGCGGGGCAGCATGACGAACTCCTCTCCTCTCACAGTCCGCCCTGAAGACCAGAACGGCGCGGGAACACGGCGAGAGGAACACGGGGAGCAAAGGTAAGTGAATTGACACAGGGGGGAATTACTATATGGGGGATGAATTACTATATGGGGGATGAATTACTATATGGGGGATGAATTACTATATGGGGGATGAATTACTATAGGGGGAATGAATTACTATAGGGGGGATGAATTATATGGGGGATGAATTAATAAGGGGAATGAATTACTATAGGGGGGATGAATTACTATATGGGGGATGAATTACTATGGGGGATGAATTACTATATGGGGAATGAATTACTATAGGGGGGATGAATTACTATATGGGGGATGAATTACTATATGGGGAATGAATTACTATAGGGGGAATGAATTACTATAGGGGGGATTAATTACTATATGGGGGATGAATTACTATATGGGGGATGAATTACTATGGGGGATGAATTACTATATGGGGGATGAATTACTATATGGGGGATGAATTGCTATGGGGGATGATGAATTACTATGGGGGATGAATTACTATATGGGGGATGAATTACTATATGGGGCATGAATTACTATATGGGGGATGAATTACTATGGGGGATGAATTACTATATGGGGGATGAATTACTATGGGGGATGAATTACTATATGGGGGATGAATTACTATGGGGGATGAATTACTATATGGGGCATGAATTACTATATGGGGGATGAATTACTATGGGGGATGAATTACTATATGGGGGATGAATTACTATATGGGAGATGTATTTTCAGTTTTAAAAATGTGGCTCTCAAAATAAATTTCAATCGTGGTTTTGGCGAGATTTGGCTCAGTTGAAAAAAAAGGTTGCCCACCACTGGTCTAGGGGAAAACAAAATTCTAACTCCACCTTTAAGCCCTTGTTAAATGTTACACCCCTTTCACACGGGTGGACCTGATTGGAACATCCATTGTCCTCTGTGGAGCAGCAGATGTAAACAGACATGTCTCCATTTACACTCACCTGCATCTGATCTGCTAAAAACAGACAGATGGGAATCTGTTCCCTGTTAGTCCAGCTGATCGGATGAAAGTCAGATGTAAAATGGACTGCCGCTCCATTTACATCTGACCTCCCATAGAGGCAAGTGGGCTGTGTCCATGTCAACTCTGCTTATGCACCACCTGTAATGTGCCTGCTTAGCGGGGATCAGTGGCTGAGTAGTGGATCTGCTGGCGGAGTCTGCACCATGTGAAAGGGCCTTTAGTTTTGGATAGAATGGAGAAGGAAATAGATCCATTTTTTATTGCTCCCTGGTTTCCTGGTATGGAGATTTACCCCTTCTATTTGTCCTGTTTACCGTTATCACCAAAAGTGAATGAAAATCCCAAATTTTGGGTCTCCCCAGAAGAGGCATGGAGTGGAAATTTTCCAATGGGGACACTAGTTCTGGTGACAACGAGGGATTCCCTCTCTTTAGAGGGATGTCCTCTCACTTCCTGTTTTGGCAACAGAAAGGAAATCCCCCCAATGGGACACAGATGGCAAAAACAAATCTAACAGGGGTTATAACCCTCCTATACTCTATCCAAAGTACAAAAAAAAAAATTTTTTTCAGATCTCTTATTACTCTTATTGCTCTTTTTCTATTTACACCATTGTTGGTCTACTGATATGTAATAGCTAGTATCTGTACTACTGTAATCTTTCAAACTTACTTCCATGTATACATTATTTAACAAGCCTACATGCATATACTGATCTTGTGGTATATTAAATATAGAGTTGAAAAATGACGTAATCTTTTTACTGCAGAGGAACCCTTGAAATTATAAATATTTATTGGTTTTCAATCAAATATAATTAACAAACATTTTCTTCCTTAAAAGATCATTATATTCCTCATAATTTATTTAATTCCCACAACCCTAATTCCCTCCTTAACCCCCCCCCCTCCCACACCCATCCTCGTATCCCCCCTCCCCCCCTCCAACCCACTTTGCCTTTTCTTTTCTAATCCAAGAAAGAGAAAAAAAAAAAAAGAAAAAAATAAACAATCCTTTTCTTTCTAAAACTCATTTCTAAAATACATTGTTCGTTTCAAGAGGTATAAATCAAGTATATTTCACTTTCTGTCTAAATTCTTCCCATTTTCCCCACTTTTTATAGTACTTCTCCATCCCGTCTATGTGTGTGTAATAAAGTCTTTCCATCTCACATAACTGATTCATTCTGATCAACCAATCTTCTTCCGTCGGTACCTCACTTTTTTTCCAAAACCTAGGGATCAAGCTTTTGGCTGCACTCAGAAAGTACCAAATCCCTGAATCCTTATATGATCTCACTGTAAGCTCAGAGATATGAAGAAGACATAACTCTGGATCCAATCTAATATTGATCTTAGTAATTTTCCTCATTAAATGGACGATTTTCCCCCAGAACACCTGTATCTTTGGACATTCCCACCATATGTGATATAGTGTACCCACTTCTCCACAACCTCTCCAACATAGTGGAGAGTTCTCCCCTTTCATCTTGTGCTCCACCATCGGTGCAATGTGCCATCTAACTAAACACTTATAATTTAATTCAACTTCTATCATACTAATATTTTCGTGAATTAATCTAAACATTTTCCTCTGCTGTTCCTCATCTATCTCCCTGCCCATATCTTTTCCCCATTTCTCTACATAAGTTAATTTTGTGTCAGTGTCTAGTGCCGTTAAGATTCTATATATTTTGGCAACTCCGTGTCTCCCATCTCCCCGTGTATCTAATAAACTTTCAAATGAATTCCACTCCTTTCTAATTCTCACCGGTTTTGGAAGACTCTCAAAAAAGTGTTTTAATTGGTGATATCGAACCTCGTCCATTCTGCTAAAAACCTCTCCCTTTAATTTCTCCATCTCTCTATAAGATCTTAGTTCCTCACCCACCATTATATCTCTCAGTTGCGCGTCCTGTTTAATAATCCAATTCCCTGTGATATCTTCCTTCCCAGGTGCAAAGTAATCTGTATTTTTAAGTGGCATTAACTGTGAATTGAAAACCCAACCCTTTTGTCTGTGTAACATCTCCCAGACTTTTAAAACAATAGAAGTGTACACACTTGTGTTAATGTCTAGACCTCTATGATGTGTAGGTAACCATATAATTCTGTTTAGATTGGACCCACTCAATATATTTTCAATTTTGACCCAACTTTTCCCTGGGTTATGAGTCCAGTCAAAGATTCTCGCGATCAAGACCGCTTTGTAATATCTCTTGAAATCTGGGAGCCCTAGGCCTCCTCTCTCTTTAATTCTAGTCAGCGTTTCATAGCGTATCCTCGGTTTTTTTTTTTCTGCATATATACCCCAACAACATTTTCCTTAGTGTCCTGAAAAAAACCTCTGGAAGTTTAATAGGGATCATTTGAAACTTATATAAGACTTTGGGCAAAATTATCATTTTTATCAAATTTATACGGCCCATCCAAGACGGATTTCCAGCTCCCAACCTCTTCAATTCTTCTTTTATCTCGTTTAAAAGTGAAATATAATTAATCTTATACAAATTATTAATTGAAGCAGACAATTTTACCCCAAGATACTTTAATTCTTTCTCTCTCCACGCAAAGGGGAATTCTTCTTGTATTTTTTCTTTTTCACTATTTTTAAGATTTATATTTAAAATTTCAGATTTTGTTGGATTAATTTTTAAGTTTGATATTTCCCCATACTCCTTCAGTATTTTCATTAAGTTTGGTAGAGAAATACGAGGATTTCCAACGAAAAACAACAGATCGTCCGCGTAGGCCGCTACCTTATGTTCTCTATCACCTATCTTTATTCCTTTTATATTAATATTCTTTCTTATCATCGACAACAATGGCTCCAGGGACAGGAAAAACAACAATGGGGATAGGGGACATCCCTGTCTTGTTCCATTTGACATCCTGAAGAGCTCCGATCTTCCTCCATTTACTATGACAGTGGCTGTGGGGCCTTTATATAAATTACCAATCCACTTCCTAATTCTATCCCCCAGCCCTATCTCCACCAAGGTGTCCATCATAAAACTCCAGTTCACTCTATCGAATGTTTTCTCTGCATCAGTTGACAGTAATATTACTGGGGTCTTCCCTTTTTTCCCCTCTTGTATAAGCAACAATGATCTTAATCTGTTGTCTCTACCCTCTCTTCCCGGGACAAACCCCACCTGATCCCCATGTATCCATTTTGGCAACAAGACCTTAAGCCTGTTTGCCAGAACTTTTGCAAATAATTTAGTGTCAACATTCAACAGCGCAATAGGTCTATAACTTGCACACTGAGAAGGGTCTTTATCTTCCTTGTGAATTAAAACTATATTGGCCTGTAAGGACTCTCCCCTAATTTCCAACTCATCTCCCAGAGCATTCATGTATGTCTTCAATCTGGGTATTAGTAACTCTTTATATTTTTTATAGTATTTTACAGTAAACCCATCTGGGCCCGGACTTTTCCCCACCACTGTATCCTTCAATGCTATTTCTATTTCTTCTGATGTAATTCTGAATCCAAGGAATTCAGTTGGATTTTACTTAGTTTTGTTAGACCTGCATTTTTTAAAAAAGTGCTTCTTTTTTCTTTATTTACTGTATCAATATTATTAGGGGTGTCCTGGGGTATGATGTTGTATAGTTCACTATAATAATCTTTAAATACTCTAGCGATTCCTTTAGTTGAATGGACCATTTCACCCTTGGAGTTTTTTATTTTTTCTATATAATTCCTATTTTTCTTTTCCCTCAACGCCCTCATTAGATGTTTTCCTGGCCTATCTCCCCATCTATACCTTTCACTTGTTAGTTTATTAAAGACTCTTCTTTTTTCTTCCTCTACTGCCCTCTCTAATTCCTCTTTCTTTTTTATTATCTTCTGCCTTAATTCTTTCAAAATATTCCTTTTATGGGCCTGTTCTAGATCAGATATTTCATTTAAAAGTCTGTTGATCTTTTCTCTCCTTTCTCTTTTCTTTTTTGCCCCTATTGCAATAAGTAGTCCTCTAATATAGGCTTTATGGGCTTCCCACAGTGTTGCAACCGACACTTCCTCAGTATCATTCTCTTCAAAATATCTTTCAATTTCTATTTTAATCTTTCGATCGATCTCCTCATCCAGAAGAAGTGCCTCATTCATCCGCCACACAAAACCACCTCTATCTTCTCTACCCCATCTAAACTTCATTGCAACCGGAGAGTGGTCTGAGATAGAACTCCCTCCAATCATTCAAGGAACCCTTGAAATAATCTTCCAGTCTCGGGGAACCCCTACTGAAACCAATTAGTGGGAAAAATGGTCCTTAAATTGGCGGCCAGTGGTGATCAGATTGTCACACTTAAAGACAGTTAGCAATATAATCAGTGTCATGTAGCTGGTTCTGCCATGTGACATTGGGCCCAGAATTATGCAGGCACATCAAAAAATGGATCATCTGCCACAGTTGAAGGAACTCCTAACAACCTTTGAAGGGATCCTAGGGGTCCACAGAGCAGGTTAGGAATGGCTTCTTCTCTAATGGAAATGATAAATAAACCTGAAAAAAGGAAGATATTTTAACCATGGGTGGAACTCTTAACTGTATTGTAAACCCTGCTTTATACTCCTCCATACAAAATTCCTGGTTATCCTTTAAGGCTCTCAAGAAGGAAGAATTTAACATATCCTATAGGAGTTACAGATGGTAGATATATGGAGACCTTGGCACTCTAATAGAAAAGATTCCTCAGCCCTCACAATTATTATTTCATAATTGATATTTCTTGTTCAATATTTTTTAAAATTAAAGACAAAGAACTGGATAAATCATGAAATATATGGTTTATGGAACATAGTAGATAGCATTCAAAATTTAAAGCGGTTGATAATACAAAATAAACAGCTTAGTGGATCAAATGTTAGATCATGCACAGAGGTATGCAGCCAAACAACCTGGAGTCACAGGGATAAACAAATGCAAGCTAGATGCTTCAAATCAGGAGGAGTAGAAAACAGCTTACCAAGCTTACTCAGTTCAAATATATAAATAAAGGAGGAGAGCGAGTATAGGAAAACTGAAGAAAAAGGAAAGGAGAGAGGACCAGATGATCTGGGGGTATAATGGTCAAGCAATAGTGGAGTGGTTGGAGTCTCATGGCAAAAAATGATCAACCCACAGCTGCCATATGTTTAGGTGTTTAGAGATACGATCAAGTAATGTGGCCGAAATTTTGCTATGGATCATGAACTGGGTTATTCTATGTTTCGTCTCAAGAAAACCAAGACTGGGTGTTTTCCATGCCTTAGCAATGGTTTACTTTAAAGCAGTGGTGAAGTAAAGTAAGAGTTTCAATTGTGATTTAAATAAGTCAGGTGGGCGTTTATTTAAGAGAGCTATGGTAGGGTAAGGTGCAAGAGTAACTTCAGTAGACATAGACAGCACATGAAAAACCTCAGCCAAGAGGTCATCAAAACAGGACAAGATCACCAGTTGTGTAAGTGCGCTCCTCTATCTGTACAACCTCTAAAGCATTGCGGAGGATAGGCAGGAAGGATTTTGTTTATCCTCGCTGTCATGTTTAATATTTCATTTAGTTCCACCAATTTCATATTTTATGATTATGCCCCATTCCAATACTATACCCCACAAACAATATAAAATAACATATTGGCATTTGACGTAAACTCCTCAGTACTAGGATGAAAAAACACACAAATCAATTGCTTCGCAAGCAGATAACGATAACTAGAACTCTAAGATAACTCTAAAAATGGCGCAAATGTTTATTATGCATATGATACCTACAAACACCTCCCTTGTGTAAATACCCAAAAGCTGGGACAAGGTCCATTTCTGCACAGCCATTGTTTGCCAACCCATTTAAAGGAAGACCCACTCTGGTCAAACCCAAAAGCACTAGTACCTCACATCTAGTATTCTATCACTACCACACACACAAGCATTAAAACAGGGCATGCATAGACACAAAATATTGTGGGTTTCTTGTTTGGGGTATCAGCTAATTTTCATTTTAGCAATGCTCTTGAGAGTAGCAAAAATCCCAAACCATTATTCCTTATTGGTTATATTTAGAGATCTAAACAGCTCTCAAATTAGACTACAAGGAAGATAAAAGAAAAGTTTTGTTTCTCTTTTCAGACATGGTTATAATATGTGGAGAGATCCCATGAAACCTACCCAGATCATGTCCAAACTCTGCAAAGAAGGGAAAATTGATGGTCCCCACTATGGCCCTGGAGGACGAGTCAAAGTTCTAAATCGTGTCTTCACTGGTCCCACTGAGATTGAAGATGAAAATGGTGAGGCGATTCTCTTAGCTAAATGTTTGCATTTGGTGCAGTGCTAAATATTTACAGTTTATGAAAGCTTACAAGTTTATAAACTGATATTTTGTATGATTAAATCATTTCAATCCAAACTTAAAAACAAAATTACCAATTTATTGCTACTATGACATTCTAACTTCTAATCTGATCCCATGGTACTCAGATCTATTTCACAGCAGCATCTTTTCTTTTGTGCTTCCAGAATGCTAAATACAATTTCCCATATTTGATATTAAAAAACACGTTTATTACTTTTTTCAATTTGAATCCTGAGTACATTAAAAAATAGTAAACATTTAACAGCATACTTAAAGCTGAAGTTGAATCTGGTTGCTCCTCCCCCCTTCCTCCTCTTTGACATGCTGTAGAATCTTTTTTTTAAACTTCCAGTTTTCCTCACATACTGTCATCACTGGGTTTCTGCGCTTCTTTGTGTAATGCAAACATATCATTGGTGGGTGGAATTGGCTGGCAAGGTGCTGTACTGTGCTCCCTGAAAAAATTACAGCACCCTGCCTCAGTAATCCTCTAAAGGGCCTTCAGTCCTGATGCAAGCAGTGGTCTGGTTCTTGGGAGACGTTAAATATCAAAATTCCTTGATGGGTGGGTCTTGATGTTGAGAAGTGGGCAATCTTACGCAGCCTGCATTTGCATGCATAATGCCTTAGGTGATGCCCATATGTGATGCTGAGCCTCCATAAAACCCAATTAATAAAAGGGGCAGACCAGTGACTGTCAGGTTCGGGAGGAAATGGCTAGCTGATGCTAGACATCCCCTAGTCAAGAAATGAGGTGGACTCTATTGAATCTGCTGCAGATTTTGATGCAGATTGTGAGCAAGCTATTTCAGTACAGGAGACGAGCCTGTACATCTGTGCAAGACTAAAGGAACAGCTGGCACTCAGCTTAAAACTGAATAAAGACAAACTACAGCTCTTATTATTATTGTGAAATAACCTAAAATATATGTAAAAAATCCATCCTCTGAGCATTATGAAGACATAAAGGTGGGTTGTGTGGTAGTATTAACTGTGAAAAACTGTTCCTGTTAAAAATGTATTAATTAATCCAATTGTTCCAATAGTCCCTGTACTGAAGACTATCCAAGCCTTGAGTTCAAAAGAGAGTAGATTGTGGATTTATGGGCACCTACAGTTTCATTGTTGAGCTGTTTATCTGTTGGCACATTAAATATGACAATATTGTAACCGTGAATTGTGTCCTAATGATAAATTCCTTCCACTAGACTACCATTTCCTCAAATTGTCCTTCAATAAATTTGTTGGTTTAATATTAATTCAGTACAGTTTCTCTGGAAGGAGAATTAATTCCCAAACACCAATCACTGTATTACCCTTTGAGGAGATCTTCTAACAATATTGTATCTGCAGGTCAGAAGAAACAAACAGACGAACATTTGGCCCTTTCGGTTCTTCAGCACTGGGAGGAGATCCCGCGAGTTGGCTGCAGGTTGATTCCAGAACATGTAGAGACACGACCCTTGCTAAATCCAGACAAGCCAGGAATTGAACAGGTGAAATAAACGCAAAGGTTCTTAATCTGTAAAATGTGCACAAGTTTTACATACATAATGAGGTCAGCTATTTTTCTTATTGAAGCAATTTTTGGCCATAAAAAATGATTTAGCTGCAGAATGAGGTACTTATCAAGCGAGGCTTCTTTCTTGCAGGGTCGTATAGAAATGTGGGTAGATATGTTCCCCATGGACATGCCAGCTCCAGGTCCTGCCATTGATATCTCTCCAAGGAAACCAAAAAGGTACAAGAAAACCTTTTTCTGTGTGATCAAAATGTTCTCCTGACCTTTTATATCAATTGAATTAGGCTATAATTAAGGCATTGCTTGTGAAAGGTCCAGTGCTGGACACACATTTTCAGCTAGTTTTGAATTGTTCATTTCATTCCTTGTGATACCACCATACTTAATGATGGAGCCACTCTCACTGCTGAATTAATATCTAATAAAGAGGAGTGCTTTGTGGATAAGTGGTTAGCATGGTAACCTTGCAGGGATGGTAACCCTTTGGGTCTAATTCCCTTTAGGAAGACAGCTTTCTTAACTATTGCTGGTAACTGGCCAGCATCTGAATTTGTGTAAAATAACAGTCTGGGAGTATATTTCCATTTCTGTATCTTGCCAACTTCCCCCATCCTTACCCGTACCAATAGGATAGCTGTGAGTCAAGAGTTACCATGAGTCAAGCTTAACTCAACCATGCTAGATAAGAATAGAGAACCTACTGGAATGGACTTGATGTAATCATTCCATTTTGAAATAGTAGGGCAAGATCTTGGTATCCTGGTTGGGACAGCAAAATCCATGAGGACCCTAGGAGACATGAGAAACAAGCCGGTCACCTAACAATAAGACCTGATGACCTGATTTATGTCCAATCTACTGTACACTGTTCAAAATAATTAAAGGAACACTTTGAAAACACATCAGATATCAATGGAGAAAAATCTCATGCTGGATATCTATACTGATATGGACTGGGTAATGTGTTAGGAATGTAAGGATGCCCCATCATTTGATGGAAATTAAAATTATCAACCTACAGTGGCCTGAATTCAAAGACACCCTGACAATCAAAGTGAAAAAATGATGCAGCAGGCTAGTCCATTTTTCTGAAATTTCATTGCAGCAACTCAAAATGGTTTGTATGGCCCCCACGTGCTTGTATGCATGCCTGACAACGTCGGGGCATGCACCTAATGAGACGACGGATGGTGTCCTGGAGTATTTCTCCCAGATCTGGACCAGGACTTCACTGAGCTCCTGGACAGTCTGAGGTGCAACCTGACAGCATCGGATGGATTGAAAAATGATATCTCAGAGGTTTTCTATTGGATTTACATCAGGTGAGCGTGGGGGTCATTCAATGGTATTAATTCCTTCATCCTCCAGGAACTGCCTGCATACTCTCGCCACATGAAGCTGGGCATTGGTATGCACCAGGAGGAATTCAGGACCCGCTTCACCAACCTAGGGTCTGACAATGTGTCCAAGGATTTAATCCTGATACCTAATGGCAGTCACGGCGCCATTGTCTAGCCTGTAGAGGTCTGTGCGTCTCTCCATGGATATGCCTCCCCAGACCATCACTGAAACGGTCATGCTGAACAATGTTACAGGCAACATAACATTCCCACAGCTTCCCCAGACCCTTTCACGTCTGTCACATGTGCTCAGGGTGAACCTGCACTCATCTGTGAAAAGCACGGGGCGCAAGTGGCGGACTTGCCAATTCTGATGTTCACTGGTAAATGCCAATTGAGCTCTATGGTGCCGGGCAGTGAGCACAGGGTCCACTAGAGGACATTGGGCCCTCAGGCCACCCTCATAAAGTCTGTTTCAGATTGTTTGTTCAGAGACATTCACACCAGTGGCCTGCTGGAGGTAATTTTGTAGGGCTCTGGCAGTGCTCATCATGTTCCTCCTTGCACAAAGGAGCAGATATCGGTCCTGTTAATGGGTTAGGACCTTCTACGACCCCGTCCAGCTCTCCAAAAGTAAATGCCTGTCTCCTGGAATCTCCTCCATGTTCTTGAAACTGCTGGGAGATACAGCAAACCTTCTGGAAATGGCACATACTGATGTGCCATTCTGGAGGAGTTGGACTGCCTGTGCAACCTTCTAGGGTCCAGGTATCACCTTATGCTACCAGCAGTGACACTGACCCTAGCTAAATGCAAAACTAGTGAAAACAGTCAGAAAAGATGAGTAGGGAAGACAATGTCAGTGGCCTCCACCTGTAAAACCATTTCTGTTCTTGGGGTCATCTCATTGTTGCCCATCTAGTGCACCTGTTGTTCATTTAATTAACACCAAAGCAGCTGAAAGTGATTAACAACCCCCTCTGCTACTTCACTGACCAGATCAATATCCAAGGAGTTTAACTGACTTGATGCTATACTCTCATTAAAAAGTGTTCCTTTAATTTTTTTGAGCAGTGTATATGCAAATATCTGATTTATCCAAAGCCTTTTCCTGCTACCAAGACCACATTGCCAAAAATATTTTTATTTCTAAGCTTCCATGAAAACCAAAGATAGTTTAGTATTGTACTTTGCTTCATAACCATGTCAAAGCTGAACTGTAGCCATTTAGAGGAACCGAGGCCATGTGGCTGTACCAGTGTTTTTGTCTGAAAATGTTACCATTTTTAACTCTTCACCTTTTTACTTGTTTCAATTTCTGTTGGAGAATTGGCTCCTGTCAAATTGTATGACTGCAGAGCCACAATACAAGAACTGGTCTGAAGGAGGTATTAAGGAAAACATGCTCTGCCATGCTATTGTCTATAAATGTAATATTGCTATGGAAAAATGATGATGGCATGTTGGTGGCTGATCTGTGCTGAATCACAGGGGCTTCTGTACAAAGTGGTCTCAGATATACTCCATCTGCCAACATGGGCTTTCAATAGGGAAAACAGCAAGTGATTTTAAATGCAATAACTTGGAATTCACAGGTAATACATAGTGAACATCTTACAACATACCTAGGTATTAGAAATACAAATACTCTACTGTGGTGTGGTGGCTAAAGATCAGCTTTATTATCCAAAAGCCAATAAAACAAAACTCATTGTTTAAATTGTGACCTGCATATCTTGTATTATAAAGTCTGTATCAATGGATACTGAAGCTATAGAAAGAATGCTGCTATTCTATTCAACTGGCAGGACACTATGTTTAGATATTGGTACACTGAGTGAGCCTTTCGCCATGAACCACTTTATGTCCTTTTACACCATATAACCTTGAAGGAACATTATTTAAATTGAACCCATTATATCATAATAGAGAGACTTATGCCACAGTGTTCTATCTGTAGGAATGCAACATAATTTCTGAAGGATTTGCTTAAATGTATTTTCTGCTGTGTCCAGACACAAAACTTGCTATTGTGTTGTTTTAGCTTAAAAGTGTTTGATAAGATATCACCCTGAACTTACCAAGTAATAGCATGGCAGATGAACCAGTTCCTCCAGTTGACAATTATTATGGAGCCCAATTATCTACTTTGCTGGACAATAGGCATTGCCTCTTGAAATAATTATATCACTTGGCCTTCTGTGCACCAGTTGGGTGGATTCAAGATTCCAAAATAAAGCATATGATCTAGAACTTCTAAACAATTCACACGTGTTCTTAGCCCCTATGCCAATGTCTCTGGCCAGTAGAAACACTAATAGAACTGAATTGGGGAGGCTACAGATCAGCCTTAAGCTTTCAATTGACAATTAAAATTAATAAATTTAAGACGTGACCTTGTATGTTTTGCATTATGAATTAGCCTTGTATTGGTGGGTACTAAAGCTACACTGCTATTCTGGGCAACTGGCAGGACATCATATTTGGATGTTGGTACACCGCCTAAGGGTTTGCCATGAACAACTTCTGACCATTCAGGGATACACTGTATAACTGTAAAGGGGCATTATTACAGTACAAGCCATTATATCCTAATGAGGCATTACATTGTATCTGTGTCTAAAAGAAGAGTGTTCTATCTGTAGGATTTCAACCTAATTTCTGAAGGCTTTACCAAAGTATATTTTCTGCTTAGCTCAGACAGAATCTTGATATTGTATTGTTTTAGTACAAAAGTGTTTGATAATTTTGATATCACTCTGAACTCGCCAAGTAATATCCTGGCAGATGAACCAGTTTCTCCAGTTGGTAATCATTATGGAACCCAACTGTCCACTATGCTGGAAAATAGGCATTACCTCTTAAAATAATGACATCTCTTGGACTTCTGTCCATCAATTGGGTGGATTCAAAATTCCAGAACAAAGGAGATTATCTAGAACCTCCAGACAATTCCCCGTGTTCTCAGTCCATATGTGGCCACGTCTCACTTGTCTCACTATCTCCTTGCCAGATACGAGCTTAGAGTGATAATTTGGAATACCGATGAGGTAATCCTGGAAGATGATGATTACTTCACAGGAGAAAAGTCTAGTGACATTTTTGTCAGGGGGTACGTACCAGTGAAAAAAGGTTGACTTTGTGTTGTGTGTGGGCTTCTGTGTACACTTGTGGCGCACACACCAGTTCCCATGCTGCCTTTGTTGCCGGTTTTACGCTTTTGTGTTGTGTGTGAATAACAGAATTTTGCTTTTTTTTGCTCCCTTTTTTTTTTGTTTGATTTCTTTGTCTACCTCATGTTTACCGTCGCACTCTTGAAAACTAGTTTTGAACTACGTGTTATAATTTGGAACACTGATGAAGTGATTCTAGAAGATGATGCTTTCATGACAGGAGAGAAGATGTCAGACATCTATGTCAAGGGGTAATGATGCACGGCCCGGAGCCTTCTAGCACCCACACCCTACCCTACCCCCCCATCCCTTCTAACCTGCCTAACCCTCTTCCCTGGGCGCAGTAATTGTGCATATCCCCTGTCACTCATCACTGCTTGTGTCACTGCACTGAACTGCACTGGTCTGCTACACCCTTTTGCTTGCTCGCTCCCATCTCTAGCTGGTCTTTGGGTTGCAATGTGGTGGATCTATTGGGTTTTTTTGATGCCATGAAAATACTCTTCAGTTTTTGAGGTCCTGAAATTGGTTATATTTCACCGATTTTTTTATGTTTGCGAGAAAATTGCTGGACACTTCCAAGGACATAACTCAAATTGTCACCACCTTTTGCAGGCTAATATGCCCGGATTTAAAATGTATTTATCTGCTTTGACCGCTGCAAATTGGAAATACCATTGATTCAAAGTTTTCTTTACCAAAACAATTAAACAATAGTCCATAGAAGAAAATGCTCTGATGATAAAAGATACAACTCTCCTAGGTGATCCATAGGACTAACCCTTTTGTAAGGACAACCATATCAGATTGCACTTTGTTGATATGGGCCACCAATTAATTTAGATAACCACAGATCTGTATAATATTTGTATTAACCTATAAAATTTCATAATATTCATTACCAGGAAAAATATAGAAAATTTGTTAAAGTAAACATCAGCTAAGAAGTTGGTATTAATTCCAAATGACTTTACTCTTTGCAAATTGGGCCCTCCAAAACACAAGAAAATATATATATATATATATATAATAAAATATAATACATTTTGATTTACATCAATCTTAGTGCTGATTCACATGTGTGGTGCGGATTGAAGCTCAGGTTTCACACAACTAATTGCCACAGTAGTTGTTCAGCAGTTCAGGTCAGGTTTAGATCAGGTTCAGGTCAGGATTTTATCCTGTTCACAACTGATGACATGTGCAGTTTAGAAACTGTTCCCATAAAAGTCAATAGCCTGTAATCCACACCTGAACCAGACCTCACTACTCAGAAATCGGACAGCACTCTTTTTCAAACTGCACTGAATCCACATAGATTCCACACTGCCAGTGCACTGGACATATGTGAATAGGCACTAGGAAGCAATGTTTTTTCACATGTCAAGCAGATTGGTTGCGGTTCAAATCGTATCCAAAGCACATATGTGTGAACCAGCACTTGTTCTGAATTGAGGTACTTGATATACTGGAACTGACTTAAGTACACCAACAAAATTAGCCACAAAAAAAAAATAAATGATTAATAATTCAGATATAGATATACTGTACAACTATTTTCTATGTTTTCTAATCTAAGAGTAGAAGGTGGAAGATAATTGGCTTTTTAGATATGGATACACGGATTTATTAACTTATTTTCTAACCTAAGAATAGAACCTGGATGATAATAGAGTTGAACTGTTTCTCAAACAGCATTTAGGGTTTCACTAAATTTTTACAGAAATAATGACTCTTAGAATTTGCACAGAGGCAGGGCTAAAAGTAGACATTTTATGGCAGTTACCAAAATTTTAATTCCCTCCACTTACACCCCAGCTCACTTTTTTGGATATAAAAAGATGAAGTAAAAAACCTCTAGCCATCTCATCTTTACTAGCAGAAATATTTAAAGGCACTATCATGTACTTAAACTTTAGCAGAAACAGTTATGTTGTTTAGGATCCACCATCTCCATCTCCACCTAATATAGGGTAAATGAACCAAATTGATTTCTAGTCCCAACCCCTGGTGTCCTGATGTCCACCCTCAGCACTGGAGAGGTCTTTCTCGCCCTGGTTCCACCACACAATCCCACTAGCTAGCGATGCCTCCAGGAGTGGGTGTGTCTGCATACAGTGTGATTCATGTGTTTGCACCAAGGTTTACAATAAGAGGGCTTTTATTTGCACAGTATGAAATGGTTTTTGCATTGTGTTCCCAGATTCCAGGTAAGTGCCTTTCATACCTCCTTGTTTCTGAGAGGGTCCTTAAATTTAGCTGCTGACCATACTCAGCAAAAACAGCCATGCAAACCAAAGATTTAGGGCAAACACCATGGCAGCCATGTTGTATATTAGACATATTTTAGAACAGGTAAAATCACATTAATGTGTTGAGTATTTTATGGGTTGGTCCAGTATTTATTACATTTAGCCAAATTATTAGGAGACAGTGACATTTCTATAGTTTATGTAAAGGTACACTACAGTGAAGATGAGAAATGTAAATTACCCTTCATTTGCCTATGCAGGGCAAAGGAAAGGGTCACGTAACTCCCCTCTCACCATCAGCATGAACAAATATTTCCTCACTCCATATAACCACTTCTGGATATGTGGTAGAGCTGTGGTCTCGTGATTGGAATATTGCTGTCACATGGAATTGGAGAAATAGCCCAAACGCCTGTATCACCTCTGACAAATCAGTTTGGAGCTTATACAATACTTTCTTTTTACAGCCTTATGGCTTAACGGAGAGCATGGAAAGGTGAGTATATCTTGCTGGGGAGGGTGGAGGAGTTTATGTGACCCTTATCCTTTGCCTTGCTTGTACAACGGAAGGGGTCACTTTAAAATAGAACTATGGCCTCCCATGCATATTATGTGCCACAGCACTTAATTATTAATGCTTTTGCACTTGTGGTTTTCTTTTACGCCCCCTAAAAAGCCCCACAAATTCCAGTTTAAGCCTGCTAGTGAAGCCCTTCTAATCCAGATTTTTGTATTGGAGCAGCAATGATGGTGCACTGCTCCTAAATTCAGAGCAGAGCTGCAACTCTCATGTAGTCTTCGTTTTCCTGCACCACATTTCAATTGAAAAATGCCACAGTTGATGTGGCCATTGGCATTTTCACTGCTGATTCACAAGCCTGTGGATTGTCAGTCAGTGCCTGGCCACATCTAGCCCTGCCTACTAATTTTTGGATTGACAGCACTAGCTCTGTTGCTGACACCCACCCAGTGTGAGCTGCAGTGTCTGGGAGGGGAAGTATGTGAGACACAAATTGTATAATGGAGGATTACCTCAGTCAGGAATATGTAAAGGATGCTTTTTGCTTACTTTATGAGGCTTATGCATCACAAAGTAACTACATTTGGGACTTGTTAAGGCTAATTGGGACTTGTTAGGATTCCTCAAAAACAATGCCTGCTTCCCTTATGTCTATGTAACAAACACGTTTACAACAACTTTTGGGCCTTCCAGTAACAAGGAGGTTATCTGTAGAGAGAAAGCTGACTGTGAAGGTGAAGATGATGCATCAACGGAGTATACTGCATGCAACATTTCCTTTCATTTTCCTTCATTCATGTCTACACTAAAATCTGTTAACAAGATATCTACATGACTAGCTCTGTACTTCATCCCTGTGTGGGGCATGTGGGTTTATGTCTGTGTGCACTTTCTGCTGTGGATGTTTAGCATGTAAATGTTATTTTGCTCAATAATGTCTATTTAATATACTGTATACATAAATGTTTGTTAGAAAAAACTGTTATAGGAGATTTGTCATCAAAGGGTCAGTCCACTCTAAACTGGTCAGCTGACTCTCACACTGGAATCTTTTACCAATCAAGGACTATCCTCCACAGTTCATGGACTAAACCTTCAGCTGCAGCCATTTTAGGTCCAAAGCCCAATCTTCAAGACTTTGTATCTTCTTACACTTCCTTCCCTCTGTAGGCCAACCCTTCTACCCCAGTTGACGGGCTAGCCTTATTATTATACTAGCAAGCTAAGATGTTATAGCCACACAAGATACACAAATCCTGAAGTCAGAGAGTCTAGAAGGGGTAGTTTGTCTACTCTGCACACCTTAAACTGACGGTTAAAAAAAGAGCATACTAATGATGTTTTTTTTTTTCATAATTGTAAGGACCTAAAGCAGGTAAAACATAGAATACTAGTCCACCAACAAAAAGTACAAATTGTGCAGGGACAACAATGAAAACCCAGCTGAATTGTCCCTAGCAGCAACAACACACTAGGCCATGGCCTGCGATGGCTAAACAAATTCTGACCTTCCTGTCTTCCTTCTGTGTATTCATTATTATTATTATTATACAGTATTTATAAAGCGCCAATAGTTCGCTCAGCGCTGTACATTACAAAGGGAGACAGAACATGTGACAGAACAATACCAATACAATGCGATACATGAGGGGATCGAGGGCCCTGCTCTTTCGAGCTTACAATCTAGGAGGGAGGGGATGGTGGCACAGGAGGAGATAGCTGTGGGGGATGGAGTGGTAGGAAGAGTGGAGGAGGTCGGCAAGTTAGCAGGGGGTGGGGTAGGCTTCCCTGAAGAGATGGGTTTTCAGGGTGCGCCTAAAGAAGAGGAGAGTAGGTGATAATCTGATGGGTTGGGGCAGGGAGTTCCAGAGGATGGGTGACACCCTGGAGAAGTCCTGGAGACGGGCATGGGAGGAGGAGACCAGGGAACTAGAGAGAAGGAGGTCTTGTGAGGAGCGGAGTGTGCGTGCTGGGCGGTACTTGGATATTAGGTCAGAGATGTAGTACGGGGCAGTATGGTGGACAGCTTTGTACGTCAGCGTTAGGATTTTGAATTTGATCCGTTGCGCAATCGGAAGCCAGTGGAGGGATTGGCAGAGGGGGGTGGCGGAGACAGAGCGGTTGGAAAGGTGAATGAGTCTGGCAGCCATATTCAGGATCGACTGAAGCGGGGATAGCCAGTGGCGAGGCAGGCCAGTGAGGAGGGAGTTGCAGTAGTCGAGTCGTGATATGATGAGGGAGTGGATGAGCTGTTTAGTGGTTTCTGGGGTTAGGAACGTGCGGATTTTGGCGATGTTGCGGAGGTGGAGTCTGCACGAGTTTGTTAAAGATTGGACTTGGGGCTGGAAGGATAGGTTGGAGTCCAGAATGACACCCAGTACTCTGGCCTGCAGGGCGGGTTTGATGGTAGCGTTGTTGGATGTGACGGAGAAATCAATGGGGGGTGGTGTCCGGGCTGGGGGGAAGACAAGAAACTCGGTTTTGGAGAGGTTCAATTTAAGGAAGTGGAGCGACATCCAGTCTGATATGTCGCTCAGTAGGTGTGTGATTCGGGCTGAGACCAAGGGGGTGAGGTGGGGGGTTGAGAGATAGATTTGTGTGTCGTCGGCATAGAGATGGTAGTTGAAGCCGTGAGAGTGTATGAGTTGGCCAAGGGAGGAGGTATAGATGGAGAAGAGAAGGGGTCCGAGGACAGAGCCTTGAGGGACCCCAACAGAGAGGGGGAGTGAGGGGGAGGTGGTAGCATTATAGGTAACGCTGAAGGAGCGTTGTGACAGGTAGGATGAGAGCCAGAAATGTCAGCAAACCTTAACTGGATGAGGAGCTATGAAGTCAACTTTACAGATAATAAACAGCCATTGTCTGATGCAACCGATTAACATTTATTTAGTACCAACATTGCATTGGTGTATTGATGCTTGTAAGCCCTCAGATCTGTAAACCTTCTGGATTTTTATATATCTACAGGACTTCAAAAATAAATGTTACCTCTAGAGTTGGCTTTGTGGGGGTCACCTTCCTTCTGATACATGATATTAATGAATATTGTAACTGGAAGAGTAAGACCTTCCCCAACCCATGTAAAGGTTGCAGCAGGAACATGGAACTGGGAACTAAAATGTAGTCTTCTGACAACCAGATACTCAAAGCCCAACTACAGGATATTTGAAAGATTCTCCATTGCAGTGGGACGGTCCATGCACCGCGACCACCATCTGTTTTTAGATCTAGGGGGGATCAGAAAAGAAGATTTACTTATCTGATCCTGTACACTGCTAGATCAAGGGACAGTCCACTGCTGGAGCATAGGGGAGCACCATGCGCTGGTGGATCAGAGTAAACCTGCTTTTACTACCCCTTAGACTAATTCAGCAGTTAACCCTTGCAGTACAGGTACAACCCCGCTGCAAAGGAGAATTTTCAGATTTCCTTGAGTTGGCTTTTTAAAACGCCTTCCAACATATCAGCTTCTCTTTAGTATATTTTGACTGGACTGACTCTTTGATAGGCAAAATTATTTTTGTATTATTGAATTTAGCTTCAAAAGTGGGGCAATATTTTAATAGCTTTAGACAAAGTTTAGGCATTTAGAAGTCTTTGTTGGTCTGAAGCTAAATGTCAACAGTTGAGCTCTGCTGTTTAGATTTCATAAGTAGAGCAAACAACTAACTGGATTAAGTGCACAATTTTTTTAAGTAATGGCAGTTTTCTAGTTCTGCATGCAATGTAGAGATATCTATTTTTTTTGCTTTGAAGTATACTAGAAAGTGTTCCTTCTGATGTGGATTTTCAGAACCCATTTTTGGACTCTGCTGGACCTCATATTTGTCATACCTAGATAATATTGGCATGCATATAGTCTTCATTCAAGTGGATTTTTCATCCACCACTATCTGAACAGTTGCTAACTGGGCAAGACAGTTGTTTGTCCCCCATGACCATTCAAAGTATTAACAAGTTAAGCCTAAAACAACCCTGTCTGCCACAATATGGAGCTAGTGACTTGTATAAAAGTTGCCTTACACAAGTTCTAGTAAGTAATCCCCACTCTCCCCAGTATTAGAGCATGACATTACAGGTAATGATCCTTAGCATTTTGTATGTAAGTATTCCTTCTGACTGTCTCTGGATGGGACATGTAGGTGGCTGAAGGGACAACAGGAGGATAAGCAAGACACAGATGTCCACTATCACTCTCTTACTGGTGAAGGCAACTTCAACTGGAGGTTCATCTTTCCATTTGATTATCTGGTGGCTGAGGAAAAGATTGTCATCTCCAAGAAGGAGTCAATGTTCTCCTGGGATGAGACGGAGTACAAGATTCCAGCACGCCTTACCCTACAAGTCTGGGATGCCGACCACTTCTCTGCTGATGACTTCCTGGGTATGACTATACATTACATAATGTACACTGTACAGACGGTGATTGTGTATATTGTACCTAACATTGACCATGTAATGCTTCTCTTAAAGTTAATACTTTTGTGACAAGCTAATGAAGGTTCAGGGATAACAATGTGTGCCAAGGTTGCATAATTAAGCCATTACAAGGGGATTTTACAATTTCTATTGTTATTTAATATATTTTACTTTTGAAACAATGTAGGAAGAGACCTTCCCTACTGCAGTAATTAGAACAATGTTTGGGGGTAAGGGGGGAAATTTGGGTCAATTTTCAAATCCTTCAAGGCAGTTTCAGTTTGTAGCATATTACTGCTAGAGATGAGCGAATCGAACCAGGCGAACCGGAATTCGATACGAATTTCAGGAAAAATTCGATTCGCGTCGAATCCGAATATTTGCCTACTTCGGGTGCGCGAATCGGATTTTTCCCGATCAGCCGGCAAAAGTGTCCCTGCAGAGAGCTCCGCTATTTCTGACAGTTCTCTGACAGAAGGAACACATGTACAGCGGTTGAAACATTGTATCTATTTGTTTCCATTTAGGATACAGATATTTTTATTCGGAAACAGATGTTTCAACCGCTGTACATGTGAAGGAGCTGTCAGAGAACTGTCAGAAATAGAGGAACTCTGCAGATACACTTTTTGCCGGTTTGGAATTTTTATTTTCATCCTACTTCTTCTTCTTCTTCTTCTTCATCCTCATCCTCAGAAGAAGAGGATGAGGATGAAGAAGAAGAAGTAGGATGAAAATAAGAATAATTCCAAGCCGGCAAAAAGTGTATCTGCAGAGCTCCTCTATTCTGCAGATACACTTAGAGGAGCTCTGCAGATACACTTTTTGCCGGTTTGGAATTAATCTTATTTTCATCCTACTTCTTCATCCTCATCCTCAGAAGAAGAAGAAGAGGATGAGGATGAAGAAGAAGAAGAAGAAGTAGTATGAAAATAAGAATAATTCCAAGCCGGCAAAAAGTGTATCTGCAGAGCTCCGCTAAGTGTATCTGCAGAGCTCCGCTATTTCTGACAGTTCTGTGACATTCACTCCATACAGCGGTTGAAACATTGTATCTATTTGTTTCCATAAATGGATCCATTTATGGAAACAAATAGATACAATGTTTCAACCGCTGTATGGAGTGAATGTCACAGAACTGTCAGAAATAGCCTAAGAAATAGCGGAGCTCTGCAGATACACTTTTTTGCCGGCTTGGAATTCTCCTTCTCATCCTTCTTCCTCTTCTCATCCTTCTTCTTCTTCTCATCCTTCTTCTTCTCATCCTTCGACTTCTTCTCATCCTTCGACTTCTTCTCATCCTTCGACTTCTTCTCATCCTTCTTCTCATCCTTCTTCTCATCCTTCTCCTTCTCCTTCTTCTCATCCTTCACCTTCTTCTCATCCTTCTCCTTCTTCTCATCCTTCTCCTTCTTCTCATCCTTCTCCTTCTTCTCATCCTTCTCCTTCTCCTTCTTCTCATCCTTCTCCTTCTCATCCTTCTCCTTCTCCATCTTCTCATCCTTCTCCTTCTCCTTCTTCTCATCCTTCTCCTTCTTCTCATCCTTCTCCTTCTCCTTCTTCTTCTCCTTCTTCTCATCCTTCTCATCCTTCTCCTTCTCCTTCTTCTCATCCTTCTCCTTCTCCTCATCCTTCTCCTTCTCCTCATCTCCTTCTCCTTCTCATCCTTCTCCTTCTCCTTCCTCATCTCCAAGGGCATTTAAAATAAAGGTACAGTGTTCTGCACTAATTTAAAGGCTCTCTGAAGCCTAGAAACCCTTTTTATAAGTTAACTTCGTAGCGAATAAATTTGCATCGAATCGAATTTCTTCCTGAAATTCGGCGAATCAGCCGAATCGAATTTTTGAATAATTCGCTCATCTCTAATTACTGCATTTGTCCTATTACTCTCCTACAGGCGCCATCGAGTTAGACTTGAACCGTTTCCCTAGAGGAGCAAAGACGGCGAAGCAATGCTCCATAGACATGGTGGCACCTGAGGTGGATTTGCCAATGGTCTCTATCTTCAAACAGAAGAGGGTGAAAGGATGGTGGCCATTCGTTGCCAGAAATGAAAATGATGAACTTGAACTCACTGTAAGATGCCAAATGTTTCCTCCTAAAAAAAATATTAGCAGCCATTTTTAAACTTTGATCCAGGTTGGACGATTTCATTGAGTTTCCCACTGAAAGGTGGCTTTATCCTTGTTGGCCATCCTGCAAATTTAAATGTGGTGACACAGTCAAGAAAATGTGTAGAATAAGCTGATTTCCACCAAATCTATGTGTGTACATGGTAGATTTTCACAGTGTATTCCAATTCGTATTATGTTAAAATATCATGTTTTAAAAAAGTGTATGAAGAACCATTTTTCCTTAGTTTTGATGGAACAGTTAAGCCCTCTGTCAACTTTTTTTTACCTGTCTACGTCCCCATCGGGGAGATTAAACCCTTTACTGGTCCGGGTGACCATTGTTGACACTGAGACAGCTCTCTTAGATGGGAATTCCATTAACCTTGTTGAGATTTCCTTTCATTTGCCGAGTTTCATCTCCAGGACAGGAAGTGAAGGGAAATCTCCCCAGCATGACACAAGCAGCAAAAAAAGAAAAAAATAATTTGAGTGTACACTTCCCTATTCTATCCAAATACAACCAAAAACCTATGATAAAGTTATAACTAAAGCTTTTTTTTAATGTCAGGTTTTTATTGCTGTCTGTGTCCCCATTAGGGAAATTCACCCTCTCTAATTGTCTTGTTTACCATTATGAAAGGTAAAAGGAAAACCCATATTTTGGGTTGTCACCAGACCTGGGATAGAGGGGGACTCTTTCATTGGGGGACACTAGTTCTGGTGACAGCAAGGAAGTCCCTCGTTTTGGAGGGATTTCCTCTCACTTCTTGTTTTGGCTATTGGACAGGACATGAAGGGAAATCTCATTGGGACATACAGTGGGGCAAAAAAAGTATTTAGTCAGCCACCAATTGTGCAAGTTCTCCCACTTAAAAAGATGAGAGAGGCCTGTAATTGGCATCATAGGTAGACCTCAACTATGAGAGACAAAATGAGAAAACAAATCCAGACAATCACATTGTAGACAATGTAGACATTGTAGACAAATCCAGACAATCACATAAGTATTTGGTCAATATCAAAAGTTCATCTCAATACTTTGTTATATATCCTTTGTTGGCAATGACAGAGGTCAAACGTTTCCTGTAAGTCTTCACAAGGTTGGCACACACTGTTGCTGGTATGTTGGCCCATTCCTCCATGCAGATCTCCTCTAGAGCAGTGATGTTTTGGGGCTGTCGCTGGGCAACACGGACGTTCAACTCCCTCCAAAGGTTTTCTATGGGGTTGCGATCTGGAGACTGGCTAGGCCACTCCAGGACCTTGAAATGCTTCTTACGAAGCCACTCCTTCATTGCTCGGGCGGTATGTTTGGGATCATTGTCATGTTGGAAGACCCAGCCACGTTTCATCTTCAATGCCCTTGCTGATGGAAGGAGGTTTGCACTCAAAATCTCACAATACATGGCCCCATTCACTCTGTCCTGTACATGGATCAGTCGTCCTGGTCCCTTTGCGGAGAAACAGCCCCAAAGCATGATGTTGCCACCCCCATGCTTCACAGTAGGTATGGTGTTCTTTGGATGCAACGCAGCATTCTCTCTCCTCCAAACACGACGAGTTGTGTTTCTACCAAACAGTTCTATTTTGGTTTCATTTGACCATATGACATTCTCCCAATCCTCTTCTGGATCCTCCAAATACTCTCTAGCAAACTTCAGACGGGCCCGGACATGTACTGGCTTAAGTAGGGGGACACGTCTGGCACTGCAGGATCTGAGTCCCTGGCGGCGTAGTGTGTTACTGATGGTAGCCTTTGTTACGTTGGTCCCAGCTCTCTGCAGGTGATTCACTAGGTCCCCCATGTGGTCCTGGGATTTTTGCTCACCGTTCTTGTGATCATTTTGACCCCACGGGGTGAGATCTTGCATGGAGCCCCAGATCGAGGGAGATTATCAGTGGTCTTGTATGTCTTCCATTTTCTAAGTATTGCTCCCACAGTTGATTTGTTCACACCAAGCTGCTTGCCTATTGCAGATTCAGTCTTCCCAGCCTGGTGCTGGTCTACAATTTTGTGCCTGGTGTCCTTCAACAGCTCTTTGGTCTTCACCATAGTGGAGTTTGACGTGTGACTGTTTGAGGTTGTGGACAGGTGTCTTTTATACTGATAACAAGTTCAAACAGGTGCCATTGATACAGGTAATGAGTGCAGGACAGAGGAGCCTCTTAAAGAAGAAGGTACAGGTCTGTGAGAGCCAGAAATCTTGCTTGTTTGTAGGTGACCAAATACTTATTTTCCACCATAATTTGCAAAATAAATTCAATGTGATTGTCTGGATTTTTTTCTCATTTTGTCTCTCATTGTTGAGGTCTACCTATGATGCCAATTACAGGCCTCTCTCATCTTTTTAAGTGGGAGAACTTGCACAATTGGTGGCTGACTAAATACTTTTTTGCCCCACTGTAGATGGCAAACAACACTGAGAGGGTAAATCTGGGTACACACAATAAGAAAATTGGGAGAACCTTTGTCCGGATTTCCACAATGTTTCACAGCAAGTCAAACCCGAGGATGGTACTAATTGTATGAAAATTTTCAAAACAACATACATATTAATCATTAGTTCCGTTCACGTACGAGAAAAATTTTGGAGTTTGCCCTTTCAGAAATTTTCATTTGGAAAGGCTGAATCGGATGTCAAAAGTTGTGTACACACTGTGTGAAAATTAAACAATCATTCAGAATTTTTCTTCTGATTTTGTGCACCCAGCTTTAGTTCTACTTTTAGGCTTTTTAAACCAAAATGTTCTTAAAATATAAAAGCTTTGTGATTCACTTTTTTTCCAATTCAATGTAAAATGTCAAAAATATTCTGACTTTACATACACTTTTGTCTTGGAAAGTTTATAGATAGGCAACTCTTATCTTAATATTGATCAGCGGTTCCAAAATAATAATAAATACTGCAGTAGGAACAGACACAAAAAAAATGCACCCAAAATATTTCGAACTGTTGTGTTTAGTCAGTGAATTTGAGTTTTTGGGGTTTTTTGTTATAAACATGCGTACTTAAGTATCATATTAATATTACACTTGTAAGCAGTTCATAGGTGGACTAGTATCTTATCAGGGTCTAAGGAATGTGAGTACGTGCCAGAAGAGTTAGTATGATGCCAAGGGCGTTTGCTGCAGTAAACAAAGCATACATAATCAAATACATGTATATACAGAGTTTTACATTTATTTCACACTTCAAAGACTAAAGCTCCTTTTCATTATCCTTATATAAAAGAAAAATACTCAAGTTTTCATTTGTACATAAAAACTCAGACCATTGTAAAAAATAACCTGATGCCTTGAAGCTGAACTCCAGCTTTTATCACATTTTTATTGCTGTATGTTTCCCCTCTCTTCGTTGTAGACCATTTTTTGTGGATTAAGGTAGGATTAGAATAACTGGTAATATTTTTATTGCTGACCCCTATTTCTTCATACGGATGTCACAGAATCATCTCTTTTCCATTTTATCCATTACTAAAAAATGTGTGGCTTTAGGCTTTAGTAATAATTGTACCCATTATTCTTTTTCCTCAGGGTAAAGTGGAGGCAGAGCTCCACCTACTAACAGCGGAAGAGGCGGAGAAATCACCGGCTGGTCTCGGACGCAATGAGCCGGATCCTCTTGAAAAACCAAAGTAAGTGTGATATGTATAGGATCCTTGTATGTAACAATTCTATATTAAGTAGCAAGTTCTTTTAATTCTGAAGAGCCTCCGGTCATGCTGATCCGTACCGTGACATGGGTAAATGATACCAGTGGCTAGTGCCCTGACAAAGGGAAGATTTGACATCTCTTGGCAAAGTAGAGGCTACTAAATCCCTCTCTGCAACAATCAACCGGGTGATGTATAGTAGAAGTGCAGGAAGGAGTCACTGCTCAAAAATTACTCCTAAATGGACCTGAACTTAGAAACTGAAGATTCGCTGTGTTAGGGAACATCTAGAAATATTGATTGTGCCTAAGCAGTGCCCCCCCCCCCCCCCCCAAAAAAAAAAAAAAAAAAAAAAAAAAAAACTACGTTTTGTCTGGAATTCCTCCTGAAAAATAGCACATACTTTCTGGTATGTGAGTGTGTCTAGGCAGTCCTGTACCACAACCTTATAGCTGTATATGTGAAGTGTGAGATCTAAGGCAGTGCTGCCTTTTCTCTACTGGAGGCTCTGAAATGAGGAAGCATAGCCCTGCCTCTACCAACATGGCTACCTCCACAAAGTGCAGAATAAGACATGGTAAGTCAGCAGTGGAAGAAAGATTATCTTAAGGAACACCACAGACAGTACTAGTGACTGCTCCTTGGTCTTCTTTGTAACCTTTTTTGGGTACAGTTTCCATGGTTCAGACCCTCTTTAAAGTATTACTAAAGGCATAACTTTTTTTGAGTTTTGGATAGAGTGGAGAGGGATTAGAACTCTTGGCAATTTTTTATTGTTGCTTGTTTACCATTATCATCAAAAGTGAATGTAAAAGAAAATCCCACATTTTGGGTTGACACCAGAACAGGAATAGAGAGGAAATCATCCGATGGGGATACTAGTTCTAGTGACTCTTGTGACACCCCAAGATTTCTTCACGTTTGAGGTATTTCCTTTCCCATCCTGTAAATCCTGGAAGTGAAGGGAAATCTCTCCAATGGGACACAGATGCAAAAAAAAAAAAAAAAAATCAAATGACAGGTTGATCCAAAAAACGTTTGCCTTTACTTCTACTTTAACATTCAAAGGAACCTGATGGTATAGAAATATGAGAGCTGCCAAACCTTACTTCTTAGTAGGTAGGTAATAGCTTTTGAGTCACCATGCTTCCTTCAGAATTGGGGAGCCATTGAACTGGAATGAGCATGTGTATAACGGCATCCCAGTACTTGACTGACATCATACTTGCTCCAGTTTAGTGAATCACTAAATCATAAAGGATCAGAATGACAAACCTGGTGCTCATAAAAGCCAACAATGGTAGCGCCTCTATTTCTGTTCCAATAGATTGCCTTTGAAAGGAATCTATAGTGTATTTTCAGTGAGTTAAGTTTTTTGCACTGTTTACCTTTAAAGCCCAGGTGAAGTCAAGGAAATAGAGATGCAGTCAGATACACAATGAATTAATGATCTCCAATTTCCTGTTAGAGCAGTTGTGCAGAGTGTCTGAACATGACTGTGCAGTCCAAAAGGCATCAGAATTACACCCAGTGCACTTTGTAATCAGCACTCAGTAACAGACTGAGCCAGACACAGCCCTCCACTTTAATACATTATAGTTCTATGTGAAGACACTTGTGCTGAAAGGTGTGGCTGTTGCTCAGCTCTGCAAGCACAGGGCACAGGAATGGGTGAAGGAGCTATACATAAAAATGGCAACCACCCCAATTTTATAACTAGCCTTTGCAGTAAGGTGCACATGGAAGCGCAATGCACAACACAAACAGACACATATTTCCCAGCACACTTAGCAGCTAGCCTGCAAAAAAACTCCTCAAATTTACCGTCCAACAATTCACGTTAAAAACAGAGGTTTTACTTGCACACATTTGCAAATATATGTGTTAGCCACAGTGCCTACGCCAAGACTGCTTTGTATACCGAGGTCATAATTCAATATTTTTGAGAGTCTCCAAATTGGAGCACATATAGCAGTGGATAAACTAAGGGCGAGTTTCCCAAGAGGATGCCCACTCCTCAAAGACACAGGGATGCATTGGATGCCCAGAAAGAGCACAATGGCAGCTGAAGGCATCCAATGTGTTCCCTTGCCAAATCCATTGAACAAGCTGTACAAAAAATGGCAAACACCCCAATTTATAACTAACCTTTGCAGTAAGGTGCACATGGAAGGGCAATGCACAGGAATGGGTGGAGCAGGAAGCAGCATTTTCATGAAGAGAAGTATTTTAGGGCATTTCAAGCAGAATTCAATCACAAGTGATAACATATGGGGGGTACAAGATTATAAAGAGATAAAAAGTTGTGAGGATTCAATTGGGCCTTAATACATTTTGATGTATTTTTCTAATTCCCTTGAAATTGCTTGTATCATGTTTCCAATATTACCTTCATTGATAAAGGATCTCAACCATATAAAAAGTACATTTTGTCAGTTAGTCAGCAGACCAGTACTAGGCCACTAAACATCTGGCAACATTACTAAGCAGGAATCTTAGTAACAAGCTAATAAACTCTCCTCTTGTGTGCCTTTCTGAAATTAGCTTCACTTTTTACTAGGGACCAGCCTGAATAAGCTTCACTAGTTGCCATCTCCCAATGGATGCCTCAATGGCCTTTTGTGGGGCTTGGGCGTAAGGAGATCCAGTCACTAGACCATTTATAGCTAAAGTCTTCAATGAGCTGTCTTGCAGAAAATAAGTAGGGTGTAATGCAGGCTATAGATGGGTCGAAAATCGGCCGATTTTTCGGCCGAAAATAAAATCGGCCGATTTTCGGATCGTTAGTGGGCTATTTGTTCGGCCGTTTTTTTCGGTATTTTGGCCGTTTTTTTTAATCGTGGAAAGTTGGAAAAAAAATCGGCCGATTTTCGCGGCAATAATGGGCTAATCGGCCGATTTTTTTACCGATAAAAAATCTGCGCATGAGCAGTGACCTGCAAGAGGAAGACAAAAAGAAGAAAAAGAAGAAGAGGAAGAAGAAGAGGATGAAGAAGAAGAAGAGGATGATGATGAAGTAGAAGAGGATGATGATGATGAAGAAGAAGAGGATGATGATGATGATGAAAAAGAAGAAGAAGAAGAAGAGGATGATGATGAAGAATAAGTAGAAGAAGAAGAGGATGATGATGATGATGAAGTAGAAGATGAAGAAGAGGATGATGATGATGAAGAAGTAGAAGAAGAAGAGGGTGATGATGCCGAAGAAGAAGAAGATGATGATGATGAAGAAGTAGAAGAAGAGGATGATGATGAAGAAGTAGAAGAAGATGAAGAAGAGGATGATGATGATGAAGAAGTAGAAGAAGAGGATGATGATGAAGAAGTAGAAGAAGAGGATGATGATGAAGAAGTAGAAGAAGAAGAAGAGGATGATGATGAAGAAGAAGAGGATGATGATGCAGAAGAAGAGGATGATGATGATGAAGAAAAAGAAGAGGATGATGATGATGAAGAAAAAGAAGAAGAAGAGGATGATGATGATGAAGAAAAAGAAGAAGAAGAGGATGATGATGATGAAGAAGTAGAAGAAGAAGAAGAAGAGAAGAAGAGATGATGATGATGAAGAAGTAGAAGAAGAAGAGAGATGATGATGAAGAAGAAGAAGAAGAAGAGGATGATGAAGAAAAAGAAGAAGAGGATGATGAAGTAGAAGAAGAGGATGATGATGACGAAGAAGATGATGTAGAAGAAGAGGATGATGATGACGAAGAAGATGATGATGATGATGAAGAAGAAGAAGAAGAGGATGATGATGATGATGAAGAAGTAGAAGAAGAAGAGGATGATGATGATGAAGAAGTAGAAGAAGAAGAAGAAGAGGATGATGATGAAGAAGAAGAAGAAGAGGATGATGATGAAGAAGGAGAAGAAGAAGAAGATGAAAAATAAAAGGAATTCCAGTCCGGCAAAAAGTGTCTCTGCAGAGAGCTCCACTATTTCTTTGACAGTTCCTTGACATTTACAGAGGTTGCAACAATGTATCTATTTGTTTCCGAATAAAAAACATCTGTATCCTAAATGGATACAAATAGATACATTGTTGCAACCGCTGTAAATGTCAAGGAACTGTCAAAGAAATAGCAGAGCTCTCTGCAGGGATACTTTTTGCCGGCTGTAGACGGGATAAAAATCGGCCCATTTTTTTTACCATTAATGGTAACGTCGGGCCACTTGAACGACCGATTTTTCGTTTTTTAAAAGAAAAATCGGCCGATTTTCGACCCATCTATGGCCTGCATAACAGTCACATAACAGGAGGGTTTTACTCGTATTTTGTAATTGGTCAACAGGGATGAGGTTCCTTAAGATTTGCCAAGTTCGCAAATTGCAAACATTTGCCTGAACAGTTTGCAGGTTTGCTGTCAGGAAACAAGAAAACCCCATAATGCAGTGTTTGCCGTGTCAGCAAAGCAACAATTTGAAGCAATGTATAAACCATCTCCCTTACTATAAAAGGTCAGGCTCACAGCAGCCATATTGTCTGTATGTGAGGTTACCAAGAGATATATCATTTTTATTTATTTATTTGGTACATGCCCCCGTGGTAATGCAAGGCTTTCAATGCCTTTTGATTGCTTATTAGCCCTACAAAGGGCGAGAATTGAGTAACGAGTCACTACCCACCCCTATAGGCTTCAAGGAAGTTTGCCACAAAGACCATAAACTTTGAACAAGATTTACAAAACTGTTCAGGAACTGAACCAAGACAGATTTTTATTACTATAGATCAGTACAGGGAATCAGGAACTATACAATGACCAACACCTGTCCCAGACTACAATTCATGTACAGCTGGCAACTGTACTATTAGTATAAGGTCTTAGAGTGTATTGTCTTTTGACTGACATCTTCTTTTTGTCTCGTCAAAAGGAAACCTGTTACATTATTGGTATTGTCAGTTTCTAGTAACCTGATAGGTGGCATTCATGTAATAAAAAATTAGGAAGGATGTGAAGTGAAATTGTGACCAGGCTGTGGGA